ACCCTGAAGGACATGGATTTGGTAGAGGTAAGAGGGTTTAAGGTGAACGGTGAAGTTACTGATCTTTTTCCCCTCATACAAGTGGCCAGTTGAACAGATACAAACGATTTTGTTGTTTCTCTGCTGTTTTAGGTGAACGAGGCATTTGCACCTCAGTATCTGGCTGTCGAGAAAGTGCTGGGCCTCGACCCTGAAAAAACCAACGTCAACGGAGGCGCCATCGCTATCGGTCATCCTTTGGGTGCTTCGGGAGCACGCATCACAGCTCACCTGGTGCATGAATTAAGGTGCGTGTGTAGCCCATAGCTACTGGTAACGAATGCAGGGCTGATGTATTCATGCCTGCAAAGGATTTGGAGCACAGATACTGACTGTGTGACTAAAATCTTCCAGTCCATGGGCTTAAAATTGTCATCTCTGAAGTGTGTACCTCTTTGTTGCCTGTGTCCTGCAGTCCAAATCCAGCCTCTTATTCCATTCTCATCATTACAGCTGTTTTTTCCTTCCTCTACTTCTGATCCAAAGCCCCCAGCAGTCAGTGGGGAAGTTTCCTTTATTGAAACTGCCTCGATCAAAGCCTGTCCCTTTCTTAACGGGCTACATTTAAAAGGCTTTGCCATCGCCCTCCTTCTCCTTTAATCCATTTTCAAAAATGCTGACTCTTCTGGCTTGCTTGATATACTCAGTACATTTTAATCTGAATTTTCCCTTTATTATTTTCTCTCCTTCCTCCTCCCCTCCCTTCAGGGCAGAGATCCCAGTATCTTTTTGCTGGTACCTACACTAGTATTCAACCACAAAACCTTAATTAATTCACAGCTTGCAAAAAATGTTTGAGTTTGGCCGTAGAAAACTTAGCTTTTAAAGACCACCTCAGCCATAAAATTATATTTGAGTTAGGAGTACAAAACAAAAAGGAATGGCATTAGGGGATACTTAAGGTTTCAACACGCAGTAAAAATCGCCTAAGAGCAATATAATATTACTGTCTTTTATGTGGAAAAGACCCAGAAATATTTTCTACAGAAAAAAAATGTAGAAAATACCTAGAAAATATTTTCTACGGAAATAGTTTCAGTAGCAGCTGAGGCTTTGTAATATTTTCCTAAAAAAAGAAGGTTGGAAAATCTCGTTATTAGTACCTTTGAAAAGTTGATAGCTGGTTTCTCTTTATAAAATGGGGACCACAGGTACCGTGGTTTCATAAATGGAAGTCATTTTCACCGTCGTATTTTCTCTCCAGGCGTCGTGGTGGGAAATACGCAGTTGGCTCAGCTTGCATTGGAGGTGGACAAGGCATTGCTCTGCTCATTGAGAACACCGCCTGAGGGATTTTGGAGACTTCAGCGTCACCCAAATTACAAATTCCGTGGAAAACTTCTGCCTTCTGTGACAGCGAAGCACCACTGCCTCCCTTCACGTATTCCTGCAAGACTGAGGAACAACTGAGAAGTCCTGGATTCGGAACGAGAAGACTCAGTCATGTCTTTGTACCTAAAGAAAGTGTAGTACCCGTGTAATTTCGCACTGATGAAGTATTTTCTAAAAGCCTCTTTTCAATCAAGTTTATTCTATTTCCGTAGGCAAAATTCTTTTCATTTCCTGAGGAAATTGCCTGTCAAACTTTTCACCAAACCTGCCTTAAAATAGCAGTGCGGCTTGTTAAGCCAGTGTTGCTTTAACTTTTCTTATTTCAGCTGCTGCTGCTGTCTGGCACGTGGGCCTCTTTTATCATCAGGCAATGTGAAAATTTAATTGGAGACCATCTGAAACATATCCTGATTGTAGATCGATGGCTCTAAGCTGTACCCTGCTATTTTGCAAGGTCAAAGAAAACGAGGGGAAGCTGAAATTGTCACTGTGCCTTTTAAAAGAACAATAAACGTAATGAGAAAGGGCTCAGCATGTGTTTGTGAATTTTTTTTTAAAAGCAAATCGCCGTCCTGTGATACATAAACTAAAATCTTTGCTGCTATTTTAGCTCATCTCATCCTCAGCCCCCTGTTGAAATACGACTTCTTCCTGCCGCTCCGCTGCCTTGGGAAAGATTTGAGGCCATTCAGAAGCAGAACATCTGGACGAGCAACAAGTTCAGGTCAAGGCAAGTGTTAGAATTGGTGGGCAACAGTTAAAAGTCTGCTGATCACCATTCCTAAGGTTTCTTACAGATCCAGTTTCTTTAATGACTAGAAATATTCAGTGCTGTTTATGTGGATTCCAAAAAACGGCTGCTAGAAGGCAGCAAACCAGATCCTCATTTCACACAGTGTCTTTTTTCCTCCCAAATGGCTCACAATAGTCCATTTTCCAGAAGATGAGTGTGTTACCAGCACAGATGATCATCGTACATCCTGCTGGAAACCTTTCCTTGCTGTGTAAGCCCACTGTTTATTCCCATATCAATTCTATTTTTATCCTGTCCGTTTTCTGGAAGAGCCTCAGTGGGGGGCTTTGTCAAACCGAAGTGAAAGTGAAATCCTTTCCCATGAAGTTCCTAGGACTTAATGCGTGTTATATTTCTAATCCATTTCAACTTCTTCCACAGCTTCAAGATTTTAAAGTTCAGTGTCGGTTTGAAGAGAGATTGAGAGAGATTCTTCGGTTTTGTGAGTAGTCTGTATGGCAAGTTGTAACGAAAACGTTTGATTTTTATCCTCGAAATGAATGAGAAAAGGAAGCATTTGTCGGGAAAGCTGTGATAAATGTGATTTCCTGATAAATGTAGCTACAGCTTTCTGCCACTGGGTGGTGCATTTTAGACGCGACAGATCTCAGGAGCCTCGAAAATAGATATTTAAGCGGACGATTTCAGGCAGGTCTCACCTCGTTGTGACAGTATTCCTCATGATCTTGTCCTGAGTCTAAATCCAGACATTTTTCCGTCTGGTGTGATGCTGGGCAGGGCTCTTCCTTGCCTCTCCAGCTAGCAGGGTCCACGCTGCCTGACTGGGCTAGCTGAATGCTACACCAGGATGCTGAGGAGGGGTCTGAGGGGAAATTAATCCTTCTGAGTTCACAAACTGAGAGTTTAATAACACGGGAACACGAGTTAAATTCGAATTACACGTGATCGTCGTTTTTAATTTTATACCGGAGAAGTATTTCTTGTAGAAAGTGAGCTAAAAAGATAAAGACGTTTAAAATGTTGCCTTTTAAGGCTGTAAGAACAAATCCAAATGCAAGTCTAGCAATGCCAGGTCAAAATACAAATACAAAATACGAAGCCAAATGAATTGCAGGGTGGATCAGGTGTAAGCTCGGGTTGCTAAACCTCAACTATCTGAAAATGCCAGAGTGATAATTCATCTCTGCAGGTGTTAGAGCAGAGCAGCTATTGGTTATCCTCCGGTGGGCACACTTTTGACACGGATGCAGCAGAAGCAGGGCTGCGTGTTCCCACCCCACCTGGCCTGAATCTGTTTTCTGGGAGATCGGGAGTTGCCCAAATGGGGCATTAAGGATTGTGAAACCGCAGCTTTAATCGCCGGGAAGATCAGCGAGGCGGGGAGGTGTTGCACGGAAGCTCAAGATGACAAGCTCAAGACAGCTTCTGTGCCAGCCCGTGGTTTTTTGCGGTCCCTAAGCTAGACATCAGCAACGGGCAGACCAAATCCCTGTCTCGAGGTAGAGGGAAGCGTTGTGGGTTAACCTCGGTAGAGAGCTAAGCGCTACATCGCTGCTCGCTCGCTCCCTTCTTGCCCCCTGTGGGATGCGGGAAGAGAAAACGGAAGGGTAAAAGTAACAAAAAATAAATCCGTGGGTTGAGATAAAAATCCTTTAATAAGCAAAGGAGAAGCAGAAGAAGAGTAAAAGAAAACAAGTGATGCAATCGCTCAGCACCTCCCATGGGTAGAGCAATAGCCAGCCTCCCAAAAAACCCTTTTTTCCCTTTTATTACAGGGCACAGTGCCATGGGGCATGGGGTACCCCTGGTCTGTCCACTGTGGGGGAGGAAAAAGCAGCAAGAAGGGGAAAAATCTGATGATTTTATTTATTCTTGCTGCCTGATAACCTGTATGAAAGGCTTAATTCTTCCTTCTACTAAATAATCTGGTTAAGGGAGCTGGGGAATACCATCTGACTACACCTCGAAGGAAAACTCACCCTCTGAGCTCTTAATATTGGCCCCAAGCTGGAGAATTTTCATAGATTCTGCTGCAAGTTCCCCGCAGCCCTGTATCCAAACATGTTTCTTCAGTGCAACTCTTCTCTCTCGCTCATTTTCTCGACGAGTATTTATCGCAGCTGTTGCCAGGGAGGAAAAAAAAATAATAAATCAGAACCCCTCCGTAAATATTTATTTCTAATATAAGATACTGCACCAGCACCACCCAAAAAAAAACCCCCAACAACCACGGGTTAAATTGATCGTTTTATTTGCTTGGCTTTTAAGAAGGTTGTCCGCTGCAATGTTTTTCCCCTCTTCTGTGGTTGTTTATAAACAACGTTTTTGGCGTTTTGAGAAGGGCTTTGCGAGGTCTAGAAAGAGCGTGAAGCAGAAGATAATTTAAACAGAAGAAAAAAACTTTAAATAAGAGAGGGCAGAGCGCTGAGAAATCCTATTTATGGGATATTTGAATTAAATTGGCCATTAATCAAATCGTGCTGCCAGGAGTTTTTGCACCCGCAAAGCAAGGCTGAAGTTTCCCACGTAGGCAAAGCTAAAATTACGCTTTTTTTTAAGAAAACAGCCCCCAGTGGCTGCCCTTTCTGCTCTGCCCAGTTTCTGGGGCTTGGGGCAAGGTGAAAACCTGAGGCACCGGGAAAACCACGAGCGCGAGACTAAAAACAGATGCCCCGAGACTCATTTCGGATCCAATCAAACCCGAAGAATTTGAGGCGTGCTGCTCCCACCTGTGTACCTCCAGCCGAAATCCCTGGCTTGGGGGTGGGAATGATTTGGCTGTGACTCTCCTGGGAAGGAAGGGGGAGTGGCGGTGACTCCGTGTGATGGAGGAGAAGGCGCTCGGCGTTGTTACCACATAAAAATGTCCTATTTCCTTTTTTTCTTCCTTTCCTTAGCCACTGAAGGCTACGTGGATGTGGTAGGAGTGCGATTTCTCCACAAAACAAGGGAACTTGTGGGCGGTTTTGAAGCCCAGGTGCTGAACAAGCGGTCAACCTTTTTCTTCCTTCTCCGGGGAGGTGGTGGGGATGGTGGTCGCACTGCTGATGGTGCCCAAGCACCACATCTTGTATCCCTCCTGAGGAGTTTTTGGGGAAAAAGGCTTACTTTTCTCTTACAAAACACAAAACTACAGCACTGCGAGTGCTCGCAGCCGGAGGTAGCCTCCTCTTAGTGGTGTGTGACCACTTAAGCCACAAATTTTGAGCCCGATTTGCTCTGATCCACTTAACTCTTGTGTGTCATGTTCTTTCTCCTGGGTTTAACCTCTTCATTCTCCTTTCAGGAGTGTGCTTGATCCCCGTGAGCACGAAGCCTTTGAGCGGGTGGAGATGCTTGGTTAGGGAGGCGTTGCTCGAGGCTTCAACAGCGTGACCCGAACAAACTGTTTCTTGGAGAAGCGGAGTCTCCCCTCGTTTGTTTTGGATCACGTTTGGGGTTTGGGCTTATTCAGAGGGAAGGAAAATGGATGGGGCTAAGAAAAAGGGTGCAAAGCTTCTAGGATTTTCATAGATCTTCCCAATACCACCAAGTTTCTCTGTCAAATTGTACCTAGCACAGCAAAACCCAGCACAGGCGATTGAGAAAATAATAATAATAATAAAAAATAAAGAGGGTGAATAACTGAATAACTTCCCCAGAAGGTGCAACTGAGGGCAGCCTCGCTGGATCTACGCTCACGCAGCTCCCTGGAGGAGCCTGGCCGTGCCCTGCTGTCGGGATGTGTGTGCACCTCTCCTCCCTCCAGCATCATCCGCAGCCTCCGCCCGAGATTGGCTGCTGCCGAGTCAGCCCATATCTTGCTAGAGGGAAACTTGAGACCCAGCAAGCCCGAAATGTCAAACGCTGCTTAGTCAGATGAATAGCAGCACTCACCAGCGGCCAGCCCGGGCTCTTTCCACACTTCAGCAGGGGCAGGGTTGTGTGGCTGAGCTTTGTTTCTCAATGAAACGCTGGAAGGGGAAAGAGAAAAAAAAAAAAGAAAAAAAAAAAGCTTGCGTGGAGCTGGCGAGGCGTGTGGAAAATCAACATCTGAGATGATAATGCAAAAAGAAAAAAAAAAGCAGATGAGCTCCTTCCCCTCCGTGCTCCTGCTCTGCTCCTCGTGTGCTGCTTTCCCCTGACAGCTGGATGTGAAAAATACAACACGGACAAAGCACTTGAAGCGTTACGCTGGCTTCTGCAAGGCTCCAGCAGTAAAAGCTGGGGCTCCTTCCCAGGATTTCTCCCTCCCAGGTGTTAATCCCACAGCACCCCATAGATCTGTCTCCTGGTCCGGAAGGTTTTCAGGCACTTGCAGGCTCCCACTGCTGTTTGCAGGCTGGTGCTGAGCAGCACCAGCCCCACAGGTGATGCTTCAAACCCCCAAATAAAAGTCACAGAGGTTGGGGGGGTCCTGCAGGGTGCTTGGGTTGGGAGGAGAAGCTGTTTTGTGCTGTCTTTTGTATTTTTTTTGTGTGTATCCACTGCAGAGGCCCCCAAAAGAAAAATGCTCTCAGGCTGGAGGATGCCCTGGGTTCATTTTAGCCCCTATTTAAGTTTGGCACCTGAATGCTTCGGTCAGAATGGACCAAATTCAATTAATTCATCGCCCAAATTGGTGGCTAATCAACACATCGTGCTAAAAGATACCACGAAGGTCCACCAGGAGACAGGTAATTTGTGCATTGTCGCCGGGAAGCTGGAATTTTTGGGGCTGATCACAGAATTCCAGCAAGTTCATCAGCTGAAGCCATCGGTGTCCATCTGTATCTCCAAGAGCAGCTGTGATTTCTTTCTCCCCAGCAGTGTTTTTGCCTTCAGCGACTGTTTATCCAAAAAAAGGGCGGTGATTGGTGAAATCTAAGAGCTTTTACACAGAAAATGTGTTGCAACTGGCAATGTAAATAACACGGTCGGTTTCTGGAAATCCAAGTACAAAATGCTTGCACTGAACTGCCAAATGATGCACGAAGTTGCCTTGTTTGAAGAAATGAAGAGGAAAGAGAAATCTTTCTGCCCCTGGACCTTCAGAAAAGGATTGTTGGAAGAAAAAGGACTGAAGACAGGACAGAAAGAGGTAGCTAAAAATATCGAGCCCTATAGTGTCTAAGCACTCTGTGTGTTAAGTATGTATGTATGTGAAACTGAATTCAACTTGATATAATTAATTGAAATAATTAGAAATAATTAATCTCTTCGTGGAAATGAAAGGTCTTAGGTCAAACACAGTGATCTCGTCAGCAGGTTCTCAAACGTGGACAAAGCTTCCAGAATTGATTGCCCTCTCCCACCAGAAAAAGGTTGAGTTCCTGAGTAAGTACCAAGATTATTTTTTAAAAACACAAATAGTATTTCAAAGAACATTAATTGCAGTATTTATTAGGACTGTTATACGTACGTACTTCAAATGAGACCTCCTAATAATGCCTCGAGTGTGACTTGTGATTTCTTATGTGTACTATTTTCAAATAGAAATAATTTCAGGAACTATCGATAGTAATGATAGGATCCTAAAGAAATCCTGAAGTTGTATAAAGAATTGAACTCTCCTCTCAGAAGGCAGAATTATTTTGGTTTAAAATGATGCAAATGTAACTCGGGGCTGCCACTTAGATGGCACGTGATGGTCTTTTTTGAATGAGCAGAGACAGAGAGCACAGGGGAGTGTTCAGTGTGAATAAATCAGAAAATATGGAAGGGAAACAAGTCACTCCTTCTTGATAGATGCCCCAACAGGAAATCTGCAAGCTTCTGGTCGTTGCTGCTTCTCAGAAGAGGAAGCCAAACCACGTCTCCACAACCAGGAGGTATGGAGCAGAGCGTTGAGTCTCTTTGCCAGGAGCATCACAACTGCAAGGGAAAGATCTCCGAGTGATCCTGGATGCCTTGTGCTTAGATGTGTGTCAGCAGTGTGGTATTTCTGTGTGAAGGGAAGGGTTAAACCATCACAACATGACACAAAGGCCCTTAGTGGTGGCGTGCTCGCAACCCTACTTGGTTCTCACAGGTACGTGTGCCTGCTAAAATGACGAATGAACTGTTGGGTGAGATAAAAGCTGAGCCTACACGAGATTTCTCAACCAAAGCGAATTCAAAGAGGGTTTTTCTGAGTGCCAATCCCTGCAGCTCTGTCTGGAAACGGAGCGCCGTTCCGGGTTCTTTCCCGTTCACTCATTAACAAGAATAATCCAATGTATCAGTCGCCTTTGCTGCCTCTGAGGCATGAACCACAAAGGGAGACGAGGCAGTGAATAACACAGGAATGAAAATTATCCCCAGTTTCTACCCATCTGTACAGTTACACCTTGCAGTCATGTGTCTGAAGTAAGAGGTCATTTTCTAATCAGATCCAAATTTTCATTAGTAGGCTTGGTCCAATGTTGAGCAGAGCTGGATCTCGTCATTGCTTGCACAAAGTGTTTTGAGATGGCTGCAGTAATGGTGTGGTTCCGTTTGTCTTCGTTTTGCATTATACCTAAAACTCCTTAATTCTTGCTGTCGTTAACCCCATGGCACGAAGCGTGCGTCAAAGCTCTTGGAAACAGGCACTCTTCATGCAGGAATGCAGGAAATACGTATGCAAATATGTAGGTAATGAAGGAAATAGGATGTGAAAACACTGGAGTTGGCAGAACCTCTTGGCTTCCTAGCAGTTTTTAGGGGCTCACGTTTTTCTTCTGAATCTGCTAACCGCTCTTAAGATGTGTTTGGTCTTGCCAACATCTTTTTAGGACTTGAGCGCACTGAAGGATGCCACAGGACGTGAGGTAAGCCTCGGCATGGGCTATGACTTGCCCCTCTCATCCCTCACACCAGCTGAACCTGCTCATGCATCCGTCCTCCCTGGGACCAGTGGGAGGAGGCATGTTCCTGCATAAGGCAACTCAGATCTCCAGAGCATCGTTGTTGGGATGGAGGAGCTCAAGGTTTTGCTAGGAACCCTTCTCTTTAGTGGTTGGAAATGCCGATGTTACGTTGGCCTCGTGAGCTGATTTCCTAGCTCGGATTTAGGGCTTGAGGTCACTGGGTGCAATGGGTGGAATTATTCCATGCAGATGCAGGAAAAAAAGAAAAAAAAAAAAAAAAAGAAAAAAAGAAAAAAAAAAAAGGGGGCTGTGCTCTTTGTTTCCCTGGGGATCTTTACTTTGGAGAGAAGGTTTTGTAAAGTAGGATGTATTCTGAAGCCCAGCAAAACTGCTGCTGTTCAGCACAACTTTAAAGATAAATATAAATAAATATATAGGTATTTTAAATGTAAATAAAAATAAGTCATAAACCATAGTCCACCATAAATACCTGCCGTTTATAAGTCTCGATAAGATAAGGAACCCCAAGAAAGAGATGTCAACGCTGACTACAGACTCAAACTAAGGAGACCAAAGCAGAGATGTGCTCAGTTACTTCTGCAAGCCTCCCTTCCCTAAGAAACCCAGCTGAAATTCGATTAGTATTGCAGTTAAAACCCCATCTGAGAGTAAGACCCCAGCTGTACGAAGGTGTCAGGTGGATACATGATACGGGAAACTTTTTCTGGGTAGAGTAGAAGCGTTACCCGTGTGCGCTGTGCTCAGATTTTCTCACCCAACGGCCCCAGCACTTTGCTGAGCACACTTCTGGTCCCAAACTTTGCAAACACCTCTTTGATGAGGAAGGAATGTGCACTGTTATATGATCGGGGAGACCGGGGCGTGGTGGGAACGAGAGGGGCCCTAAACCGCTCGTCTACTGTTTACGCGGAAAGCATATTGCAGAGCTGCAGGCAACCCTCAGATCTTTTGGGCCTTCTCACGTCCTTAGCTCGGGACATAATAGGGGCTGGCCTCTTTGAAAATGTGCCCCTTATTCAGGTTTGTGTGAGAGCAGAGTTCCTCTGCAAATGTCTGGTGTTGTGTTTCTTCCCGTCAAGAAAGGAGACCCTAATGTGATGTGTGACTGGACAGAAGTGGGGAGGATCTTCTCGACCAAGAACAAGATCAAAAAGAAAGAGGAGTGCTTTGTACGAGGCTCTGGCTGCCCTTTAGCCTCTAATCCTCCTCCCCTCCCCCTCATTTTTTTTATATTTCCTTTGCTTTCTTCTTTATTGCCTCAGGTCAAACCTTGATTTTTCTTTTTGCGTTGAGGATGTGGTTGACCCAAGCATGGGACATGCAAGATGTCCATCTCTTGGTACAGTGAAGCCCCAGGATGACCCTGATAGCAGCAGTCAGTGTCTGAAAAGTGTTTTTCAAGAGTACTTCACCATCGACAGGAAAGCAAGAGGTGAATGAGACCTCTCTGCCCTTTTTTTTTCTCTCCACCTCATGCACCAGGTGGTATCTAAAGAGCTTGGTGCCCCAAACAAGATGCTGACAGGAGGTACCGAAGCCCCCCAAGTACTGCTGTGATCTGCAAGTCACTGCTACCTTCTCCTGAAGGTTTCCAGTTAAATTTCATCCAGACCATCTAGTGTCACCTCTGAAAAGGCAAGGGACCAAGGAACATCAGGGAAAACAGAGCAATGAGATTTGGGGGGGTCTGGAGGTACTGCCAGCTTGTGCTGTGGGATGTTGGGCCTTGTTTGGGATCCTTGGCAGTAAGAAGAGACAGCATGAAAACCCCGTGCCTGCTGGAAGGGATGAAAGGAGTCATTGCCCTGCCAAATATTGTTTGATTTTCACTTTACACAATTAAATTTCTCTGGGAAGGCTGGGGTGGAGAAATGCAGCCTGGGTTACACAGGAACGTGCGCTTGGTCCGTACCTGCTGATGGGTGTAGGAGTTTGAGCAGGAACCTTGCCCCATTTACATACGTCAAAATCAGGATTTTAACAAAGAATGCTGTGTTCTGGCTAATTCTTCATGCAGTGCCCTGGTCAGCTCTGAAATACCATCAAGGAGAAGTTTGGCCTCGTCAGGGGGAGGTCACGACTACAAAGGAGCAGAGGCAAGGGAGAAAGGAGCAAGCACGACGGGATTTTTCTGAGCGCCGTAGATCAGTGGGTTGGTCCCTCCGTGCTTCCCACGCTCTTTTTGTTGCAGTCCTGAAAGAAACATGATGTAGGAGGCTGGTGCGAATCGAACAGCGTGTCCCAGAACAGCCGTGGCGTGAGCGGGGCTCCCCGCGGTGACGCTCCGCCTCCTGCGAACCAGAGGAAGCAAGCCACGAGTAATACGAGAAATGATTTTATTTACACTGATTATATTTACACTGCGACGATCCCTGCTTCCCACACGTGGCATTACTCTCGCCAGAAGATTTCTGGGCTCCTGTAGCAGGCGGGGAAACTGAGGCACCCAGCCTAGGTCCCTGGCTTGAGGTGAGGAAATGGCTGGGTGCTAGAGGTGGAGGCCGATTTTTGTAGCTCACACGCTGGTCAGCCTGAAGTTGTCCTGCTCCAGAGAGTGACCCACCACAGTGGGATCTGTGATGGGATCTGGGTGAACTTCAGAGCCTAATTCTACAAGTTTCAGCCCCCACAAGCTGCTGCCTAACTCTGGGGCCTGAAGACACTTTGCTGCCTGGCCCACCTCACTCCAGCCATGATCCCCTATCAGTGCACAGGGGTTTCTGAGGCACCTTTGGAGGTAGTTTAGACCCAGGCCCAAGCCATGACGAAGTTTTTTCTCCACACCAGCTCTGCAGGAAGCTTTTTGTGCCTGGCAGCGAGCCTGGGCCGAGATCTGAGCCCGATTTAACTCTTGCCCCTTCCTGGGCTGAGCCTGCACTCGAGGTGGATTTTTTTCCCCTCAGCTTTTATGGGCTTTCTCCGTTTTTATTGCCAGCCTAATGACTGGAAAGCAACGGTCACCAACGGCTCTTGGAGCACGTGGTGGCTCTCCAGAGAGGCCAGGAGTCAGCCACACCTGAGGAACAAGTCAATGTTGTGGTGGTGGACGTGGTGGGAGGGATGAAAGGGTCCATCCTGAGGCGGAGAGGAGTTCCCTCAGAGCTGCTGTGCGGTGGTGGGCTGGTAGAAAAACACACCTAGATCAGCAGGATTTCTTCCCTCTTGTACCTTTATTTACAGTTCTTCTCAAGCTCTTCCTTCCTGAATCCCATCAAAGTTCATTTTTTTTTTTTTCCTAGGAACGAGGACGATTGGTCTGAGTCAATGGGGAGACCTGAGGCCCAGACAGCGTGGGTCCCGAGCCTCTGCGGGCAGGAAGATGTGTGTCTGCTGCTATCCTGACAATGAAACCAGCTGTGTGTCTCGCTGCTTGCTTGACCGCTGCTCCTAAATTCGAGCCTGGTGCCTGGAAAAACTTGTCATCTCATAAAACAGCTGGCTGGAGAAGGAGCGAGCTGGCAGGCCGCAGCGGGGAGCGGTGTCCAGCGCGCCTCATGTTTTGGCATGTCCAGCTCGCTGCCTTGGATGGTTTCCTTGAAATACTTGCTTTTTATGAAAAAACCACTGCCTGTGTTGAAGCACATCGCTCCCTCGCAGCCTCTCTGAAGTGAACCGAGCAGGCGAACCTTGTGGTAACGCGGCGTGCTTGGTCAGGATGAAATCCAGACTGCGCTTTCCTGCTTCTATCTGTCTCCTATGAACAGCCATAAATAGCCATGACCCGGCAACCAAATTCGAGAAGAAGGCTTCTAGGAAAGCCTGCAGTGCACACTGCCTTCAGGAGCCCGATAGCCTTATGGTATCTGTGCATGCTGGAAAGCCTGACCTTGGTTGAGACACCTGCGTTTCGGTTTTTCTCAAAAGCACATGGGTGTATAATACCTTTTAGCTGATTCAGCTCCCTGACCGACTTATCTCGCAGGTGAATTACAGCAAATCAAAGCCAGGGAATGGCTCAAGAAGATAGCGCTGGTAATCAGTGATAAGGTATTTACATTTAAGATAAAAAAAAGGTTTGTTTCGGTTTTGTATTTTTTTTTTGTATTAGCTCCTAAGGAGGTGGTTAGACTTCGAGGTTCAGGAGCTGCCTTGCTGCATCTCCTTCTCGCCATGTGCTGATGGCAACTGGGAAACACTGACCAGCGTTCAAGGCTCTCAAACACGTGCTGGATGAGGTACCGTGATGTCTCCTGGCATTGCCCAACTGCTAATCACACGCAGATGACTGCAATCACATCTTGCAGACACGTTTGGCTTCTGCAAGGTTGATGACAAAGAGCTCAAGAGGATAGGGACTGACCCTAATGTCGTGATGACCAAATGAGTATGTTTCTATTTTAGTCTGGTTATTTTTGGTCTTTTTTTAATGGATGACGCTTGCTGATATGGGGTAAACAAGGATTTTCTCCAGCGTGTGAGTAGTTGGAAAAATAGCCATGTGCGTGCTCTGCCACCCCACTGACCTCTCAATTAAATTACTCTCAGTTAGATTAATTTTAATTTTTTTTTTTTTTTAATGACATTTGTGGAATGAAGTGGGTGTTTGCAAAAGATGTCAGTATAGGACTGCAGATTGCAAGAAGTGACATGGTCACAGCTCGCTCGGAAGCCAAACGCGTTGTGTAAACGCAGAATGGGAAAACAGGGATGTGAGTGACCTTTCCCATGTGATCTCAAGTCTGTCATCTATTGTGAATGTCCCGTCCTACTCAAAGTGGAGAGCTAGAGAGGAGACATCCTTTTCTTCTCCATCCACCCATCCTTGGGACTTTCTGCTCCTCTTTGACCCCTGGTACCATCTTCTGGTTGCAGAGGAGGGAGGAAATTGGCTCAGTTGAGATGCCTGGGAAAAAATGTATTAACTTGAGTAATCAGGATGATACACCAGGATCCTGAAGGCTTTCGAGAAGCATGTCAAAAGTTAAAAGTTTTAGGATTTTAGTTGTGTTTCAGAGTGTGTCTGGAATAAACTGGGGAGAGAGGGAAAGAAAAAGAAAGGAGCTCCCAGAAAGGAGCGTTACCTGATGTCATCTGCTGTTATTTAGACCGTCAGGCTTTAACAAAATAATTTATTAACAAAATTGTTTAATTTACTTTCAGAAAAGGCAAAAATATCCTCCTTTCATGCAGCCTTACCCCGGAACCTTGCACAGACTGTGAATGCTGCAGTGGCTGGAGAAAGGTCCTAAAGGAATCGAGGAAGCTTTCAGGCTAGTTACTGTTTAACATGAATTGCTGCAAAGACACAGTGCTTTCCTTCCCTAAAACGTAAGCTTCAGACTTCACTTGTTTTTTTAACAACTGAATTAACCAGGTACATGCAGGCGTGTTCATCTCATCTGTTGCCATCTGAAGCTTAAGTAAAGGGTCAAACTTTTACCAAAAGTTTTCTTTTCAGAAACTGAGCCCAGCACCTCTGTGAAATTGGACATTTTTGGGTTCCTTGCAACTGGGAAGCCTCTCCTTTCTGCTTTGCTGGCTTTGAGAGAGATGTGATGTATAACTACAGCACACAGATCACAGTTTTGTCCCTTTCATGAGCCTCTGATCCACTCCGTGGCTTGCAGGTGCAGAATGACATTGGCCTGACCTGTGCTCCTCTGTCTAGCCGTAGCTCTGGGAGAGGCAGAAGAGCAGCAGCCTAAGCAATCTGTGCACATCACAGTATTTCAATTTATTTTCACGTTTTACGAACTATGGCTTGCCTTAAATCACCAGTGCTGAGCTATACAGCATCCATATGGCTCGGCTTTCCTTTTATGAATCGCTTCCCAAGCCCGTGTTTGACTCTAGAAATGTTTCTCAAATCCATCCATCTCTATCTGGGCTGCCTTTATCTCCAGCGCTCCTCTGCAGGTCAGAGAACAGCTCCGGAGCGGGATCTGATGCTAATTCGAAACAGATTGGGGCTTTTCATCAAAAATCCTCTTTTTATTTTTTTATTTTTTTTGTGAGTGCACCGTGGCAAATCTGGACATTTAATAGGTTTGAGGAGGATTCTTTTTTTTTTTTCCAGATTTGTAGATAGCCTCGCTCTGAGAAATACGTCGGCCCCAGAAAAGGAGGAAGCGTGTCCGTACCCAGGGGGGGAATTTCTGCAAGAGCTTCGCCGGCTGTGCTCCGTGCTTGCCGCGGGGCTGCTGGGGGATGAATGAGGGATTTGGAGGGCAGGCTAGGAGATGATGGGGTGATGGGGTGATACCGGCCTCCGGGGTTACTGCGAGTCAGTGACATTTGCTTACAGCAGAGGTAACACCTCAGGGCCTCTCTTCCAATAGGAACGGGACTCGGACGGGGCGAAATCAGGAGAGTTTATGGGCCAATGAACGCCGGCTCTGGGAGTGAGTCACATTCATTCGAGTTTCAAGTTTTGCGGTCGGGGAGCTCATTCAAAGCCCACATAAAAGAGGGTGATTAATACAGCGCCTTCGGTTCTCTGCTGGCTTCAGCTCCTGTGCAAACGGGAGACGGGGCAGGGGCTGCCGGTGTGTGGTGTGGGGGAGGAAATAAGAAGGAAAAAAATTACTTAACCGTGCTGGAAACACGAGGTGCTGCTTTCCTGGGTGAAATCCAAGGCTGGGAATGCTCTGCGGGCTGTGAATAGCCCCTGACAGCTTAGCCTGGGCTTCCCTGGAGCATCACCCACCTCTGTGCATCCTCCTGGCAAAAATGTTTGCTCTCTGCCTTTGGAAGCACGCCCCTGCCCTCCCCGGAGGGATCAACTCACTGAAACAAAATCAGATTTCCATAATCCTTGTGTTGGCACCGTTTGTCATGATTTTTAATATATTTTTTTTAATCTTTCTGTCTCTGAAAGCCTTGTTAGAGAAAATGTTTCTCATTATCAGCTGGGGGGCTGCCAGACCTGGGAGGTGTTTGTTTCCTATTGCTCTCCTTGTCCCTCCTGCTGTGCGGGATTTGTCCCAGAACCGGAGATGAGGAGAGCCCTAGGAAAAAGATGTTATAGGGTAGGTGGGTGGCTGGAAGCCCCCTACATGGTACCCCCCAAAAAATGCCTCCTGGTACCATGAGCAAGGTTCAGACAGGAGATGCCTGCGGTCCTAATATGCTCCTGCTACTCCTCCTGTGAGTAGGACTGTGGTTTTTCCTCCTCCCGTGGCCTTTGACCCTCTAACATCCCTTGTCTTTGCCTAATACAGGTGTTTTCACCCTAATCCTGCACGATTTGACCACCCACCTCACCGCAGAAGTACAGGGGAACACCACAGGAGTGTGAGCAAAGCTGTCTTCACCTTCTCAGCCTCCTCCCGGGCTCTGCAAAGAGTCAAAATAGCTTTCAGCTTGCCTCCTCCCCCAGAAGAGCACGAAAAGGGATTTCTCAGCTCTGCCCAGGTAAATAGTCCTGCACCGGCTTCAGGAAGGGCAGTCCCGGACTGAGCTGAATATTTCTGCAAGCAAATCACTCGCCGGAATTTGTGGAATGAGGCTTGAGGAGAGGAAAAAAAAATCTTGCTGTTCCTCAGGGCCTGAAGGACCCCATCCACCTGCTTGCTGCTGCTGTGCCAGGCTGAGTGTTACCCAGAGCTTTACCAGCACTGAATTAAGTCATTTCCCGTGAAATAAGTCATTTCCCATGAAATCTGTGTGTTGGTGAGGCTGTTCTCATCCCTTCAGCTTCTCGTGAAGGAGCAAAGTGCAGCTGGTCTCAGCCATATAGGCTGGGCTTTTAGGGCTTCTGTATGAAAAGGAGATAGACTAGAAAATACTTTTTTTTTTTGAGATGTGCCTCAAAAAGAGAGCAGGTAGCAATGTTTTCTGAGGGCTCTGCTCCTGCACCTTTGCTTGGAGTGCTGTGAAAGGTGCTGAGGAGAGCTGAAATGGGAGCAGCAGCTTCCCTGGATGAGTGGGGTAGCTGGGAGCACATATCTGGACGCCGTTCAGCTAGCAAATCGAGCTCATCTCCTGCTTGTTACCCCCATCCTATTATTTATCACCCTCATGTGCTTCATTTTAGGTGGTAAATCCTTGGAGTTTTCCCTTGTGGGGTGAGTGGGAAGAAGCCCTGGCTGTAATAACCACCAGGCGTGCCACCTGTAAGGTCACTGATGGAAGGCTCATCCTACAGTTTGTAGACAAATAATTCCTTCTGGCCAAAATTCATCCAAATTTTGAGTTTTCACATTTTTTTTACACATTTTTTTTTGTGTAAGGTGAGTGCTGGGGGAAAGGACTGGCCCTTTGAGCATCCCATCCTGCTGGGAAGGATCTGTGGGATCCCTTCAGAGAGGTTGGGGAAGGGGGAACCCTCTGTAAGCGTTTAAAAGAAAACCTCACTGAGAAAACTTTCTCTAAATACTGGAAAACTCTTTTTTTTTCATCAAATTTACACTTCTGGCACCGAGAGATTTCTCGCTTCAGAGAAATTCTCAGGGATCCGTCTTCTGAGAAAGCTTCGGACCACTTTAGAGGGGGATTTCTGCAGAGTGAACTCAGCGGATATGTGCACGCTCGCTCGGCACTGACAGAAGACGTTTTCATCACGGGCTGAGGCACTTCTCGTTTCCTTGAAATGTTAGCTGGGGAATTTCGTTTGCTGCTGCTGCTCAAAGAAAACCCTGGTAAAATATTCAAAATCTTTTTTTTTTTAATGCTTTATAGAAACAGACCCGTTCCTTGGTGCTGTTAGCTTCTCATTTTTGTAGGCATCAGCATTGAGGTGAAAACAATTCCCTAGAAAAAGAAGCGCTGTCGATGCTGTTTTTTGGGGGCTGAGCAATTATTTCCTAGGAAAGCAGCCTTTGAACTGAAGAGTCCGAGAGAGAAAATGCAAAATTTGTTTCCTGGTAGTTCCTTCTGTTTTTCTCTGATATTTTTTTCTCTGTATTTTTTTCTAGACAAAAATACGATGGAAGTAGAAAGGCAGTCGGAAAGAAAATAATCTGTTGCAGCGGTGCCTAGAGGTCCTGAACTCGGTCAGTAGCCCATTGCACAAGAGTTCAGGGGCTTCTGAGGCTTCAGTCCTAAAGGGGATTTTTCAGAAATCCTTCTGGGCTCTGGAAGCAGAAGCCTCTTCAAAACAAGATGCCTGGAGAGCTGGGAAAGCACAAGCAGGTCAGAAGGCAGCTCTGCAGACACCCCGTTGCCGCCTCGTTCAAATATTTGTTCAGCTTGCTTCAAGTGCTTGGGGTTTCTTGTGAGGTTAGGTTATGGACACAGACTACACCAGGGACCAGGAGGGTTTCCAGACTAGGACAGGGTCCAAAAGGGAGCAAGGCCAGATATTAATACTGGACAGCAAGAGCTTTTGTGCTCAGAAATGCTGTGTGGATTTGGACACGAGATTAGCTAGCCTAGGAAGCCGCAGGGTTTGGATGTGCCACGAGGTCTCTACTTCCTCATGACACTTGCTATCAGCCTGATGTTGTTTCTCTGGCAGCTGTCACAACTTATGCAACCGTGTTTTATATCAGCGGCCCCAAATACAGCTGTAGGAGAGGCTCTCCCTTGGCCTCTCGAGCTCAGTACTCGGTGGTGCCAATTTTCCAGCCATGGCTTAGGCGTGGATGTCAACCATTTGCTTGGACGTGGACATTTCCAGAAGTGAAGGTGTCACCTGAAGCTGTCCCTCCTCACCTCTCTCCTATAGGAGCGTTGGAATTCACTGTCACCCTTAGCACTGATTAAAATAATTTATTCTCTTACTAAATTAACCAGAAATTAATCACTTCCCTTTTCTTCCCAGCACAGAAAACTGGTTAAAATCACTGTGGCTTGATCACAAAAGCTCAGCTATTAAGATTTTACTCAAAAAAGGTAAGTTTGCTCCAGATGTGCAAGGCTCAGGTAAGCAGAATTCCACCACCTGGCTTTGCTTTTAGGTTAACAGATACAAAGAAGACGTACGATGGGAACAGAGAAGTCTTTTCGTCTCTCTGATGCCTGCTGAAGGATCGTGGAGTTGCTCCGGGCACGTTTCCAGCTTTGTGCAAGGCTAATACGGTGCTGATGATTTTCAGTGCGTACAACTGTAACAAGTGCATGTGGTTTCCATGTGGAACTGAGAGCGTGTGCTAATGTCCTCCCAGGAGGGGAAAACCGCAGCCCCATGCAGAGCAGTTAGTAATTTTGTGCCTTCTTTGTCGAGCAGGTATGGAAGTGTTTTGGTTTTCAGTACATTTGACTGGCTTTGGAAGTGCCTCGGTTTATTACTTGGCTATAATTCTACTTCCAAAATATATTGGACATGTTAAAAGCACTATTTACACTATTTACCTGGTCGAGACTTGAGAAATAATTCTGTTCTCTTACAAGGCACCAGTTCGTGTAGCTGCAACCCAACGCATCGTAGGGACTGGTGAAAATTGTGATCAGATAGACACACCGAGCTCCTGCCTGAGAGCATGCTGACTCACAAAATTGTGTTTGAAGACTCAAAATGTGACTGTTTCTGACCGTATGATAAATTAGGAACTCATACGGAAAGTTGCCCGTTGTGGCTTGGCAGAGCTGAAAGAACTTATATGGCTATATAGAGAGATAAGGATGGCTAAAACTGAGACAAGGCGGTGGGAAAACCGAAACCAAATTAGCATTAAAACAGTTCTGAATGTTCTGAACGGCATCCGCTGGTGTCACGCCACACAGGCCTTTATTTGACTTAGGATATCCCTTGCCCCAAGAGCTTCAGTGAGGTACTGAGGCCAAGGAGAACATCAAGGTGTGGGTGAGTTGATATTTCAGGTGGTCACTGCACATTTTTTAGAGACTGTGGCTTCATGCACACCCCATCTACCCTCTCTCACCCATCTCTGCTCTGTAGATCAGACCTTTCTTAAGATTTTGGTCAAAGGAGATGCTTCTCCTGCATCTCCTAGGTAGGACCATTGCCAGCTCGTGACCAAGCCGTGTCTGACCCAAAGCAAACCTCCCTGCCCGCTGGAGCAGCAATTTGGGGTGCCAGAGCTGGGTCGCCGTGTCCCTGTATCCCTGTCTGAAGGGTCTCCACAGCCGGGGAGGAGAACACCTTGTTGTGTCTCGGCTCGTGCTCCCCCAGCCGTACCGCTAGACGAGACGGGAAGATGAAAGAGTACTGAAAACATAGATTTGGAGCAAAGGAACAAAGATAAAGGAAGATAAAACCAGAAAATGCCTTCTTAAGATTATCTGTAATTACAGAGATCGTCCTTAGCTGGCTCAGCACACTTGCTGCTCTTTCTTCTGGATAGAAGCAGCTGGAATTTCTCTCTTTAACTCTTAGAGGTCAACATCTTCTTCTCCCATATCCATTAACTAAGACAGATCCCAAATCTTTGTTTTTTCTCTTCTGTAAGAAGAAATCCAGAGCAAAACCCGGTCTTTGGTCTGTGGGGCTGCAGAAGTCCACGGGTACCTTGCTGGGGCCCCGTGCAAAGAAGCCAGGGAAAGTCAACGAGCCACCAACGTTCCTGCACACGTGGGCAAACCCTCCGTGGAAAAAAGTTAGAGGCCCAGGAAACAATAAAGGTTGAAAATGCTGGCCGTAGGGTTCAGACGCATAACATTAAAGATTAAGAGCCATGTGAAAACCTCAGCCCACATCTGTGGTTCGTAAGTGAAGGTTTACTGTCGGGCAAATTAGTGCTGAAGTCTATTAACTTCTTGAATTCATTGAGCTTCTGATAGCTGTTTCTTTTTTTTAAAAAAAAAGGCTGCATTTTGCTTTTCAGCACTTCTCCACGTGATGCAAGGCAAGCGACAGCATCAGCTTTCTGTGGAAATCCGGTCTTGTCCTCTCCTGACATCTTTATGGCATGCAAAATAGACGGTGTGGCCAGCCAGAGAGCTGAGGGATGCACCGTGAGTGTAAACTCCTTTTATTAATGAGGATTAAGGTGGAAACCAAGTGCTGGTTATGTGGGTTTCACCCTTCCACCTGAATTTCTAGGGACTTCCCCAAAGCTTTGCTGGTTGCTGGAAGCTGCTCAGCACCCAGCACCATCCTTGCGCCCTGCAAGCTTCATTCTTTCCTCCTGCCATCCATTATCCCCTATCTGCATGGCTGCCTTCATGCTTTGCATCCCAGCGCCATTTCCATGAGAGTAAAATTAGCAGCTTGAGTAATTACGAATAAGTCGTGTGAGACAAAGAAGCCTTGAGGCTGATTGTAGGAAGCTGAAGTGTCTGGCGTTGCAAATCTCCTCCACACACTGAAGGGCAGCACAAAATCACTTTTTTTTCTGAGTCTCCTGGAACTACCAAGGTATTTAGGAACCCAAATCCCACTGCCAAGGGTGGGGGCACAGGAGGATTGATGTTCAAGTGCTCAAGGCACCCAGGCCATGGTTTGGGGTCTGATCTTCCTCTCCATCGATGAGCACGGCGAGCTGTCTTCATCCTGATGCTGTGATGCCAAAAATCACCGAGGGATTACCAAAAGCAGGGGGCCAGACTCGTGCCCTGCTCATCCCTGAAGGCTGGGGATGCCTCAAGCTGCACCTGATTAAAAGAAGAAACCCAAAGGTCTGTGCTCTGCCTGGTTTCCAGACGTGAAGCTTGTACCAGGCACATGTGATGAGGAAAGCGGGTGCTGCCGAGCTGAGTCCAGGACAACAGCTGTTACTAGTAAAAAATAATGATGGCTTTTACTGGGAAAAAACTGCTCACTGACAGCAGAAAAAGAGTTTTACTTGAGTCAAAACTGCAGGTTCTGTCTCATAATGGCCACATTAAAAAAAAAACAACAAATCTTAAAAAGACAGCCTATAGAAAATCACAGTCATCTCCAAGGCTTGATGAAAATGAAGGAATCTATTTTTTTTTTTTTTGCATGTGTTTGCACACACATTAGCGTAAGAGTAAATAAGTTTTAGTTTAAGAAGTGTTTAAATATATCCTAAGGAAGTTAGGCTTAGGCTGCCAAAGGGTACCAGTGCTAACCCCATACTTGTGCCGGGGGGAACCTCTGTGCTAAAACCCCTCTGTAACGAATCTGTTCTGTTTTTTTGTTGTTTTTAATAGGGAAAACTGGAGAGAGATCACATCAGGACACGCGCTGGCCCATGTGGAGCAATGGCCAGGGGCAACGGCAGAGCCAGGCTGCTCCGAGCACGTGGCCGAGCACCATCCTGCAATGGCAGCCAAAGGTGCGGCCTCGGGAGTTTGAGTTATTTATTTTTATTTTTTTTTTTCCACGCCGTAAAAAGGCTGAAGGGCTTCTCCTATCGTTTATGCGTGGAAAAGGTCTGGCTCTGAAGCTGTGCACTAGAAAACCGATGACTTTCCCAGCTTTTCCAGCTAGCTGGTTTTGAGCGTTACTCCCCCCAAAGAGTGGCACGAGACGACACGTTTCAAAAGCGTGCTTCTTCCTGCGCCACGAGACCTGTTTGAATTTCGTTTTCCACCTCAGGATGATCTCCCAGGCCCTCCAAGTTTTTCTCTTACCATCCTGCACCGTTTGGAGCCGCTTGCTCTGCCAGGATCCCTCTTTTAATCCAGCTGTCGTAGTTCCTCGGGATTTCAGTCTGCCTGGCCGGCTGTGACATGCAGGCGAAAAGCTTTGTTTGGCAGAGGTGCTGAGCAGCTTCTTGGCAAGCACAGCTTACTGTACACAGAGACACAGGGAAGGAGAAATCTCCCTTTGTCTTTGCTCTGATTCAGCCTTCCTTCAGACCATGCTGCTGCTGGTTTATGTGAGTTTGCTTAAGGATTCACTTCACAGCATCTAATTCACTCATTTTTGCAAACTTTCACAGGTTTGCATCCTAAAAAAAGAGGTTTAAAACCTTTATATGAGTTTTTTGTTGTTGTTCTTGCTAAGAAAGTGAAGAGAATCACCGTCTCTACCCCTGCTGCTTCACTTGCAGAAGATATCACAGGGCAGGGAGTTCCCCAGGTGCATGAAATCCCTGCTGATGCCTTTGACTTGCTTTTCTTCGTTATTAATCACTCTGGATTGTGCTAGCCTCAGCACCAGGTTCATACCAACATCTCCTCGTATGCTTCGGGTCCCTAACAAGCAGTCGTTTGTCTGCTCTGAGTCCTTTTGGTAAATTTTACATTGTTTTCCCTGCAAAGATAATTTTACGAAGAGTTGCAGCGTTGCGCGCACGGAAAGGTCATGGGAACCTCTCGCTAAGATTAGCCCAACTTCTTCTTATCAATGGCTTTAAGTGGTGTTAGCATTTTAAAAGGAGTACTGTGTGAGCATTAAAAGCCATTTTTTTTTCTTTCCCAAGTACACGTTGAAAAGCACTTTTATCCCATGGCTAGGGCTGGGCGCTAAATGGAGCCCTATCACCATGGGCTGATGTTTTCTATTCAGAGCTCCACAGAGAATGCTTTGTTCGAAGGAGAGCCGAGCTGCAGAGGTTGGAAGAATTTCATAAGCATAAAGTTATGGCAAGGTGTCTACCAGGAGCTGTTGGGGTGGAAGGGAAACCCTACAACACAGGCTGCTAAGGAAACGAGCTGTAAGAATGGAGGAAAAAAACTCTAAATTAAGGTGTCGTTGCCCTTCCCTTTGCTCAGTTTGTCAATACCAGGGTAGAAAACGTCGTGTTGCACGTACAGGGAATCACGCCCTGAATTTCTGAAAGGATTTACTGCTGAGCCCTCCAGCACGGAGCATCCTGCTCCGACACGGACATCGTGGCAGTGATGCTGTAGGGACACAGCCGCGTGTTTTTCTCAAAGCTGGGAGCTGAGCCTCTCACCAGAATGGATTTGATTTTGTAAACAGCTGCTTTTCTTTTTCTTTTTTTTTTTAGAATGTGTTGTCCTTATGGAGAGATGGATTTGTGCTGGGACCTGCTGCCCCGATGTGCTGCATCCCCTACAAACCCCGTGGTCATCCTTGGCACGGAGACTCCCTTCTGACCGACCCGAGCCCCGCGGAGTTCCAGCTAAGTGCCTTTCTACGGATATTGTGGGCTAAGTGCTTTGCTCGGAGGCTTTTCTGTTCCCCCAAGGGCTTCATTGGCATGCCCAGGCCACAGGCTGTTCTCACACTTGCCCAGCTCTCAGGAAGAGGAGGAATAAACTCGGAGAGACGCTGCAGGGGGATTAAAGCACCGGGTGATTTCTGAGAACTCCCCTCTGCAGCGATGACAAATAACCCGACACAACTGGAGAGGGACAAAGCTGTCCCCTGAGTAGGATCAGGGCTGGCTAGCACAGCAGGAAGAGCTCGATGGGATTCTTTGAGGTTTTTCTTTCTCTGAAAAAGAAGAGGCCATGCCTCAGAGAGTCCTTACCAAGTGGTGCTCCCCTCTGAAACCTGGTTCACTCTGCCAAAGGCCTCTCCAACCAAGGAAAAGTTATCCAGTTCCTCTTTATTTCCCCCCATTATTCACAATCTGTTCTATTTGGCTATTTTTTTTTGTAATTTGCCATTGAGGTAGGCACCGTCTGGAGCCGAAGACATCCAAAAATGCAGATCTATCATCTCCCATGACTCTTCTCCCGTGCGAGTAATCGAGTGCTTTGCCAAAAGGCACTTCACTCTTAGACACCAACCCTAACTGCAGCTTTCCACGCAGCTCGGTGAAACTGGGATTCGTCTGAATACTTTTGGCTGGCCGAGGTATCCCCGTCATCCCCTGCCATCGCCCTGCCCTCTCTGCTAGCTGCTGCCCTGCCAATGCTAATATTACCCGCAGATTTTATCGGCGGCCTCGCGTAGGCATATTTCGGGATCGCTGATCAAAAAGGGCAATTAGCACCGCGATATTTCTCGCCTCACGAAAATTATCGGAGCTGATTGCAAAATTCTTCAGATTCCAAAGGCATGAAAGCTTTTCTTTAAAAGGAAAGGAGAGGTGATGCTGCACGAAGGAAATGCTCTGCGGTTGGAAACGTTTGCCCTTTTCGCCCACCCGGATGCCTACAGGTCCATTCCCTCACATCGTAGCACCTGGGGGATTTGCGTAGAGGAAGGTGAGGAGGTTTTGGTCGTGCTGTTAGAGTTTTTGTCTTTTTTTTTCTAATTTTTACTGGGGGTGGGGAGGTGGAGAACATGCCAGCCTCTGGAAACGCTGCTCCTCAACAGGATTAGCCAAACTCCTGCTGCAACACAAATACAAAAGCCCTGGGAAATTCAAGGCTGGGTAGACCTGAGGTCCTCCCTGCTCCCAAATTAAAATAGTCCAGGCAACAGCGCTGACACTGCTTATCTTCCAACACTTTTCTGCTCCATCACCCCGAAACGTGTGTGTGAGGCTCCTGCAGCCACCTGGGTGCTCTCTCCGGGGCTGTGCTGCCAGCAGAGTATTTTCTGCCTCAGGAGTTTGGTGTTGACAGTGTTATATCTTTTGGCGGAGGCTGCTAACGACTTAAACCGGAGCAAGTGTTGTATTTATTTTTAATATCCATCCTCAATGAAGCCATTGTCGGGTATGTGACTGCTCCAAACGCGCAGCCTGAGCTTCGCTTTTAATTAACTCCAGGCAACGAAGTTAGGAAAGGATTTGCAACGTGAGTGTCTGTGGCAAAAACATGCTCCACAACAGAGTGGATGTAGAATAGTATTCTGCAGGGCTTTTTTTTTTTCCACACAAATTTGTCTGCCTTATCAGGGAGCCTAATTATAGCCCTGGAACTGATCAGGAGCATTTGTCATCAGTATTTCTTTAATAAATACCAATGAGATAAATAGATGTAGTTTTCTACGCAACACCTGATCCAGCAGAAGCCATGTGGAAGCGATGAGCAATCTGATTTTGTCTCCAGCTTTTCCACAGTTCCTCTCTGAGACCAGTGGGATGACGAGGTCTTTCCTGCGGCTTATGGGATCACTGGATGAGATGAACTGGAGCTGTCTGTAAGAAGGGTAAGGCGCAGACATTATTTGATTTGTTCTTCTCAGGAAGAACATTTTGCTGATGTTCTGCTGGCTTTTCTTTGCCTGTCTGGAGTGGACATGGGGGCTGTAGTAAAATTAAGGGAACGTTATGATTATGCCAAAGCTTTTTCCACTGGAAATGGTGGCAAATTGACAGCTTTTGGTCAAGAAGCCAACATTATAAATCAATGGTCATACTTTGTGTGTTGACTGTATCATTGGACCCTCGGACAGCCTCACCTGAGCATCTTCTTGCGTTGGAGGAAGGCACAGAGAGCGGGTAGGAGGAATCAAGCCCCGGTGGGCAGGAGCAGGCCAGCTGATGGGAACAGCAACACGGGGACTTTGGGAGCTGCAAGTCCCAACAAACACTGCAGCAGTGGCAACAATTCCGCTTTTGTTGAGGGACATGCGAGTCTGTTTGTTTGGGCACGGGCTGTGGCCCTTTGTGTTAACAATACAAGCTTTTGTTTCAGCACAGCTTTTGAAGTCAGAAGGCAGCATTGGTCCAGGTTCTAAAGCCAATTTGCTTTAAATGAGGCTTAAAGGAGCAAATGGGGCCCTTGAAGCTCCTGTGCAGCCCTACGCTGTTGGTAACACCGTTGAAGGTAACGTTGAACAGTAACACAGCTGCCCACGGCTTGTGCTTGTTGTCAGCAGCTGAATCTCTCCAGAAAAGGAGAATTTCAGTGGATATCAAGTCTGAATGTCCAAGCAATAATCCCCTGCAGCCTGGTCGTGCACCCCTCAGAGACGAGGTCCAAGCTTCTGCACTGGTGTGTCTTCCCTGAATGCCCCTGTGATGAAGCCAAGGCTTCGTTTCAGCCCTGAGGAGCCTAACAAACACCAAACGGCCATCAGTGTTCAAGGTTTTAAGGATTTGTTAGGTGAGAAGTGTTTGGAGGTATCCAGATATCCCATCCTTGAATGCTCTGGGGACTCTCAGGGTGAGGTGGAACAGATCTGTGAAGGCATCGGAGCGCTTCTGCAACACGCCTTCCCTTTGGGTTTCATCTGGGAGCCAAAGCAGGGGACTTCAAAGCTCCAAGAAGCACGTTCCTGAGCTAAAATGAAGCTCAGATGTGGACAGAGGACCAAGCTTCAGATGCAGGCAGGTTAAAAGAGGGTTTCCTGGCTGCTCCTGCTCCCAGGTACTTGTGCCAACGTCCTCAGCTCTGCCGCACGGGTGGTTAAGCTCCCACGGAGCAGCTGCTCAACAGCTGCAGCTTACTCATCCCATATGAAAGAAACCCCCAAATCTCTGTGAAATTTCCAGGGGTTTAACAGCTGCTGCCTGAGCCAGGCTGTCTGTGCCATGTACACGGGGACGCTGTTGGGGGGAAGAGGCAGGCCAGACAGCTGGGAGCTGTCATTCCTACAGCCGCTTACTTTTTCATCTGCCTTTACTCACGTCAGAGCCTTCTGAGTGCAAATTGGAGAGCGGAGAGGGCCTTTGGATTGCTTTTCCTCCCCTTTTCTCACCCCAGCCCCGCGATCGCGGTGCGTCGTGGGAGCCAAAGCCTGTCACCAAAGGATTTATTTCAGGGGAGGCTTGTCGGTGGGTTTCATCTCGACTAACTTCTAGACATCCAAGCATCTCAAAAGCTCGTTATTGGGAATGCAGAGGAGCACGGTCCAGCAAAAGTGCCATTCAGCTGAATTGGGTGGCAATTTTAGGAGCAGACAATTTGTTTTCTGAAGACTCTCAAATTCCTTTTTTTTTTTTTAATTTCGGCTGCAGCTGGGACAGACCCCGGGATGTGCTGGATCTTCTGGGAAGGCCGAGGTGTCCTGCAGAGACGAGAAACTCTTGAGGGAGGAGAGCCACTAAAAATCAGGAAATTGGTTGTGTACTTTGAAAAACCCACGCGGAGCCATTTGCCAGAGGTTCTGGAGGGTGTTTAAAATATCCCCACATTAACAGGCTGTGGTGTGACCGACTGGCCAGCCGTGTTTGCCTGGGGAGAGGAAAGGTTTTATGCCCAGGACGTAGCGGGGAAAAGTCTGGGTCACCGGCAGGGTTTCGTTTACCTCAGTCAATAATGAAGTGGAGGATAAAATCTGTGGTATTGCTGGGATTTCACCTAAAAATGCCTTGTGCAAAGACTTACTTTTATTTCCTGGCGTTTTGCATTCTCTCTGCATTTAGAAAAATAAAACGAGTCATTAATCCTTAATCAAAACCAGTTCTTAATTCTCCTTTTTAATGAAATTGTGTTTCTGCTACGAATCCCTTCTTTGTTCTCAAATGTTATTTCAGGTTAACCAGGAAACGAGGCGTTTTTCAGCTGTGGGAAGCAGAGGTGCTGGATGTGGTGATGCTGCAAAATTGAAGACACGCGCTGAGGTCTTGTCGTCTTGGCACTGGGTTTTGATTGGCATTTCCCTGCTTCATTTCTTGCTAAATGAGCCCCCTGTAGCAGATCATCGGTCTCTGTTCAGGTAACAAGAGGAATCACACCTTCTGGGAAGAATTTGCCCTCCAGTGAGACAGTGGCAGGTCATTTATCTCTTTCTTTCGGTTGCTCTGATTGAAATTGTAACTCAAGATGTGGTTTAAACAAGATCAAAATGCATGAGTCCCAAAAATCCTTGGCCACGTGGAATCTTGTTCCTTTATCCCAGCCCTTCCTGCAGGTCTAATGGCTCCGAAGAGGTGGGATATGAGGAAAGGGGAGAGGCAGAGAGGTAGAAGGAAGACCTTGAGCTGAAGCTGTCATGCTAGGAAGGCCCCCGTAACCTTTGTGGCTTCCCCAGCAGCCTGAACACAGCGTTGGTAACCCTCTAAAAGCTCCACAAACAACACCAACTGGGATTGCTCTTTGCATCCATGAGCTGTGGGATGTGGGACTTGTCTCCGAGGATGGCTGGAGGTCCCCAGACCGGTGGGAGCTGGGCTGGCCCCCAGAAACTCTTGGGATGAGGCTGTTGGTGTGCTCCTGTGGAAGGCCCAGCAGCAAACAGGGCTGATCCTGCTTGGCTATAGGGGATTTGGCACCCCCAAACCCTCTCCTTGGCACAAAGAATAGAAATAAAAATGCCCCATGTTGTCCCCGTGGCACGACCACCCTCACCGGGGGGACAGGACGCGCCATCTCCTGGATGGTCCCGTTTGGGGACACGGCTGTGATGCCACCAGGGGTAAAAGGGGACGAGGTGAGGTGACAGCATCACTTTTGTCCCTTCCTTCCCTGTTACTGGGTTGATCCCGCTCTGGAGCAGGGGCTGGAGTCCAGAAAATGCAAAGCAGGACCCGTCAGCGCGGGCCGGGCGAAGGTTTGTTTTTTTGTTGTCTTGTTTCAAGCAGCCCCTGCGAGCAACTGGTGTGTGCGAGGGGGTGGCAAAGGAGGGGGGGGTTGCCATGGCAAAAGGGGATTTGCAGGGAATGAATAGCTTGCTTTTTCTCCCCCGAAATGAATGGGTTGCTAAGACCTCCCCGCACATGAAGACTTGTAGGTGCTACGTTTGGTGGCAGAAACCGCGCACAATATCCTCCCCCCCACCCCCTCCAGCTTTACGTTTTACACAGGCCTCTTAATACAACTCAATCTTATTACACACACACAAAAAAGTGATCTGGAGTGCAGATTGAGACAGACAAAATGCTCCCAGTGGGATCTATCTGTGCCTCTTCCCCAGTCCCCTCCAACGACAGGGATTAGCGGCGATGTTTGCACTGACTGTAACTAGGACATAAAGACCATGCTTCATTTCTTCCCATTCAGCTAATTCTTTACATTGCAGACACTACAGGAGCCATTTATGGTTGTGTTTTTTTTTTTTTTTGCCTTTGTGAAAGTGGGGTAGGGTGGGAGGGGGAGGTGGGGGGAGAAATCTACTGAGGACACTGTTGGCGTCGCCAAAGAAAAGCATCCTTTCAGGCGTCAGCCCCCAGCCCTCCTCTGCTGGGGATAAAAGAAGCCGCATCTCATGCCATGCCATTTGCAGGCAGTGCTGCTTCAAGACGAGGACCGTGATGCATTTGCAGAGCAACTTTTAAGACAGAAAGTGGTTTAGGATGGTCGGTTTGACTTCCCAGATCAAGGGCCGTGGCTGTATCGGCACAGGGGAGGGCTCGCTCTCACTGTTGACCCATACCCTAAAAAAAAAAAGCACAATACGGCATCAAATTTAGGTTTTTATTTTTATTTATCTTTTCTGGGAGACTTTGGGGAGTCGGGACGTGACAACGTGGGAAGGGTTTGGCCAAGACCCCAGGGAAAATAGTTTTGCCAGCCACGTTCTCACTCGTACGTGCCAATTGACAGCGCTCGTGTTTTCCTCACAGTTGGAAGAAAACTTCTCCGGCGGCCCCAAAAACACTTGTGGGACAAGATTTGTGTATAGACGCTGGAAGATAACTTGGTTCTGAGCAGATTTGTGCCATGACCTTGGCTTGTCTTGGGAGGGTGAGCGAGGCAACGTCAGCCGGAGCATCTCCGGGGGCATGGGATGGGAGAAGGGACAGCAATAATATGGCCAAAACGCCTCCTGGCTGACCCAGGGGTAGGCTTTATCTGCTCCAGAACTGTGCATCGATCTTGCCTCCGCAGACAAGTTGTGCTGACTCACTGCGGGTTCGGGAGAGGTTACGGGGTGAAATTGAGGCTTGTGAGATTGAAGGAAGGGCTCATAAATCTTTGTGGGTTGGAGGGCAGGCAGGGCTTTGTGTCACAGGCAGTGCTGGGACATGGTGACCCTCTCTGCCTCCTGGCTGAAGGCAAATCCTGTACAAGGAAAAGCTACAGAGCAAACCACGGAGCTTCAAAACACGCATTGTGCTGGTTTATTTCCTTATTTAATTGCAAACTTTCAGTCTGGGAGAGGAGAGTTGTGTGGTGTGGACACACCTCTTGTCATCATGGCTTGAAATTCGGTCCTTAGAGTTACGGAGCGTAATCCACCCAAGGATTAACCTGGATTTGTGCAGACAGGAGAGGAAAACTGACCTCAAATTGCCCCGTGCATCTTGGGTGACCCCAGCTAATGTGCCCCAAATGTGCGTGATATTGCATCTACGACATCTCACCTCCGTTCTTGTCAGTAGGAGAGAGAAGAGATGAACCTGAGCCGTCCCGCGGGGAAATACAGCCTGGGCAAGGAGTTCACCACATGCTTTGTAGCGTGATCCTGCACGTGCTTGAAGTGGAGGATGAAGCCTGAGTACGTTTCTCTGCAGCACGGCGAAATATCCTAGGAATGGGCAAGACCTGGTACGCGCTGCGTGGTTCTGGGCTCCTTCCAGGGAAGGGAAAGTATGAAAGGTACCTCGGAAAAAGCCATGCTCATCCCGACAGATTCACCTGACTTTAATAAATAAGAACAGAGGAAGTCTGCTGTCGGATTCGGAGCTGTGTGTTGGCTCACCCCTCACAGTCCTGTGCTGGGATTTATATCTCTAAACCTAAAGGATCAGGGATGAGAGGTGCATTTTGTTTCCACGGGATTGCCGTTGACTCAACTTCACGTTTTCATTTGAAGTCTGAAACAAAGATGGTTTTAGTTCATTGCTGTCTAGCGTGAGTGATGCTCTGCCCTTGCAAAAATGTAACATCCTTGTAAAATTTCGTGGTTTTCTGCTTTATCATCTTCCTGGTCAATCCGTGCAAGGAAAGAGATCAAACATCTGTGCTTCTCCAGAACGGAAACCAGTCATATTTGAATGAATTCAAAGTGAGGTCAGCACGTACGTATTGCCATCTGTGTCATCTTTACCTTGCCGATAGGAGAATTAGAAGGGATGATAGATGTAGGATGGAAAAAATAAATGCAACTGTGGCATAACTGCATTTCCCAAACTGGAAACACTGATGTCACTCTCATCCCATGTCTTTTTGGGAAGTTGGTATTTTACACGTGCCAGGAAAATCATTCATATCCTACCTCTACTGGATACGTTTCAACAATGTGCTTAAGTTTATTGTTTGCAGTGTAACTTAACCTAATTCCTGTGCTCTTTGTGTTGTCTTTATAGTTAAAACCACCAAGAGTGGACTGATTTGCATGCTTTGATATTAGGAAATGTTCTGAACTGCCAAGATGGGTCTTCAAAGAAGACCCAAGATGGCTCTTCAAAGGCAGGTTGGAGATCAAAACCCCTTTTAGACTTTCTGTTGTGAAAGCAGCCAGCATCACACTACGTTACGTCGTGGAAAACATTGTAGGACACGAGGGAACCTTTTCACTGACTGCTGTCATCACGAGACGTCGTATAGATGGAGCTGAAGGTGACTTTAGGTCTTGTTGTGTCTTTGGCCAGATGGATGGACTCCATCCTACCCTATTTTCAATTTTTCAGTGGCCATATCTCTATTTTATTTTTTTTTTTATTAGTGAAAATTGCTTAATAATGCCAGGAAGCCAGCTAACAGTTGGCTCCAGGTGGATTACCTCAGTTATCAATTAACCCTAAGGGGTGAGTCAGAGCTTTCACTTTCATCTAGAAGCTCCGTTTCCTCATCACCCAATTTATGCAACGGTGCAGCTGCCGTGGGTACCTGCGAGAACTTGGCCGGAGGAGGAAACGCACAGACAATTAATTGCTCCATCACCAACTGCTGAAACTCTCGTAACTAATACAAACCAGGACATTCTCAGCAGCCCATAAATCATCGCTGCTTCCCACATCCAGTGTCTTATCTCAGCGTAAAGCAGCTTTCCACTCCCTAGTGTAGTTTGTCTGCAGGTTTCCTTTGTCTCTGAGAACATCTTCGGAATTAGCACCAAAAGATGCAGCTCACCTGCAAGGGGGAGTGCTGGTAGGTTGTTTCTGAGCAGATCTGCGATTAATTACTAAATTGTTCCAAGTGAGAAGAGTTTCTCAGGAGGGAAAATGCTGCTTTGTTTCAGAAATCCGAAAGCAATCAAAAAACTCTGAAAAATTAAAAAAAGCACTGAAGATGTGACATGACAAGTGCAGCTCATCACACACCTCTGGATGTAGGAACACCACTGGGCTCACCAAGCTCAGCGCAATGTATTTGGCTGTCGTTTCAGCTCAGGTATCGAGGTGGAAAATGGGAAGTAAAGATAACCCCGTAGTAAAACCACCACCCAAGTTCAACAATTTCACATTGATTCCTGCATGGGTGGTGGCCCTGGCCACAAGGACAAGTGCTCTTAGTGCTAACAGAGAGTGCAATCACACCTGATGCTAATTAACCCATCAGCTGGGAGGGTTAATGAGTGAGGTTGTCCCCCTTCAATGTTGTGATGGGTTGGATAATGGGGTTAGAGTAGTAGTAGGGGAGCAGCAGGAGGTTGGATGATGGAGAAGCAGGATCTTCAAGCTATGTAATCACTTAGAAGTTTGTTTTCTGCCTTTACTTCCAGATGAAATATCTAATTTTGGAGGAAAAAAAAATAAATAAGGTAGGTGTTGGAGATGTAGAGAGGAGAAGAAGCTGTCTGGGTGTCTGCTCATTTGGCTCTGGTGGGATTTTGCTGTTTCTTCCATAAAAAGAGGAATATAGAGGCGTTGTATTTTTTTTCCTCTTTGGAGACTGACTGAAGAATGTTGTACTCATAAATGAGCAAAGGGATTTTCCTTTTTTGGGGATATTACTCTGTGCAGTTACTAAACTGGCTTGAGAAATGTTTTCTGTCTAAAGGCGTTCAATGAAACTGTTGGAGCACTGATGGAATTCAGAAGAACAACATTTAGGAAACAAGTTACTGTGAATTATTCACTTATTTATTTTCTTAATGCTTGTCTACCTATTCTAACAGTGTCTTTTTTCTTCGTTTGCTTTGCTTTATGCATCTATATGTTACTCCCAGAGAACATATGATTTCCTTGGATGGAAATAAGGAAGGAATACTTAAATTATTAATTTTAAACAAATGTTGGGGGAAGTGATTTTTTTTATTACTCTAATGTGAATACTTCTAATCTTCAAACCTACGGTTCACGTCTCAAATTTTCCCTTTATCATTTAAAGTGATTCTTACTGTTAGTGTAAATGTATTTAGAATAAGCTTTGATTTTTCAAGTCAATTCATGAAAATATGTACGTGTGAGCCTCCAGCTATTGTTCATTTTAACTGCAATGTTAGTGGAATAATAATTTGATTTTTTTTATTGAAATATATTCACAAAACCAGATTTATCTTTGCGCTGGGATAGGAACGAAGACAACAGATTCCAGAAGTTTTACAGAACTGAAGAGCTGAGGCTTTTTGAAGATAAAACATGAGCTCATTTCCTCGTTCAGGGTCCCAGGAGCACTGCACGTTACCAAATCTCTCGGCGTGCAGCGATCTGCATACGAACCATCCATCTCGGAGCATTTGGGGAGTTAAGGCACACCCTTGCGTGAAATCCTTTGCATGTTTTTCCTGTTTTGCAGCATTGTGTTATTAGATACAAATTCTATTTGCAGTATAGCAGTCTTTGATCTCTTCTTTATTGTGTAGGTGAGCGGTGTCTCACCATCTCACTTTCCTGCTGAAGAAGGAAAGGATTTGGTACAAGTTAGTCATAGTTGCTAGATAGAGAGCTTAAGGAGTTGACTTGATGATCCTTGTGGATCCCTTCCAACTCAGGATATTCTATGATTCTTAAGGAAGTAATCAACCTATTCCTTTTTTCTCTTTTTTTATTTTTTTAATGCGGGAACAAACCTCTTCTTGAACTCATTTGCCTAGGTATCTTCTTGCGTAGTGATTTTTATGTTGGGACAATCCCTCTGGAAATGCTCTCCTCCTTCTCCTGGTTGTAGACAAGATGCTTCCTATGGAGACAGCTAGATCAAGGTGGAACGACGTTTCCCATCAGTGTCCTCTTCACAAAGGTGTTTGAGACCAGAAGCAGAACTTGAGGGTCCCATTTCAATGCACAATACTTATATAATAGTTTAAGCACAGTGGCTGCTTAGATTTTTAATTTTCCTGATGAGAAGCAAACCCAAAGTCCTTGTGTTTCCTGGAGGTCCCAAAGTGCTTTTCTCCCTCTTACCTTTACCTCTCATTTCCTCCTCCTAGTTTCAGATGATGGTGAATTCCTTTGTTTTCCTTCTTCTAAAACGCAGCAGAATTAAGGCTTTTTACCCAAGGGGCCACCCCTACTCTCCCTGGTAGGTGATCCTGTTTGTCATTGTTTCTGTGGCAGCTTTTGGGCTCTGCAGATCACCCAGAGCCTGGTGATCTCTTTCCTAGTGGATGTTTTTTTTGGTGGGTGCCAGGACAGCCCATCTCAGAACATATCATGGTTTGACTTATTTTTAACAGCTTAACTTAGCACGGGTGAAACCACTTGTGGTTTCCTGTTTTCATTATCTGGCTTTCCTATTGTTTGGCAAGGATGTTTTTTAGGGGCAGAGTCAAGCCTCTGGGCCTGCTTGTTGCCTCTAACGTGGGGCTTGGAGCTCCCGTGTGGGTACTGAGGGCACACGTGGGCTTTGTGGAAGGGGTTCGCATCCTATTTTGAGAAGTATCAGCGTTGCGTTGCAAAGGAGCAGGTAAAGAAAATAGATCTTAGCCTCATCTCGTCACAAAGTCAAGTCTTTCACCGTTGATAGCCCATGTCTCATAGCTGGAGACTGTCGCTGATTTATAATATTGCATAAAGCCCCAAGTAGCAGAGTAGACAAAACAGGAAGCCAAAAAGTTCTTCAGATAAAACAACTATTAAGAAGCTGATGCGTGCTGGAGAGCCCTACAGAATGATGGGGCTTTCCCCAGAACTGTGGGAAAAAATAGACTTTCCCACTGGAAGATATAATTTAATCACTGAAATTGTCCAAGTTGTTCATCTACCTTCTTTTTAAACTATGAAAACTGTTCCTAGAGGTGACTGTAGGGAGAAATCCATCTGTCTTTCTTCCCCCAGCCCCAAGTTACACCCCCTGTTGGTACAACCATGGAAAATGGGAGGGATATCTGGGTTTCTCCTCACTGAAATTTCCTAGAATTAAAGGTTATTTGCCAGCCCAAGTGCACGAGGGAAAGGGATTTGCTCTTAATGGCCACCTGCACCAATTCTGCAGGAATTGAGGGTAATTTTGTGCTGCCTTCTTGGCTATGGGTTGGCTTACAAGCAGTTATCTGCCTCCAGGCTTTAGGTGAAATGAGGACATGAGGGGAGAAAGGAAAAAAAAATAAAAGCAGAGGTGCTGTTCTCCTTGGAAAAGAGCCTCTGCTGCTTCAGAGCTGAGGATATGGGTAGCTAAAGGAGCCTTAATAATAGGATTTTTGGGCTGCTGATGGGATGTGTCCCTAAAACCTCTAGAGGCCAGGAGGGACGGGCATGCTTTGGTCATCCGTTCACTCCCAGCTCTGTCATCTGTCCAGCTCTTCCCAAAACACCTTCTCTTATTGCAGTGACATCACGGTGGGCCGCAAGGTGACCTTGTTCCCTAAAAACATCCGAGAGACCCTCGGCTTTTTAGTTCCTCTCATTAACAAGGAAAGCTTCTCGTTTTTATGGGCTGAGCCCCGGAGGTCGGTACGGGTGAGCGGATTTCTGTCATGTTTCCCCGAGAGCTGGCTAATTTATAGCCCAGGATTTCTTCTATGAAAAGACGAAAGCCCTCGCGTTGTTTAAATGTTTCAAGTCTTTCAGGAAGCACTCGCTGCGGTGAGTGCTGATAGAGCTGCCTCACGCCCGGTGCCCTGGTTTATGTTCCGCGGGTGGTTGATTCGTGGTGGTGAGTTTGTGGTTTGTTTTTTTTCTTCTTTCTCTAGATGCAAGGCAATTTCCTGAGCAAGCCCGAGGCTGAGTGTACGCCACGTGTATCTCCAAAACCAGAGCTGGACAACTTATCTACTTTGTCAGGTTGTTTGCTTTGAGCACGAGCTCTCCCCAGGCCGTGGGTGAGAGGAAGGTGGCACGGGACCAGGTGAAGGGCCAGTATTCGCAGAAACACTTCAAAAAAAGACAGAATTAATTATCAGGGGTCTTAAAATCTTCTAACAAATGCTTCCCTGTGAAGCAAGAGTGTGCAGGCAGCACCAGGTGAGAGGGGGCTGATGCTTGGCCTACAAAGGCCTTGTGAACGAGCGGTGCTTTTCCTATGGCAGTTCTCAGCTGAAAATGCTTGAAAATGCTTTTATTTATCTATCCTACTGCTCAGCAACAGTAAACACCGTCCCCTCTTCCTTCAAAATGGCTCGCCAATGTTTATATCAAATATTTTTACCAGAAATAGATGTTCTTGAAAGCTTCATCCACTTGAGCTGCTGCACCACAGTGAAAAGAATTTGGGGCTGGATGGAGAAGTTGGACTGTCTGGCCCTAAAAGCAGAAAACCCATCCATGAGTGGCTTCTCTGCTCCTTTCTGTGTTGGATGGATTAGCTGGATTTACATGTCCACCTGGATGAGATGCTTAATACTGAGCCGGTGACATTTTCCTCCTGTACACAGGCCGAGTGGCTGCACACCCCTAGAAGAAACTTCATTTTTCTGTTTTTCTAAGAAGTTCACTGTTTGTCACTGCCAGTAAATGACAACAGGAACACCTGAGAGGTAGGAAGGAGAAAATGTGGTTTTCTTTCACAGAAAGACAAATTCGGGGAAACAGAAGAACAACAAATTGTAGACCTAGAAACTCGAACTCCCAGGGTCCTTTAGGATTTTCTCTCTCCCTACAAAGTGGCTTTAAACAAAAACCTACAAAACTTCAAGGGTGGCAGGGAGAACCTTTCTGGCCAGCTCTGCCCACCAGCTTTCCTTCTGCATTTTATATTATTTTGGTTTCTTTTAGATATGAGTTGCAACAGGCAGATTATGGGACAACAGTTGATATTGGGATTAAAGCTGGTAGAGATCAGAAGTCAGAGCTGTGGGGCTGCAGATATTTCCTGCTGGAAATGCAGGAGGAACCATGCCTTCATGTCCTTGTTTCATTTAAAACAAAAATCAAAGCTGACAATGCTTGGAAGAACTTAACCTTTTCAGGGCGTCTGCTGACAGTGAGTGGGGAATAAAGTGAGGGTATGAAAAATGTGAACTCTAATGTATTTTTTTTTCCTCTGCAGCCAGGAGGGATTCTCCGGGCATGTTCATCCCTTCCTAAGAAAAACGATAAACACAAGGGAAGTCATCTTCTAAAGTGCCCATTATCTCCTCTGACTGCAAGAAACCTCTCGCTGACGCTTGTGTGTCAAACATCGAGCGGCCTGAGCTTAAGTGAGGTGACTGTGACTTGGTGACCTGCGAAATATTTATTTTTGCTCTTTTGTGGTGGACCACGGTGGTGTCTCCATCCTGCTGTGTCACCCGGTCTGGTGGTGTGATCGCTTCCACGACCTCCCAGGGGTTTCTTTCTTGGGGTCCCACGGGCTGGATTTTGGTCATGTCACAATTCCAGGGTTTTGTTTGAAATGACAACTGCTCCTCACCACAGCGGGGAAATTCTGTGGAGAACAAAACAAATGTGCCCCGGGCGTTCGGACGTCACAAGGGAACTGTTTCTGTCTTCTGATTTTTGTGATGTTTTAGAGGGTCTGACTCATTTTCTTTGAACGCCTGGGAATAGCGAGCCCCTTCTCAGTTCAGTCTGTACAGCTCTGAATCTTGGCACTGTGTCTGCAACAGCACAGAAACAAAATCCAGACGGTCAAGGACACTTGGATTTGTTTCCTAAATTCTGTCCTTCACAAGAGCCTGGCCCACAGGCAGGTGCTTCAGCTGGATCACGGAGCCTCAGCCTATGGATGCTTTAATCTGTGCTTTGGCAACAGAATTTCAAGCCTGTTTTCTGCTCTGAGTCCTATTTCTGTCTGCTTTTTCATGTACTCTGTCCCTTAAGAGACATCCCCAGGTGCTGGCAGTGCAGCGTGAGGCCCTTGTGACGTGCTGGATGCTCTCTGTGCTGCTCGAACCCCTGGCTGGAGGCATTTGGCTGCTCGGAGTGGGGTGCTGTGGGCTCGGGATGCTTTCTGGATGATCCTGCAGATGATGGATGGGGTCAGATGTGTAGGTTAGGAGTAATCGAGTCCATGAGTAACAGGCTACGTCATGCTGGGAAGGCAGGAAGGGGAGAATTTGGCTTAATTTTAACCTGCAAATATGACTCTTGTGATTTTTCTGTGATCAGTCACAGCTAGGAACTGAATCTGGATAAAGTATTAAATCCAATTGTGTAACTGTGGACGTAACGGGTCCCTAAATATCTTCAGGCAGTTCATCCAGAGCAGCGCCAAGGTCCTCTTTCCTCTGAAATAATTCCTGGGATGTTTTACACATCAATGCAAGAGACTCAAGGAGCATCTTGGACCTCACTGAGGCTTGCTCAAAGGTCTCCTCTGCAAAGCAGGTATCTTGAGACTTGCTTAGAGGCATGGCCAACCTTTAGACTCTCCTCTCTCTTCCAAGGCTCATAAATATGCTCGTAACTGCTGTGCCAGCTGCCCTCTCACCCTCTTTACCCACAGAGAAAGGTGGTTGTGCTGGATGTGTGCCTGGAGCAGGGGATGCCTCACCCCGACTTGGTGATGATCAGGAATTCACCCGGATGCTTCAATGATGAATTTTTTCTCAAAGCATGACATTAATGTGTAATCCAGCCTACGTGGCCAACCGAGGAATTCAATTCAGCGGTGCAGAAGTTCCTCCTGCTGTTTTGGCTGGAACAGGGGATTTTCTTGCCCCAAGCCCCCCGTTCGACAGGTGCTTTGTGTCATCTGGAAATAGCTGCCTTTTAGCACGCAGGCTCAAGGGGATTTCATGGGGAGCCCACGATTTGCTTTCAAGCTTGGCTTATGTGACGTTAAAAGCTGACTCCACATGTAATAAGCCCTAATTTTATTAAAGCAGATTTCAGGGTGGGCTCTCCGACAGCAAATACCATGATCACAAATACAGAAGAGGATTTTTTTGGGGGGAAGGGTTTGTTCAGGGCTTAGTTATTGTTCCAAATGACGGTGTGTCCAACCTAACCCACAGTAATGAAGAAGAGATCGTGTCACAGAGCTGCTGTTGGTTGATAACAGAACAACCTGCCTTGGCAGCTGGCTTGCTCAGGATCAAGTCAAAGCAGGAATCTTGGCCCTGCTTCTGAAAACAGGATGCCAAGCGAGCTTTTTTGGGTTTCAGTCGATTATGACTCCACCTGCAAAACATTCCCAACCTGGTATGTGCTTTTCCTGAGGTTGTCCTGATATGGTTAAATAGGATCGTGGTTCCCCCCAAAAAAACAGGAGGTGTTTTGCTTGCCCTCTCTTGCCTGTCTCTTTCTCTCCCTGATCTTTTTTTTTTGTGAAAAGGAGGGGTAGAAAATATTAAGTCTGCTCAGAATAAAGATAATTTCCTGCAGCATAAGAGGAGTGTTCTCGGTGGTGTCAAGAAAAAAGGATCTTAAACAACAAGATGCTTGATTTTTCCATTTAGCCCTTGTTACTTTCTTTGTTTTTTTGCAGAGGATCGGCCACTGCAGCATCCCTCGCAGCAAGTTGTGTGAATGCACCGTGAGCCAAGCACACCCCTCCCAGCGTTGTGTGGGATCGTGGCGTGAACTTCCTGATGTCATGCGGGAGCAGCAACACGTCCTTCATCTCCTGTGTATCACACCAGCCCATCCAAACGGGTTTAATTAGCTGTGAGTGGAGCAAACTCTTGCAGAAATCGATTTGAACGTGCTTTGCAAAGTGAGGTATTCCCGGCAAGTGCTGCAGTTTCACAAAGTCACCCTCTCGTGTTTTGTAATCGCTCTCTGAAAGATTCAGAGAGATGATGGAAACTGGGCATGTGGACAAATCCCTCACACCGGAGACCCCAAGCAAAGGGAAGCGGGGAATTCTCTCTCCTTTCAGCTGCTGAGACTTTTCTCTCTCTCTCCCAGAGGTCCTTTCTAAAAAGCTGAGCTGCTTCTCAAAGCTGATGTCAGTTACACTGCGTGCAACAATCCAAGAATGACTACCAACATCTGCTGTTCTTCCACGGATGCAGCAGTAGGTTTTCAAATGCAGGTTTCAGATGTTGAACATATCCAAACGAGCAAATTTTAAGTAAACCTCTACATCCAGCTACGATTCTTATTTTATTCAGCCCGGATTTGCATGACTCAAGCAACAGGGCACAAATTGATTCTTTCCAAAGATAGTTCTGTGCTTTAAGAGATGTTACTTCATCACGAGAGAGATATTGAAACGAGGATGCAAAGAAGTAACAGCACACTGTAATGGAGGGACCTGTGCACAAAGGCTTGCTAGGGTGGTCCCTTATTTTTAGGAGCTGGGGGGAATGAGGACTGGGGAGCCTGTGTGTTCAGCAGCAGCTTAGCAGGGAATTTGGGACTTTTTTCAGCACTGCCCTGAGGGGGCGCAGGCATCTGCGGTGTGAAGTCTGCTGGAGGACAGCTTTGGGTGCTGGTGGCCCAGCTGGGCTCAGTCCTATCCATGTTGTGCATGGGGAAAAAAAGCTTTATAGGAAATATGAGCAATTTATTAGCATGGATTATAGCTGGTTCAGTGCTTGAACTTGTTCTCTGGCTATTTTATTTAAGGGTGTAGGTGCAACTTCTATGGTTCTTGCTTTGCAGTGCCTAGGTAGGAAGGGCAGGGAGTCCTAGATGCAGTGCCCACACGTGCTCCATCATCTCTCCAGTAGGTACAAGCTGAAAAAGTTCCCCTTTTGGGAATAGGGAGGGGGACAGAGCTATCTTGCAGAGCTCCAAGTCCCCTTCTTTGTCCTTCCTCCAGTTCTTGAAGCTCAGGGAGTTTACTTTCCCACAAAGGCTCTTTCCCTCCTCTTAAAAATATTTACTCCATTAAAATCCCTTCCAGGCTGTAAACGCTAATCCTCTCAGCTCGCAGTGATGCTGCACTTGGCACTGAAACAGTAATTAAAAAAAAAAAAAAAAAAAGCAGGCTTCCCAAATTCTGAGGGAAAGGAGGTCTTGCTTGCAGTTAAACTGATTGTCCTCTCAGTTGTCACTTGGAGGAGTGCTGCAGAATCGTCCTTGTGCATGAAATCCCAGTACAAGTCACTCCGAACAGCCGGGGATGTTTTCATTTTCCCCAAATCAAAGCATTCGGGACTAGACAAAACAACCTGCCGGGAGACAGCAGCTACAGGCTCGCACCGGGCTTCTCGGAGGGATGGTGGATATGGGAGCAGCTCTCAGGCTGGGTTAAATTACATCTTGAATATTCAGGTAATTGTAATAAAAGTGGTTTCTACTTCTGATTTTAGGAGCTGAAGGGAGCAGTGCTGCAGAGAGAAAGCTGGCTGCGAAGTCGCCTGCCCCTTGGGGCCCAGCTCTGCTCTCCAGTAAGCGAGAGTGTTAATTAACATATCTTATTGTTTCTATTTCCCTGCTTTGCATTGGTGCTCCCAGCCCGCATCAGGGAGAGCGTTTGCCCTGAAAAGGCTTTTCCAAGTCTCTGCCCTGGCACTTTCACGTGGGATTTCCAACCACAGCAAGAGAGGCAGCAGCTGCTGACAGCAGGGAGGTGGCCAGCCCTCGGCGCGTGCAGCAAGCAGCTGGTATTTCTGTCTCCCTCCCGTTTGCAATTAATACGTTGTGCTGTTGTGTATCTGCAGCTTGGATGGATTTTGGCTTAGAAGTGTCTAACCCCACCTACACCCTGTTCACATCGACACCTACACCATTATGTCCCTGTTGCTGTTCTTTTTTTTTCAGTTTCATTAAGCACTGGATGCAAAAGGACCTTCCTGATGTTTATTTTTGAATCTTCTGCTTGGTATTTTAATTCATTGCCTTCATTACTTGGTCTGGGAGAGTGGATGTGAAAGAGGCAGACTGGGCACCGAAGTCATATCTGCCATAATCTCTTTGATAAGGCACAAAAGCATGCAGTTGCACCTGTATTTTTGGAAAATACCTGTTATTTATGTGTGGATACTAATTACATATATAATCTTTGATTCCTGGAAGTAGTTACAGCACCTTTTTTTTTCTTTTATTGCAGATTCTTAATTTCCCATAGGCTTATGTGCAGCTGGACGTTGCCCAACGTTCCTCTAAAATCAGTTTCTACATCGGATGCATGCATTTCCAAGCCAAGATTTTCCATCTTCATTTTGCATGTCCAAATGGAAGTGAGAGTCTCGAGCAAGCACAGACCTTTCTGACATCCCAAGACATCCAGTAGACATGGAAAGCTGAGGCTTTGAGGTTGTAGGTAAGACCGTAGGAATTGTGATGGGGAAAACTCAAACCCAGCACAAGCAGGTGCTGCGTGGCCAGCCTCAGAAGGTCCCTAGTCCTTTATAATATCAGCAGTGAGGTTTGGCAAAAGCCACAAAGTGTTAGGGTTCAATCTGTGTGAAGCTTAACAGGAACTGAAGTCGCAAGTACCGACAAGAACCTGCTCAAAGGTGTATTTATGGATTGTTGACTCACATTGCTTGGGGTAAGCAAGGCACAGGCAAGATTTTGGGCTATTTATGCCTTGAGTTCTGTCATTTCTTTCCTCAGAGATAAATACCTAATATAAAATAATTACTTTTATATAAGAAAAGGGGCAAGATTACTAAATAGCTGTGCAGAGCATGTAGAATACTAGGACTCTACGTTGCTCTGCAGCACACCTCATGCAGCACGTTAAAGCTATTAAAGACTTCATGAGAAATTTTAAGGAAGTGGAGGAAGGGGAACACCTGAAGGATGTTTCTAAGCACTGAACATGGCACTCTGGAAAAGAGAAGTGATGAGAAGTTGCAAAGCTTTCAAAGTTCATTTCCTGCTCTGGGAGAAGTCTGAGCTCACAGTAATGGCTAAACCAGTGGGAAATAGAAATTGTGGCTTGTTGGTTGTTGTTGTTGTTCTTTGGTTGCTTCAGTTTGTTTCAAAAATGCTTTTCTTAAATTTCTATTTCTCTGTGGATTTTTTTCATAGCTTTTTTTTTTTTTTTTAACCAAGCACAACTAAAAATAGAAATGGATTCTCTAAAACACTTTACAGAAAACAGCAGAATTACTTTTTCTTAATGTTGCACACAACACCAAAGAAAAAGACAAAAATGGCAAAGGGAGGGGGTCTAGCCTGAATTTTTTTCTTTAGCTAACTTGAATAACCTGGAGGTTTGTTCTTCCAGAATCGCTAATATCATGCACTGAAGCCCTTTACAGCTCTGAATGCTCCACATGTCCCTAAATTTTGTGGAACAAAAAGTGATATTTCAATACGATATGTAATGATATTGCAAGGAGTATGGTTCAGTTAATCTCAACCCTTTTATACATAAAACATTTTTTTCAATTTAAGTAAGCCTGTATACCGGTTAAGTGCAGGGAATAGGTTGGCCATGAAGGTCTTGGTTGCAGTGATTTAGTGCGAGGTGATTGCTTTCAATTCCTCTGGATTTTTATGGGGTGAAGGCGAAAGCCAAAGATGGTAGGATTAAGACTGGTTGGCTTCAGGTTGGGTTTGAAGCTGGCTCTCCAGCCCGGAGTTTCTTAGTACGTGCATTTTCTGAAGCCCTGATTTCTTAAATCCTCAAATTCCAGCATGTGACTGTAGCGTTGCCAGGTCACGGGTTTCTTTCACAAGTCTCGCAATTTGCTGTGATGCTTTTTCTGAAGTTTGAGTTCTTCTGTTTGCGACAAACCCAAACAAACTATTAAATAAATAAACAAAGCCTCTGGCTGTCTCTGCTGTGGGGGGGAAAAATCTTAACAAACATGACCAGAGCATAACCCGATGGTGTGAGCGGATCCTTGCCCCAGGAAGGAAGCGGCATCCTTTTGGGGTTGGACCCAATGATCTCTTGAGGTCCTTCCAACCCCTACAATTCTGTGATTCTGTGATCCTTGGGTCTGCAGCGATGTTATTTACTAGGGAAGGTAGAGCTGGGCCTGCTGGCTGGATGTTGTGCTGTGGTGCTCTCAGGGCACTGCTGTGGGGCTGGCACCTCTGCAAATGATGAATTTGGGTTGCTTTGAGGTGCAACACCTCCCAGAGAAGAGCTGGCCTCTTGGGTTGCACAGAAAAAGGGCAATGTTGTAGCCTCCCTACCGCATGTATGGATTGAGGGAGGTAAGGCTCAGCCATCAGCTACAGAAACTTGTGGGATGTACCCACAGAGCGTGGAGGGGAGGCCGAATCATCTCTTTCTGGCAGTTGACAGGCAGAAAGCACTCAATGCATTGAAGCAATGACACCTTAGATCCAACAGTGGCTTTCTTACCTCCATTGGTAGCTGCAAAGATGTTATAGGGGTGTAAGAAGGGCTGAGATCTTGACGCTCTCCTAACTTCCACCATAGGCCCAGGTGCTGGTGCTGAAGCAGGACTTGTTCTGTTTAATCACAGTAGCTTCGCCTGAAGAAAAATGGATTTCCTGTGAAAATCAGAAACTACTTCAGAACAGAGAGAGTGACTTGGAGCCCTTCCTCACCGAATCCTTTCACCCAGTGAGTATTGGTGTCGTTAATTCAGAAGATGCATGGGCAATCTACTCTGACTCAGAGATAGAGCATAATGAGGTCAGGGAGTCGTGCCAAACGTAGGTGTGTGCAATTTGGCAGCGAAGCTGTGTGGTACAAAAAAAAAGGAATGTGAAGCATTTTCCAGAGCCATTTTGGGAAGTGAGCAGGTAAGGGTTTTGACTCACTGAGGCCGGGGAAAGCCGAGGTCCTGCTGAACATCTCCCTCTGAGCAGATGCCAGCCCAATTTTCATCTGGTATCGAACAAGAAAGCTACTGTACTTTGACACGGAGTACTTCTTCTTGGTCTTGTTTGTCTGGAGGCCCTGTCAGAACCAGATTTATTGCCCTCGATGCTGTGCAAACACGTGGGAAGGTGTAGCCTTTCCCTTTGAAGGACTGAGTGATATGGAGATCCAGATTTGACACAAACCGTGTGTATCCAGAGGTGACTAAAACGGCCTGATTAAACTTAGGGAAAGGCCTGTGTACAGTGCGTGGGCAAACTCATCCATCATGCAGCTCTTGTGTTCTTCTTGTTGGCCCGAAATTGGAACAATGTGTTGGGGATGAGGAGGATTAGCAGTCCTGCAGTGATTCTCCATTTCTGCTCTTCTTTGATCCCAGTCTTAACACATTTCTGGGAGTTACAGTCTGGGCAGGAGCAAGGCCTTGGCCCCGGTACAAGGCTGACTCGATGGAGCCTTCCAGAGCAGCCTCCCAACTGTTTGCAGTTCGGCCTCATGTTTGGATTTGATCCATTGTAGAAGTAAGAGCCACCCAAGGAGATCTGATCTAATTTTAAACTTTCCAAGAACATTCAGAGGTTCTGACAGGGATTCTCCGTTGAGAGTTGAAGTAGAAGGAGAAAAATATATACACAAGCTCCGTGGCCAGATAAATAAGATCCTAGCAGGGAAGGTTTGTCATGACATAAACACAGATGCTCCTTCACAATTATATATTCACGGGGAATTTATGTCTGTCTGGTCATTTATGCAATCCCTAAAGCACTCCATAAAAGCGAAGGCAGCCAAGCAGGGTAAAGCCTGGTTAACTTGGCTCAAAATTACCTGGAGCAGTCCCAGAAACACGAGGAGAAGCTGACGAATGCCCACCAGGTAGAGGCATCTGGGAGGAGGAGCACCTGATGGAGAGAAGAATTGGCGGTGGTTGTTCTTGATGCAGCGAGTTTCTGGGGGTTTCCCATAACCAGAACTTAGTGTTCCTGTTTATGTATTTCATGTGTGTGCTTTAAACAAGGGCAAATTACATTTTTGGCAGGGAAGAAAGAATCTCTTGATGATGTTTCTAGGTTGTCAAAACTCACTTCCTTGGGGTAGGGTGGTCTTCGTTAGCACCTGGAGAAGACACGATGCTCAGAGTCTTGCTGGACAAGTCTGCCATACAACAAAAAGTCTTATCCTAAATGACTTGAACACAAGAAGACGACAGATTGGGAGTGCCAAAAAAGTGAAGATGCACCTCTAGGCAGAGCAACTGGGAGCAATCCACACTTGCCAACTGCTGAATTCCCCTTAGCAGCTGCATCCAAAATGTTTTTTAATCAATCCATGTTGTTTTTCCCCTTCCTGTCATGCAATCATTATGATTTGTCTCGTTTCCTCCCCCTCACTTTTCTCTCATGCTTTTCTGATGTTTAATACCCTGATTGTTTCCCCTTATCTCTCCAGGCCCTATTCCATTTTTCTCCGGGACTTTCCGAATACCCAGATCGCAGGTGCTCAAACTACAGAAGTGGCCGGATGAAAAGGCCAGCTCCAACCACTAAATCCCCAGAGCCTGGTGTAATCTGAATCCTGAACACAGATTCTGGATAACAGATCTTTTGGGGTGGTGCTGCTGGACTTGAGCAGAGCCTGATTAAGCACAGCAAGCCCTTAAAATGACCTGTGAGTGAAACAGCATTGCACACACTGCATAATACATACTTTAAATTAAGAGAGAGAGGTATGAATATCCAGACTAGTGTTTACTAAGCCCCTGAAAGTCTACTGAGACCGTGTTTTGCAGTATTGGGCCTTTCCAAGCAAAATCAGAGAATACCAGTAATACTGGGAGGGAGCAGTTCTCCTGCCCAGTTTTGCAGGTTCATGACATTTAAAGCATTCAGGCTCTCAGATGCTGGTCCAAACCTTATGATGCAGTCGCTCCAGGCTGCGTTTCTGAGCATTCAGGGGAGATTTTTTAAAAGGTCAGGCTGTACAGTGAGGGCCAGATTTAGGAAAAAGCTCCAAACTGCGTTTGGGCTGTTGAATAAACCTAAGCAGCTCCTTTCAGGATTTACTAGGTGCAGAACTGGGTGTTCCACCATCAGAAAAAGGTACCGATCTGGCCAGGCTTTGAGCTACTGCAGGATTAGGGCTCCCAAAATACTGTCCTGACAAGCGTAATGCTGACCTGAGAGATGCAGCGAGGTGTGGGAAATCTGTGTTTCTGCACCAGAAGGAACAGATGGATATTAAACGAGCAGACTTCCCTAAACACGTGTAACCGATAATTTTCTAAACAAATGCTTCAGGTAGAAAGTCTACAGGCAGAGCTTTTATTTACTTATTTTAAGCTCAGGAGAGTGGTCTCTGTGCATCAGCCTGCTGCTGGCTAGGCTCAGGGACTGGTGGATCAGGTTTCTGCCTACATTATTTGCACGTGGGGGAGGAAAAGCCCTTCCTCCTGTGACACAGCAGCAGCCCCGAAGAGGCCAGGGCTGGATTTTCAGCTGCCTGAGTCCTGCACATCGGAACAGATGTTCAGAAGCCAGATTTCCAATTTTTCCCTCAGATTGCTGAGGAAAGGCACCTCCGGTTTTGATCCTTGCAAGCCAGTTCTTACGCACCCCTTGGCGTTTTGGTATTCCCTTCAAGATCTAGGGCCTTAATTTGGTGTCTAAGCTTTCTTTGTGGCTGACTTTGATGTCAGAATTCACTTGTCTTTGTGTCTGGGCATCCGATGAATCACTGATTCTCCCCCAGCATCTATCATTTCTGTCATATGTCACCTGAAACAACTGTTTTATATCTCCAGGGATTGAGTGTCGCATCCTGTCAACTGACCTCAGCTCTTTGACTGTTCTTGACTCCTTTCCATCATGTGGGAGACTGGTGCGAGTTCACATCCAAGACGACTCAACTATATTTAGGAACCTGATGATGCTGTGTTTTGATATTTTGAAGCCCTTTGACTCACTCCCTCGTTGCATTCCCTGTTATTGTTGAGGTTTTTCATGCACGTCGTCCCCATCCAGCTTCTCCCCTCGTCCTCGATCAACCTCGCATTTCTGGTAACCTCTGGGACGTGTCTCTCTGGGACTGCTTGGAATTGTCCCGTTTCATAACGGGCCTCAGCTGGCTAGGGCTGGTGGCATTTCTGAACCTAGACTCAAACCACCCTGTCGTCTACCACATGTCTGCTTCCTACTGTGCTTAGTTTTTGGATGATTATATCCATTCTAGCCTTTCTTTGTTACCTTTTTGGTAACAAATTTCCCCAAGCCTTGCTCTGTCATATCATAACTAATTTACTGAGGCCACCACTCCTTGCTCAACAAGCTGCTCAGGTTCAATTTAACTATTTTCCTCAATTTTCACAGTATCACAGAATTTCTAGGTTGGAAGAGACCTCAAGATCATCGAGTCCAACCTCTGACCTAACACTAACAGTCCTCCACTAAACCATATCCCTAAGCTCTTCATCTAAACGTCTTTTAAAGACTTCCAGGGATGGTGACTCCACCACTTCCCTGGGCAGCCTGTCCCAGTGTCTAACAACCCAAATTTTGGCTGATCCTTAATCTGTTTTAGCACAGTGTGGTTGTCACAAACAATATTATTTGGAAAATGAACCAAACGCTGAAGGAGCTCTGTCTGTTTCTGCTAGGCACAGCTTCTCTTCAGTTGGTTTTCTTACTTTTTGTCTCAGATTTTTCAGGTGTCTTTCTCAGATCTCTGAAACTGCGTTAGTAGTTAGTTCCTCTACTGCTGCTGTTGGGTTTTAATTTTATTTTTGTATAGATAGGGAATTTTGTAGAAGCCTTTCAGCAAGATACACTGGTGACCAGGACAAGACCCTATAGGTCTAAAACTGCTTTTTGTGACAAATTCTCGGTAAACTTTCTTGTCATGTTTTCACCATATTTTTCACCGTATTTTCACCTTCTGTGACCAGAAATCTAGGCAAGCAAATTACTGCATAGAACTGCAGAACAGTTTGGGTTGGAAGAGACCTTAAAGATCATCTAGTTCTACATCCACAAACCCCCTGCCGTGGGCAAGGACACCTTCCACCAAGAGGTGATCCTCTTCTACCCACAAAAAACTACAGTACTGAGGTCATCACTAAAATGTCTTCATATAGGACATCTTGTACTGCATGGGGGCTATACCAACAGAACAAGATTATAGTGGTGGCCACCTATCAAGTAAATTGCATTTAAAATTGTAAGCTGTAGCACAAGGATATTCCCAATATCTCTTCCAGCTTTCAAAACTGGATAATATAGAAAGGATTTTACACCTGTTCCTGGATTAGGAGCTCTGTGGTGCAGGCCACTTGACTTCTTAAATGTGTTGAAGAATTTATCATCTAGTAGGTGAAGAGATAAAAGTCCCAAGTAGGTGAAGAGATAAATGAACAAGCCCTACTGGGGTTGTTACTTGGTTGAAGTGGTGTTTTGCCAAATAACGTGAAGAAATTCTTATTTTTTGCATTTGTGCCACACCATTTTTGTCTTAATCATGCAAGGGGTGACTACGTGGAAGTTGAGAAACTGGGGCTCTGTGTTTTGGGCAACGGGCCCTTAGCTAAAGTGAAAAGAGCAGGGTCAAAGCTGATGATGTTTTGCCGACCAAGGGGAAAAACTGATCCCCCAGTGACATGTCACACAATCTTCCTCTTCCAGCAACACAAGAGCCAGAGAAGTTCTGGCTTCTTCTGTACGAGAACGTTTCACTTGGATAATGAACAAGTTCTTGTATAAACAGCATGTTTACTTCTGACAGTGTTCTCCTAAAAACGATTAATGAGGACTGCATCATCGCTTCTACCCTGAACGACAGGACAAACCCAGCTCATCAGTTTTAGAGATGAGGACCTGGCTCTGGAGGTGCACAGTCCTTCATTCCCTGCGGTCTTTCTATGTGGTCTCCGAAAAGGAGAGGAGACAGCCAGGGATGATGTCCTCGGAGGCGTTGGTGAATGCAGAGCCGTCAGCTTGTGCCAAGTCCCGGGGTAAATAAAACTAAACCACCCCCTCCTGCTAAGCCATGCATCAAGAAAACCGCCTGGGAATGGGCTCAGTGACTCGCTTCGAATGCAAATCGCCCTTCGTCCCCGGTGGAGGCACGGATTCACGTGCGCACACCCCCATTCTTCCAGCCCTGAAAGCCAGACAAGTCCTAAATGAGTAATAAAGTACCTAATTGGACTTGACCCCCTACTGAAATGGGCCTGTGTGTAAGCGGCTCTGTGGCCGTGTGTGTTTTGCCCTCCTTGGCCAAATTCTCCCCTCTGGTGCCTGCTGCTGTCTGCGTGGTGCGGGTCTCTCCGTCACGGTCTGCTGCATCTTGGCTGCCTTCCACCTGGCAGCATTTGGGCTAAGCCCTTCAAACAAAATAGCCCCTCTGTAGGGTCTGCCTCGCTTTCTTTGGGGCCGGGAGGAGCCAAAAAGGCCCTCGGGATCGCGGAGCTCTGCGCCGCTGCCCACCGTGTGTCCTGAGCGGGGATTTATTGCGTCCCAGTGCTCTGCGCCCAGCGCCAGCCTTGTCATGAGACTGAAGTGTTTCAAGCTTCAAATCCCACAGCTCTGCATGGTTCAGAAAAGTCTTTGCTTGATAGATCCAGGCAGAGAAAATGGGTTGGGGAAGATTTTTAAGACTTATAAGAGAGGAATCCCGGAGTGTGCCCAACTTCTGTCCTGGTTGTTGGTAGACATTTCTCCCTCCAGCTCCGCAAACCAGGGTGCTGAGCCTTTGGTTGACCCAGTCCTTCCAACTGGAAGGTTTTCTATATTTTTCAAAAAGTCTTTAGGGTTTCAGGACTATTGTGTGTTATTTAGGGGGATCATTCTCTTAAGGCCGTGCTTGCTGACAGACCTTGAGCTCTTGAGGCTGCCTGGAGGACGTAGGAAGGAGGCAGTGCTTCCCCACGAGGTTATTTTTTTCTTTTCCTTTATTTCTCTTCGCACATTTTGTATTGCTGCTTTATGCAATCTGATCCCTGGGGAAGGTTGTTATTTAGTGGATACCCATACAGCACCTGGCAAAATGGGATTTTGCTCAATTTTGAGGCCTCCAAGATCAATTATCTTTCCCGCACCGATTAAGCACCCTGGAATAAACTCTGTTTTATTACCCAAAGTGATCTACAGCCTTCTCTTTATCTTCTCTTGATGCTGAGCAGCAGGAATAGCCAAGAATAAAGAAAACCAGAGAGAAAACAAATAGGCCCTGCCAGAGCCAAATGGGCTTCATACGGAGTCAATTTGTATTTTGCTGTTGCACACATTGCAGTGATTTTTTTTGCCATCATTTAATTCCTCTCTCTCCCAGCCAGCACGGGCTTGCAGGGATGCAGCTGACTGTGGAGTGAGACCCGTGGTCCATAAACACTTCAGCTAAGATTAAAGGTACTCCGTAAAGGCTGAGTGTGTTTTTGTTAGGTGTTTCCAGATGAGAGAGAACTGGATTATCCCTCAACCCCGTCAAGAAAAACGCCGTGTTGCAGAACCAGGTAAGACGACAAGTAACGAGGCAACAGCACTGTGCAAACTGGCTAAGGAAGCAGAAAAAAAATGTTGTGTTTGTGATGCTTAAGCGGGCTTTATCGTGACGTGGGGCAGAGCAAAGATTTGGGGATTTGACCTGCTGAGGATTTCAGGTGCGTAAGAGGCGCTGGGTCATTGCTCACCGAGGGCTTAGCGTGGAGTATTCCTAAAAAAAAAAATATTTGTGCTGGCCAGACTGGCCTGGAAAAGCACTCTGTGACGTAAATTGGCTAAAACGTGTACCTGGAGAGAGGCAATTGTTTAAAGATGACCCAGCAGGACAATTCATGGGAAGTTTGGCATATGGTGCTGTCGGTGTGCTCTTAAACGCTGCGCTCCCCGCTGCCAAGTGGCAGATTTTGTCAAAACGGTCCTATTTCACTACCTGGGGAGATGATGGCTTTGGGTGTTAAAGTTCCTAACGTCCATTAAAAAAAAAAAAAAAAAGGTGATGCAGAGGAACGTAGGATAAACTCCAAAAGATCAGGAATTGCATCCTCATCTCAGGCATTTAAGCTGGATCTAAACCTTTGGTGTAAGAAGAGCTGAAGAGTAGACAATTTATTTTTTTTTTTTGGTTGATGTGTTGTTTATTTTTTAAGGAAAAGAAGATAAAGACCTTCATGTAGAATCTCCAGAGGAGTTACCAGGGACAATCACTTCTACTGCTGTGTGTAGTGATGGCCAGACCAACGTTTCAGCTCCACGAACCTGATGGATGCTGCAGGATGTCGACAATTTAGGCAAGGTGAGAGTAAATGAAAGTTGAGTTGGGCTGAGATGATGGAAAAAGGTTGGGGAAAGGTTTTAATTCTGCTGTGTTTGAAGAGCTCGTCTACTTATTGGATTGGCAAGATGATTACGTGGTGACTTCACTTTGTAAATGACCATATTCAGAGGAGAAAATCCTAATTGGTAAATACGAGGGGGAATGGGCTAACGTTGCGCCAGGGGAGTTTTAGGTTAGATGTTAGGAAGAACTTCTTTACTGAAAGGGTTGTTAGGCACTGGAACAGGCTGCCCAGGGAGGTGGTGGAGTCACCATCCCTGGAAGTCTTTAAAAGCCGTTTAGATGTAGAGCTTAGGGATATGGTTTAGTGGGGACTGTTAGTGTTAGGTCAGAGGTTGGACTCGATGATCTTGAGGTCTCTTCCAACCTAGAAATTCTGTGATTCTGTGATCTAGCACTGGTGGCTGAGCTGTGTGGAGTAAAAGGAAAGTCATCAGGTATTTAACTCTTGGCACAGCTAACCACAGGAAATGATGCTTTTTATTTCTTTATGGGGGTGAATCAACGTGAATACTTTCCTGATATATGCGCTCTTGAGCTGTTGGGCTGAAGTGGATGGAACCGTATCGCCCGTGGTCGGGATCAGGTGGGTTTATCATCCTGCAGGGAAAACCTTGACCATGGAGAACAAACCATTCTTAATTTAAAATGCCCAGAAAGTAAATATAAACCTTTATCTTACCACGTTTTTAGAGCAAACAAACAGTAGTAAATTATTTAGCAAGGAAAAAAATCAGCTCTGATTTGGAACTGGTGCCTTTCATACCTGAAGCTGTATTTCTGCATTCACCAAATAAATGGTTTTAAGGGCATGTAAGTGGGAAGATTGTGTCTTCAATATATAATAACAGGAACTTTTTTCAGAAACAAGTTCCAAAATGCTACTCCGGCCCTGAGGCATGGGGTTAAAAATAAGTATATATAATTCTGCTGAAGCAACCTCTTCCATTTGGCTTCATGTAAGAGATACCTTGGGTTTTATTGCAACAGCCCATGAGCGAAAATCACTCACTTGGGCATGTTAATGCACATCCTTTGTATTTACTAGGTATAAATGGAGTGCTTTGAAAAACTTTCCTTTTTTTATTAGGAAGATATTTGGAGTACTACTAAATGAAGTCCTATTTTCTGTCACTGACCGTGCCAGGAGTTGGGTTTATTATTAATAATAATTGTTCTTCTTTTGAAACCTACAGCGGGTTCTTCTCAGGTTTTCCAATTTTGTATGGCGTGTAATTGCTGGTCATTTCTAAAACCTGTCCAGAGCACACAAAAAATCAGGGTGGAGAGGCTTTATGACTTATGTGTATATTCTTGAAAAGTCAACTTGCAATTTTTCTTCTGTTCTTCCTGATAACGTCCTTCTGTCCTTTTGTTCCCCTCCCCTTTTTCCCCATTCCTAGACTTTTCTTCCATTTTTCATTAGTAACACACAGCTTAGTTACGTATTTTCCATGCCACATACCTTCAAATACCTCTATATCTCCTAAGCTTTGCCTTGGTCTCCTTCATCCTCTAGTACAGATGTCTGGTGTCGTCTGGTCCACTCTGTATGGATGGGATAAATCTGAAGTGTACCTTGAGGGTAAAAAAGTCAATAGTTTTGCGTGGAAATACGAAAAACTCGTGTCAAAAGAAATGCAGTGCAATGTATTAAGACGAGTTTTAGTGAAGACCAACCTCAACATAACCAAAAAGGGGTCAAAAAGCAACAGTAGGTGGCTCTTGAAATAATTGTTAGCTGTTTGGGAAGCTCCCTTGGGTTTTTATTCTGTCACGTAGACAGAGATCCCCAGCTGGGAGCAGAACCCCTTCGTGGTGGGAGGCCTTCCCTGGCTCGTGAGGCTCTTGGCACTCAAAACACCTTTTTAATAACCTGAACTTGCCAATTTTCACACCAAAGGTGCCGAGGGCTTAGCAGTTTGAGGTGTGATCCGCCGTCCTCTCAGTTTGCTTGGGCCAGCTTTGCTTGAAGGTGTGAGGAAGAGGAGCTCGAGGAGGGTTGACAGGAGGCCCAGACCCTGTGCAGCAGGTGAGCGTAGACTTCAGAAGTATTTTATTTTTATCTACAGATCTAGAAATCGGTGCTCAGAGACTAAAATTCCTGTGTATGTAGAAACTCCTGTGCAGAACCTGTGTTTCTCGTCTCTTCAAGAGCGAAAACATCAACCACAAAGTCCATAAAACGTCGAGTCCTGGTGGGAGCGCTTGCAAACATGCTGGAGAACTGGTCTGGGACCTCAAATTTAGGTATGTTATGGTCTCCTCTGCCTTAGGAGACGTTGTGTGTGGGACTCAGACGGGCTTGGGTCTTTCTGTTTATCCTAACCTGTGCTTGCACACTGCTGTGTATGGGATTGCCACATGGATAACTGGGGGCACACTTGGCACGTCCTGAGATGTCCCTCAGTAACCTTCACGCGGCTCTGCAACGCTGTCCTGCGTTTGCTGTGCATCTGCAATACAAATCAAAGAGGGAAACCACAAGCTGGAGATGCAGCCAGCATAAATGTTTGTCTTTCAGCAGATTTTACCCTGGAAAATCACCTTCAACCCGGCAACATCGATCGTTTCCCACCTCCCGAGCTCCAACAAGCAGCTGATGTCCAAACCTGGAGCAGTTTCACCTGTCGTCGGGGCCTGTAGGTAAGAATGGGGTTATCAGAGTGGAGGAATTTGTGGGCTCAAAGCCCAGATAAATTGGGTAGGCTTCAAGCATCCTGTAGGAACAGAGACAAGCGACCTCAGAGTCTGGTTTCGGCAGCTTTGCTGAGGGGTTTGGAGCATATTTGGTATGTCTGGGGCCAGACTGTGACCTTAAGGTTGTCCTCAAGGATCGTTGTTGATGACCAACCTTGGATCTACTTCTGCTGTTACAACCAGAGCCCCTTCTTGTGGTCAGCCAGCCAGTCAAAATATTCCAGCTGCGATTGCTTCAGCGTAATCTCCAGGGACTCTGGAGAGTCACCAGGAGTCCAGAAACCAAGAGGGGAGATGCCTGGCCTGCATTTTGCAACGGGTCAGCCCTAATTGCAGTGCCCGGGGAGGCCATCTGCAGTCTAACAGGCACTGGGAGCTTTTCCTTGGCTTCTGTGACCTCCCACAGACCTTTCTGCTGTGGGGTGGAGGACCCATCCCGAGCACGATTCACCCTATCAGCTCCTAAAACCTGCAATCCCATCCTAAAAACTCCTTTTCCCAAAAAAAAAGCAGGATGGAAAAGCTGCGTTAATACGTGCCCAAGCCCTGTCTGCATCCTTTGTCTCTCGAAGCTTTGGGATGGGATATTAGGGGCAGAGCAGTCAGGGCAACCTGGCACAAACAGCATCCAGGCTTGTTGGAGCGACAAAACGCTGCTCAAGCTGCTTAGGGAGGTGGAATTAGAAAAACAGATTTTTCACTTTTTTTTTTTTTTTTTTTTTCTTAATAAAGCTTTTCTATGAAAGTCGAAAGCTGATTCAGCAAAACCGGGGGGAAAACAACGCAGCAGGAATTTGAGCAACAGTTTCTGTTTGTCAGCCAGGGCCTCGGACAATGCCCATCTTTGTTCAGATGATGCGGGAATGAAATAATAAATAAAAGGGCTGCTGAATGGAGCTGACATGCCGTGCCTCCTGGAAGATCCTGAATCGAGAGGGATAAATCAGCCTCGGTTTACAAACAAGCAGGCTTGCTCGTGTGCCCGTTATCTCGAGGTGTAAATCAGCCTCTGTTCACCCCTGACGCTGAGCAGATCTTGAAATTCTCCCCTGCAGGTTTGGAGCTGGTGCATTCAGGAGCTGCAGGTTGCTTTATCCTGGCTGGAAAACCCAATGGCTGGAGGGAGCAAGGAGCACAGCTCTGCTGTCATACAACCCCTCTCAATCCCCTTAATTTTGGCTGAGGAAGGACCCAAGCCTTCGCTTCAAATTCCCAGATTTACCTTAAATTCAGGTAAGGATCTGGTCACCTGTTGGTGACAGCTTAGGAGCACGGGAAACAGGTATAAAATATTGAGGATGGAGCCCATAAAGGCTTTTATGGGCTCCTGAGCAAGGAGGGAACTGATATTCAGCAGGACTGATATTCAGTCTCCTCCAGCAGGGAGCAGAGGGTGGCCTGACCCCAGAGCAAGCTGCACTCAGGCGCTGTTTAACGACAAACCTTATAAATAAGGCCAAACCTCATAAAAACACTTCCCTGCCCTTGGCTCTGGAGCTGTAGGGACACGGGAGCCTGTGTACACGCTGTCCTAAAGCAGCATCATCGACCAGCTCGTCCCAGGTGTTACTGGGGCCATGTGTAGGATTTTTTTTCGGATGGTTGGACGTGATGTTAAGGGTCTCTTGCAACCTAAATGATTTTAGGATTCTGCTCTGGGCTGGGAACAACTCATCCTCAGGTGCTTCGAAGCTCGGGGGCTTTTCTACACCTGGCAGTTCCTCCGCTAAGGAGGGGGAGAGGATTCAGGATCTTCCCACCTAGGGAAGTACCGGGGAGGAGCAGTGGGATCAGCAAAGCCGAGACTCATCCAGAAGGGACCCGAACCCTCTCCTCCCCCAGATGCCTGGCAGCAGGAGGAGGAGCTGCAGGAACGCAGATGGAGGATGCCTCTCCAGATAAGAGGAGTTGAATTATGCAGAATTAACTGAAATAGTTGCCGTTTTATGTTATTTTTTTAGCAATTGATGACAAACAGCAGAGCTCGGCTTTGGCTCCAGTTGTCCGTACGGGACGGGATGCGAATTAACATCATCTTCATTAAAATATTTTGGAAGCGCGCTCTTTTGGTACAAGTGGAAGAGTGGAAAAAAAAAATCAGGGTTCTTTCTCCTGTCCCAGTTATTTCCAGTATTTGCAATCGTTATCTTAAGGAGATGCTGTCAATTTAAGTATCACAAACATTTGATTTCCCCCCACGTGCAAACTTATTAACTAGTGATGGGACTAGAAGGAAATAGGTAAGTGCATTTCCATTTTCTTCCTTGCTCATCTGACAGCATTCCTCATGATATGAGGCTCCTTGCTTCTCCCACGTAGCTGGCAAGTTTTTCCCCGGTCATTTCTCATGGTCTTCCAACGGGGAAAAGGAAACCAGCTCCGAGGGGCACTAAAATCCCACAAGAGCGGCAAAAGCTCTCCGACGAAACTGAAAAAAAAATGTCTTTTGGCTCCGTTTTGAGAAGATGCACGAGATACGAGGTTCCTCGCGTCCTGGTAAGTAGCTGTTGGACAGGATGCAAGATTTGTAGGTCAGCGCTTTGATGTTGTTCCTGGAGCTGGCTGGGAGGCACCGTGCGGCTTGGACCTCGGACAGGAATTTATGCTGAGGATACCGGTAAGAAGAAACAGGAAAAAAATAGAGAGATGATGATTAATTTTGTTCGAAACTTACACCTTTTTGCAAGCCCAGCCCTGGGACTCGTGCGTGTCCCTTCGGGCAGTGCCCGGGTGGGTGAACTTGAGTAGAAGAGGCTCGTCGGGCTTCGTGAGATGAGGAATTGGCCACGAACGAATGCTCAGCGAGGAGGAAGCTTTGCAGACATTACGGGACAAGCCAAAGATGGAAAAGCAGGGGAAAAGATGGAAAACCTTAATTGATGAAATCATTAAAGTGAGCACGTGCAACGTGTAAATGAACCGCTTCTTGTCTGAGTTGAGTTGTGGTGCCATAATCACCATCAGACCCCTTCTCTACCCATTAATTTTCAGTTTCTTTTACCTCCTGGTGTCTTATATGGGAATAGGGGTGCAGACCCTATTAGACCAGGCTGAATGAGCAGAAGGAAGCTTCAGTAAGCAAAAAACCCAGCCCTTCAACTATTTTCCTGTGCATAAAAACTGCTTGCTAGTGACACAGGCTAGTTCCTTTGGGACTTTTCCGACACGGATTCACGTTCCTTGACAATAAAGTCAACGCTGATAAACCCTATTTAAGGAAAACCAACTTTTCTGAATAACCTTACTCATCTGGAAGCCGGCCAGGTCGATGCCTCTGAAATTCAGAGGGAAATTTGAAGCGTTATTACCCAACTGATGCTTTGGGATCCGTGGCTGGAAATTCCCTCCGCTGTGCTGGGTGAATAATGCTCAATCCATCCTTCCGTGGGGGTTCTTAATTAAGAAATTTTTTATTGTAATTAAGGTTTTTTGGGTTGTTCAAAAAGCTGACAGGTCTGTGGGGTGAGGATCTCCTTCTCAGTAACATCTGCAGATTTTATGGCAGAGGAGGATTGTTTCGGTGTGGCTCCAGCTAAGCTCGAGTGGCCTTTCTCTTGGGAATTTGGTCGGATTCAGCTGTTTTCAGCCCAAAACAGGATAGGGGAAGATGTATGGAAAGGAGCAAAGAATCAACCAGATTTGCCTGAAGGTTTCATCTAAATCTTACATCATTATTTTGTCTGAACTGCTTTGCTGCTTTGCAACCATTAGGACAGCTGGCTAGGAGAAGTGAAACTAAGGATAAAAATCCTTACTTTATTTGTCCCTTTTCCTTGTTTTTCGCTCTTATTACGAGTCAAATCAGAAGGAAGAGATTTGCAATGCCTGCGCTCGGGCCGGGAAGTCAATGAGCTGTGTAATTTATGTTGGAATGTCAGCAGCCAAGCAGGCATAAAATTACAACTCGTTATTGCTGGCGGAGGAGCGAGGGCTTGGGTTTTTTGGGTTGTTACAGCCGGCTTTGGGTGAGGTCGTCCCGGGGAAGCTTTACCTGATGCTGTGGGGCTGCCTGGTTATCTCAGGAGGGGAAGCCAGCAAAGAACGTGCTGTTCTTGTTCCTAAAAATGCTGCCAGGTCTTTCCCTTCCCCAGCACAGCTGTTGCATTGAATTTATTCTATCCCAACTCTTGCAGCTTGGAGAATGCCTGCGGGATGCAGCCGGAGCCTCCTGAGCCGTGTTACGCAGGGAAATGGTGGAGAAGCAACCCGCAGGCAGGTTTTTTTGCTCAACTCACCTTAAAAAGCCGCGATGCTCGGGTGGTTCTGGGGGAATAGCGCCCGATGGAGGCTGCTCGCTGGAGCTGGGGTGGTGCGGAGGGACGGGGAAGGTTGTAAAGCATTCCCCGTGTGGGGTGTGTTGTTCCTCCGGAGACGCAGGCTGACCTTCGGGGGAACCCGGCCGGCGGGGCTGAATGGAGGGGCTGTGACAAAGCAATCCCAAAAAGAAAAACAGGGGGAGGGGGACGCTGCGTCGAGCACAGACCCCAGCCTCAGCCCTGCTTGGCGTATGGGGCCTGCTGTGCCCACCCCAAATTTATTAGAGCCTCAGGAATAGGGCCTGTCTCTTTTTGCTTTTTCATTATTTTTTAATTTAATTAGGGCACAACGGACCTTGTAATTGGGGAAACTTGCCTGACCCAGCCGGGAGAGCATCACCTGCAGTCCCTAACTCCTGGAGGAAGGGCTTGCAGCCCCTGCTTTACTTCTAGGAAAAGGTTAACCGAGTAATTTCATGTAAATCTCCCCCAGCTCGGGGCTCTTTGCTTTGTTTGCAGAGTCCTGCTGCTGCTGGATTGGAGCCACCCGCTTGCAGTAGGGTTAAGCAGGACGGGGTGGCCGCTGCTGGTGGGAGCAACGCTGGGAAAATGAAGTTTGTGCTCACTTTTCTTTCATGTACTCCTCGACAGGCTCACCAGCAAGGTCAGGTAATGATTTAACAAGGGCAGCTGTAGACTGCATCCACCTGGCTGCTGGCCTCTGGGACTTGCTGGAGGCAGGAGACAGAAAACACAGCCCTAGCCTGTTGTTGAGGAAAGCCTGGGATCGATTAACAGGGAGACTTCCATGATTTTTACAAAGCTCTTTATTTTATTTCTTTGTCTTAAGGCTTATAAAAAGTGTTACTCCGAACCAAAAATCTTTCAATTTTTACATATGTACAGCACGAGAAATAAATAAGGTTTTGAAGTCGTACAAAAACCACAATATACAAACAGGGCTTTGAAGCCACTCTGAGGATGGCATGGTGACAAGCCTCAGCTACTTACCAAAAAGCTCCACTTATTGAAGCCTTTGCTTAAAACCATGGAAAAAAAAAAAAAGATCTCCAAATGTGCTTGCTTTGGTTGGATTGAAGCTCTACAACAAAAAAAAAACTCTGAGAGCTCTGAGGTCTTCAGAACTCAGTGCACCATGTGGCAACACCCTTTTCAGACTGTCTTTCTGCACGCCGATCGTTCGGGAGTTGTCAGGCCGAGTCTCCTTCCGAAAATTAAGAGCAATAAATAAATAGTTCACCCCGGACAGGGTCCACTCTGCTGCAGCAAACGGGACGGCTGCGGGCCCAGCTCATCTGGCACCGGGGAAATCCAAGCGGGGCGTTGGGGCAGTGAAGGCAGGCTCTTGTCTGTTTGGCTCAGTTAAGTGCTTGGCCTAAAAATCAGGTCTTAATTCTGAAAGGAGGTCTTAATTACACGCCGGGACTACAGCAGCAACGGAGCAGGGGCGAACGGGGTCTCAGTAGTTCCGAGGAGTGGTGCAGAGCTCTCCTGAGAGGGTTCAGTTCGTTCCCTTCCTCCTCTGCTGCATTTGGTGGAAGGGCAGCTGCCGTTTGCCTCTTGTGAAGGGATTAACACCTCCAAGCCTTGCTGGGGAGCAGCTGCCAGCACCATCAGCTGCCATCAGCCCTGCATCCAGGGCTAAATACGAGGGGGGGACGGAGTGCTCTGCCTTCAGACAGGGCGACAGGCACAGATCTCACCATCGGCCAGACACAGGACGGATTTTCAAGGCACGGGATGAGGTGAAGTCACAGGACAAGGGGAAGGGGCGTTGTGCTGATTCCCACCCCTCCCCTAAAGAGCTCCACACCCCTAAAGAGCTCCTCATGCTCGGTGGGTGCAGGTCTCACCTTCCCCCAGCCCCCAGTGCTATAGGATTTGCAGCAACGCCTACGCTAGACGCTAATTTGTTCTTGGCAGCTCTGTTACCAGCAGCCTGCTGAGCAGCTAGCACAATTATCTTCTCAGCTCCCCCGGCAGGCAGACCAGAAGATCATTGCTGAGGTTTAAGATCTCATCTGTAGCTCTGGTTAGTGGGAGCAGGCAGGAAACGCAGCGTCTAACAGGTCAAGGTAAGGCTAAATGCATAAGCCAGGCTCCCCAGGGAAGGGAGGACACAGTTCTAGTTATTCTAGGTCCATCAATGTCTCCTCTGTTTCTTGCACCCGATTCAAGAGGTTTTGTCTTGAAAAAGACATTTGCTTTAAGTGCTACCAAGCCAGGTTTTTGCCAGAGCATCCTTCCACTTTCGTGGTCCTCGTGCATCCTGGTCGCTCCGTGGTAAGTCTTGGGGAAAGTCTTCAGAGCGAGTTTGAGACAGGCCTGGGAAAAGCAAAAAGAGGGAAAAAATTAAGAGAAATAGCAGAGAATTCCTGAGAAATTCCGGGACATTGAGAACAGCTTTAAATGGAAGGTTGGTATTTGAGTTTGTCAAAAATAATCAAGAAATCCCTCTGCCCTGTAGCTATTCAGTGGGAACCTGAGGCCATCACGCACTCAAGAAGGTTGCAAACAAATTTTGAAGGTCTTGACTCCAGCCTCTGCCTGTTCAGAGCCACTTGGGGTGGGCAAATGTTTCCAGGCTGCACCTGCAGGAGCATTCGCTTAGATCTTTCCAGGCTTGTGGCAGAGCAACGAGTTCTCACGCAGGGTTTCCATTCACAGAATTGTTTGCTACTGCACACACAAACCAGCCTGCTGGCTTCTGCCAGGCCTGGAGTGGTGCCAGCTTGTGTTTCTCAGCTGATTTGTGCAAAGCAAGATTAGCAGAGCTGGAGATGAAGCAGGAGGAGCCACTAGTGCAGCCCAAACAGAAGCAAAAGGTTTCTCTGCAGCTCCAGGTCTTCCATCAGGAAGAGGTGATGTTTGGGACACTCCCCTCCACCCCTAACTTTCCTCTCCTCTTTTTTATAGGATAGTTATAGGATAGTAGCATTTATTTTACAGGGTAGAAGCATTTAATAGGTGCACCTAATTAGCTCTCCACTACTGCAAGGGTCTTGGTAGATGCTAAAAATTAGCAAATTGAGTAAAAGTGATGATATCAGCTAGCTTGTGATAGGTGAGACACACACGGAAGTCCAGCACCTGGGAATCTTAGGCTGGGATTTCGTTTTTTGAAAGAAAATGAGGTTCTGAGAATCTAAATGAGAAATGCTGGCTCCACGCATCCCAGCACAGCCACACGCGTCAGACAGGATTTCTCCTAGCTGCTTTTCCCTACCTTTTTTTCCAGTCGTCTGCGCACTTGACAAACCAGAGCTCTTTGCCAGGAGATATGCGGGTCAGCTGGAAGTCCTCTACACAGAAAGCAAACCTAGGAGGAAGAATCAGAAGTCATGAGAAGGAACCCGTTGTCTCTGTGGTCAAAAAACAAGATTTAATACGGATTGCAGGGAATTCTAGGGCAAGTTGTTTGGTTTGACACCTTCTCTCTGGACCATCTTGATGTATCAGTACCTCCTCAAATGGAGGATGCGATGTTTCCTTCCCTACTTTCAGATTCCACTTAATGGAATGGAAATGGAAAATGGAATGGAAAATAATACCCAAAGGATTCTTTAGGTATTATCTGAATCACCTTGAAGTAGGCCAACTCAGTCCCCAAAGGCAGGGGAGACTTATAGGGTCTAAATAAAGGAGAAGAACATCTCAGAGCTGATCTGCAGTGACTTAAAGTCTGGTTTGTGGCCTCATGCTGGCCAGCAACCCACTCCCCTTGTACCATGAAGGTTCGTGAGTTGGTTACAAGGAAGATGAGGCGCTCAGACTGCCAGATAAGTTCAAAAAGCCTTTTTTTTTGCTGCTGGATTCTGAAAATCGCCCCTTTTGATTGACGTTTTGAGCTAGGTGTGTTAGGCTGCCTGTTTGCTCCTACCTCTGCTGCGTTTCCCCCGATTTCACGCGTATCCGCCTGATGTGCAGTTCCTGGGCAGCCTTGGCGGGCCGATACCAGTAACTCTTCAGCTCCTTCCACAGATCGTACCAGGACTGCGACGTGCCCTCCCAGGTGAGCTTGATTTTTAACAGCTCCCCCATGTCCTCTTCTGTATAGACCAGGAAGGTGTTGGTAGCATTGAGGCCGATTTGATCCAGCCTGGAATTAAAGCACAGAGTCAACATTTCTCCCTTATGGAAGCAGGCCAGATGCTTATTCATCCCCTTGCAAGAGGTTAAACAGAGCCTCTGCAGCTTATCAGGTGCTCCACAGTCACCTGCCCCCGGTTAATTGCTGATTGCACAGCAGAAATGGAGCTTGGGTAGCTGGTTCAGTGCTACGCATCACAAATTCGGCTGCTCAGCCAGCTTTCCATAGCTGAAGGGTGAATTTCACACCTTGGCTCTTCTGGGAGAGGCTAAAGGAGGTCAACAACACCTCCAGAGATCCAAGTGCTCTCAGACTACCCAGATGGTGGAAGGAGAAAGCAAAATGCTTCACCAACAAGCCTTAAAGGCCAATACAGAGAGCACTGGGCACAATTTACTTGATCAGCAATTCAGTTCCCAGCTGAAAAGCTCCTGAATGGTGAAGTGGGGCTGCAAGGCTGGAGTTAGCAGAGGAAAAAAAAATGCCACCTTGCCCAGCCCCTGGTTAGATCAGCTTACTTACATCTCCAAGGAGAGGGGCTCGGAGTCTCCGTTGGTGCCATGCAGGGTGACAGAGAACGTGGGGTCAGCCTCTGCCAGGTTTTTGTAGCTGAAGACGTGCATTTTCATCTGGTAATGGTAGACTGGAGGGAAACAAGGAGAGCACACATTGAACCAGCTGTGTGAGTTGAAAATACTGCTCAGAATTACTCTGTGAAGTAGCATTGGCTGGCAAAAGCCGGACCCTTTCCTTACTTTTTTTTTTTTAAGAGCAAAACCAAATCAATCTACGGAATTTCAGGTGCACCCCGCGCTTCCCCTCCTAGAAATCAGCCTTGGCTCTTTCAGAGGGAGGCAGCGTACCTTTGAAGGGCATGTCAGCTCTTGTTTTTAAGTACATCTTGCTGTTCCTTTTGTTCCGCGTTCTCCTGGCGTTGTAGCCGATGCCGCTGCAGCGGTTCTTCCGGCAGCTCAGGCAGATTCCCTTCTTGAAGCGACTGGAATCAGTACATTGAAACGCGAAGCTTTGTTTATCTTGGTTCACGAGGGAGTCCACAAACAGGTGCACAGACCGCTCGTGCTCACATTTAACCACTTCACCAAGTGCTAGAGGAGCAGAGCGGCAAGGGATACATTTTGTTTAAGTACTTGTCACCCCAGCAGCTGGTAAAGACACAGTGAGCAACACCTTTTTCAGCTGAATGAGGCCAAACGGGACTTTTTTTGGTTGGAAGAGCAGCAATTCGAGAGGTTAGTGCTAAATTCTTGAAGAGGATGGGTCGTTTAGGGCTTTATAGAGGATTCCAGAGGCAGCACAGGACAGCCATAGGTTATGATGAGGTGTTAGTAAGCGTTATTCAGAGCTAAAAGCAAGTCTAGTTTCCAAGGGTACAGACAGTTTAGGAGGGGAAAAAGTCATTTCCTCTGCTCTTGTGAAATCAACTCATCCCCCAGCATCAGCCCAAGTCTATTTGTGAGCAGCCTAGAGGTTAAAGAAGTGATGAGGAACTTACTCCCGTAGGCAATCGCTCCTAAGACATCGCTTAATCCGCAGCCGGGCTGGAAGTCTCCCCCGTTGGGGTAGATGTCAACGTGGCCCACAGGCATCTGGATCCCAATGCTCACCCCCAGCGTCTCCCTCGTGTAGGTGTGCAGGACGTCCACGAAGCTGGCATCGTCAGGGGAGAGGCGCTTGCTGGGGTCCACTCCTTCGAACATGGGGCCGGCTGGATCCAAGCCTGGCGTACCAGGTAAGAAATTGGGTTATTTCACACGGAATCAGTAAGAATTTGATGCTGGGAGCCCTCCCGGGCAGGTGCTACACAGCCAGACCCTGCCCCGTTGCAGATACTGCTCCCCAAGAGCCCTTCACCATGGGCTCACAAAGAAACAGATGAAGATATCCCATAAAAGTCTTGGGGTGACACCATCTAGGCTGCTCCATTTCCAGAAATTACATCCAACAGGCAACCTGGAGCCATCAATCCATGCCAGGTCAGTGACAAAACGCTTCAGAGGTGGCAGAAGACTGCAGACCAGAAGAGGTCTAGCACCCCACAGGGACTGCTGGCAGCCAAAGCTGCCTTGGCTTACATTTAGCTTATTTTCAGCCTGGCCATATGGAGGGACTAATAGGGGTTTAAGCAGCAGCCAGGTAATTTTTACACCTGAGATCCCATCAGGGCTTTGAGTCTGTTACCTCTGAGCCTCGCTCACAGCCTTAAATTGGGGAACAGCTCAGGTGCTTAACTTGTTTGGTGCTTTTCCTGCTTTACCCATAGATTTTTTTTTTATTAGGCTGAGGAACTCACTGCCAATGTCGGATTTAAACACTTAAAGCTCTCTTCTATCACATCCTAAGTTATTACACACTGAAATTGGTTTCTCTAAAGTACAAAGCATCCCATCCAAGATGCTGCCAGAATGTGGAGTTGATTTCTTTTTAACCAAGCATCCCATGGGACAAACTGGACCCAGGGGAGCTCACCCTCATTAGTTTGAGCTATGATTACAGAATCAGTAACACTCACAGGCTTCGGATTTTGAGCCCACATTTGAGTTCAGAAGCGTTTGAGATCAATGGGTCCTCAGATTTTTTCACTGACACCCCCCACACTTCGATATTTGCAGTTCAAAATTAAAATGGTTTCACGTGGAAAGAGAGCCGTGCCCCACACCGCAGCCACAGGTAGGAAGCTTGTCATTTCTGACGACACCAGCCCAAAACATCACAGCAAAACGAGACGAGGCTTTTTGGGGAAGCTTGCTGCCCCTGTTAGAGGTGAGAGGCTGCGTACAGAGCCACTTGCCTGTAATTCTGCCAATCGTCCCGTGGACGTGGTTGCCAGCGAAGCCAGCGACGTGTGCGCCCAGGCTGTACCCGATCAGGTGGACGTTCTCAAGCTTAAAAAGAGGATTTTCCTGCGAAGGAAAGAGAAATAATCCGAGCTGATCCAAGCAGCATCTCCCAGGTAAGCACCGCAGCGAGGCGTTGCTCCACTCCGCCTCGGGGTCGGGATTACACCAGCTCCTTTCCCTTGCTCGTGAGCAGCGGGGCTGGCGTAAACTCGGCTCCCTTGTGCAAGAATGGCTCGTGGAAGGTTGCCACAGCCCCCGTTCCCTCTCCCCCTACCTGTAACCAGTCGAGCAGCCGGGCTATGCTTCTCCCCACCACCTGCGTGTTGTTCACCGCGTCCGTGTAGAGCTGGTGGGCCAGCGAGAGCCAGTCCACCACCACCACGTTGGCCTCCTTCTCCCGCTCCTGCAGGGCGGCCACCAGGCTGCCCAGCCACGTCTCGAACATGCCGCTCATCTGGGGGAGAGAGCGGGGTCAGAAGCTGGATTTTAGGGCCCCCGTTATGCATTCTAGGAAGTTTTCATCTAGGATGTGTGTCCTGCCTCATATATGGGCTTCTCTGCAAACCCCATTACAGTGTGCTTATGGGGTAGGACAGCCAGGTTTTGACAGACCCTGGCTGTAATTAGCCACCCTGCCTCTTAGGGTGGCCACCTTATCGCTCGTTCCTCAATGATTTGAGGAAATCTGATGGATTGCAACACGATTTTTCAGTCCTGGAACTGAAGAGTCCCCAAGCAGCCCAGAAAAGGCAGGAGGGGAAAGCTTGGCAGGCTTCATCTGCCCTCTGCTGCTTCATTGAGGAGAGCGAATAAGGGACACGGAGCTACACGTGTCCCAACTACCACTTTTATGGGGTTAGCCCCATTTTAAGAGGATCAAAGCAGAAAAAGGACTGAGTTGTGCTCACCCCATGAGGCACGGAGCCATATGGCACAGGTGCATTTGGAGATTTGGGACTCCTCAAGCAACCCCTACCACACGGTACGGGACTCGTGAGGGGTGGCAGCACCCAGTAGGGTGGCAGCTGTCCATAGGGTCGCATCCCCTTGTCCCCCCTCACCCCCTGGCCCTATATAGGGTCCCTTTAGGGCTCACCGTCCAGCCGTGGATGATGAAGAAGCTCTTGGCGGTGGCGTTGAAGCCGCACTCCTTCAGGCTCCCCTCCTGCCCCAGGGCCAGCGGGCAGCCTTCGGCCTCGGAGGCCGAGTGGAGGCTGAACCTCACCCGTGGCGACACAGGGGTCGGCGATACTGTCGGCGACATGGGTGGCGATAGAGGCGGCGATAGGGGCGACCCCCTCCCTCCTCGTCCTCCCCCGTCCCCGCCTCGGTCCCTGTGGGGTCCCCCCTCAGCAGTGAGGCCGGTGCTGAGGAGGAGGAAGGTGAGGAAGAGGAGGAGGAGGCTGCTCATGGCCGAGGAGGGGGGTTCGAGGCTGTGGGGTTGAGGCTGGGGCCGGCCGGGAGCCGCTCTTATAAGGGGCCGCCTGTGGGGCGGCGCTGGGGGCCGCCCTTCAAGGTGGCCGGTCCCATAGGGCACCCCCCCCCCCTCCCTTCCCAGTGACGTTTATGGGGTGGGGACGGCTCGGGGATACCTATGGGACACCTATAGGGACAGGGACACCTATAGGGGGTGATGCCTATAGGGGGGTGGCGCTTATAGGGCCGCGGAGGTGGAGAGGGGGTGGGGGGGGCGCCCATGGGACACGCGTGGGGTGGGCTGGGGGGGAGACCGGGGACCTGCTTTGGGATAAGAGCCACACACCTCTTTTTTTCCCCTTCTTTTTTCCTCCTTTTCCCCCTATTTCCCCCTTCTTCTCTCCCTTTTCCTCTTTTTTCCCCCTTTTTTCCCCGTTTCCTCCCCCTCTTCCCTTCCCCCCTTTTCCCCTCTTTCCCCCCTCCTTTTTTCCCTCCTTTCCCCCTTTTTTCTCTCCTTTTTTTCCTTTTTTTTCCCTCCTTTCCCCCTCTTTCCCCCTTCTTCCCTCCCTTTTCCCCCCTTTTTTCCTCCTTCCCCCCTTTTTTCCCTTCTTTTCCTTCCCCTTTTTTCCCATCCTTTTCCCCTCCTCTTTCCCCCCTTCTTCCCTCCCTTTTCCCCCCTTTTTCCCCTCCTTTCCCCCGTTTCCCCCCTTCTCATCTCCCTCTCCTTTCCCCCTTTCCCCCCCTTTCTCCTTGTTTCCCCCTTTATTTCCCCCTTTCCTCTCCTTTCCCCTTTTTCCCCTCCTTATTACCTCCTTTTCCCCCCCTTATTATTCCCCCTTTCCCCCTTTATTCCCCCCCTTTCTTCCCCATTAATTCCCCCCTTTTCCCCCTTTATTCCCCCCTTTCCCCTTTGTCCCCCCCCTTTTCCCCTTCTTCCCTCCTTTTCCCCCTTTTTCCCCGTCCTTTCCCCCCGTTTCCCCCCTTCTCCCCTCCTTCCCCCTTTCTCATTCCCCCCCTTATCTTCCTCTATTCCCTCCCCCTTTTTCCCCCTTTATTCCCCCTTTTTTCCCTCCTTGCCCTTTTTTCCCCTACTTCTTTCCCCCTTTTTCCCCTCCTTTCCTCCCTTTTTTCCCTCCTTTTCCCCCCTTTTCCCCTTTATTCCCCCCTTTTTTTCCCCTTTATTCCCCCTTTTTCACTCCTTTCCCTCTTTTCCCTCCCTTTTCCTCCCTTATCCCCTTATTTGCCCTTTTTTCCCCCACTTTTTTCCCTCCTTTTCCCTCCTTTTCCCCCTCCTTTCCCACTTTTTTTCCCCTCCTTTCCCCTCTTTTTCCTCCACCTTTCCACCCCTCTTCCCCCTTTATTCCCCCCTTTTCCCCACCTTTCCCCTCCTTTTCCCCCTCCCTTTCCCCCCTTTTCCCCCTCCTTTCCCCCTTTTTCCCCTCCTTCCCCCCCAAAAAGATGCTCAACCCAAAGCTCGAGCCGGCCATTTTAGTCCATTTATTTACATTATTTATCCCACCCTGGACACCTTTATTCTGCGGGCATGAAAACGGGGGAGAGCAGGTCTCATATCTTCATTTTACACCCATTCCTCACCCTGTGGACCAAAAGCTCTGACCCTACAGCTCCGACCCTACAGGTTTTGAAGCACAACCCCTCGACGAGCGCCCTCGAAGCGGAGCGAGGCCCCGTAGCCCTTTCTGGCTCTGCTTGCTCCCAGCTAATCTCCGCCAGGTTATGAAACCACCTCACATGCTTCCACGGCGTCACCCATATTCCCAGGGACCTCTCTTTGTCCCCTCGCATCCTTCCGAACCCATTTCTTACACCACAGCCTCCGGATCCCCATCCCTGTGGTGTTTCGACCTAGTAAAAAAGGACTGAAGGGAAAATAAAAACGCTTCGGCTGCCTCTCCCATCACCGTCTTGATCTCCGAACGGTCCCGTTGGTTGCAGTTTTACTCGACCACCGAGCCCCCGGCGCGTAATCCCGAGCTGAATGCCTTTGATTGTGAGGGAATATTTACAGCTCAGCCTGCCAGCGGCCCTACAAAGCCGCCCCGGGCCTCCTGTCCCACATTAAATCCCCTGGCATCTGGGCCTGGGGGGTCTTAGCGAGCACGTGCTCTCGTGGCCGAGCTGTTTGGGCGGCCCCGGTGGGCCTGGAGGGGTAAATCCCCGCATTCCTGCCGAACCCTAATTCCTCTCGGCGTTGGGAACGGGATGGTTCGTACCTGCCTCCGACCATCTCCAACGGGGGGAGGTTGCCAGAAGGCTTTGATCCCAAATTGGCCGCCCTCTCCCTCCCCGGCAGGTCCCCACCATCAAGGGCAAACCTCTTCTCGCTCCCTTTTTGTTCTCCCAGATGTGCTTGAGCAACGTGATGTGGTTTCTTTGATGACTTTTCTCTCTTCTTCTCTCTTTTTTTCTCTTTTTCTCTCTTTTTCTGTCTTCTCCATGTATCAATCTCATCCTGATCATACGTGGGACGTTACAGCCACAGCACGAGCACAGGTTGGAGGCCGGGCACCCTGCATCGACACCTCTGCAACCAGCAAAACGAAAAATAAATAAATAAAAACACCTTTTTTTTTTTTTTTGGTAATTGCACCTTTTTACCATGCATGCGTTCCCTCCCTGTTACAGCCAGGCTGAGAGCTGCTGTGGACTCCGGAGAGGAGGAATTTGGGGTTGATGTGCGGAGAGGGTATCCTCATCCACACGCTTATTCCCTTAAATTTGCAGATTTTGCATGAACGTGGCCAAATCTGGAGGGGAAGCGTGGTCAGTAAATGTCCTCAGAGCTCAGATTGAAAGGGGACGTGGCTGCCCAGCCCCCAAATGCCTTCCTAGCCCCCAAATGCCTTCCTAGCCCCCAAAACACCTGCCTTGCCCCCAGCCTGCGGGCAGCAGCAGCAGCCTGGAGGGCTCTTCGGGACCACCACGCGGTGATCGCCCTCTAAAAGACCCCAAAGCAGAATAATGGGAAAACTTCCCAGCCTATATCCCCGCACCAGCCATCCAGAGCTTGGTTTTGAGCACTCCCAAATCCATCGCTTAGATGTAGAGCTGAGCGATACGGTTTAGTGGAGGGCTTGGTGGTGTTCCTGAAAGCCAGGAACAAGCAGTCACAGCCCTGCACAACCTGCGTAAATGCTTCGCTGGCAGGGAACGCGTCGAATAAACACCGACTTCGGCTACAAGGTTATTCAGTCGCACAGGAGGTTTGTTTTACCGCTGATTTCCCCCTATCTGGGCGCGCAGGGGGTGGATGAACCCGTCACTCTTGGCTGATCCGCCAGCAATCATCGAGTCTTACAGCCTCACCTATTGATGTGCCCTTTTGCCCGTGCTCCTGGCAGGTCCCCACTTTGTTTTATTAAAAAAAAACAACATGAATACATCATTATATTTAACTTACATTTATTATACAATCCATATTTTGTATCTATATTTAAACACACGCATGCATAAGGCATATTATAGAGCTCAGGGAGACGGCGCGGGCAGCTGTGGGAAGGCTGCAAAGCCTTCAGCACTTTCCAGCTCCGGCGTTCAAGCTGGTTTCGATTTAAAATAGACACTGGGTGCTTTTTGCCTTCAGGTTTTTCTGCTTAACCATTAGGGCAAGCGACCCGTTTGTATGAATTTCTGTGAAAGAAATTTTTGGGCTCCACAAGCCGCGGCTGTAAGGTAAATGCCAAGGACCAAGCAGGACGGGTAGGAACATCTTTGCCCCTTGTGGTTAGGATGTGGCTTCGGATTTGACTGATGAATGACCCCGGGGTGATTCCCATCGTGCTTATTTTTCACATCTCCCTTCCAGCTTTCTCTCAATGTCCCGTTGCTCCTGGGCTCTGCTGCTGAGCAGCTGCCTGTAAAGGTGCTGCCCATGGTTTCCTTCCCATGGAGAGCAGAAGTAACGATGGAGAGTTGCACTCAGGCTGGCCGTGAGTGGAGATTCCTGCAGTGGAAGTGCTTGAGGACCTCGGTTTTTGCTCAATTTTAATCTATTACATCTGGACGCTTAGCGTTCCCGGAAATATCACCATTTCTGTTCCACAGAAAAAGAAACTGAGACACTAAGGAAGTGTCGAAACCCCTCTCTGAGAGATCTTCTTCCATTTTTACTGTTCCTCAAAGCCATGAGTCTCTTTTTCTCTAGTAATCCTTGGCTTAGAAAGGCTGTTGCGTGTGTATTTTGACAAGGCTCATCCTCCTTCGCATTGCCACCACGCTGAGGTTGCTGTGTGTACTGACCTGCTGAGTGGCTTCTGCCCCCATGGATAATGATGGAAGCATTAATTGATAAAAAACAAACCTTGAGTGTCCCAAATAAGCACCAACACCAAAAGCTAGCATGCATTCCTGACAGCATGGTCTTCTATTTATTTATTTTTTTCTACAGGAACCTCATATATGAAATGAAGAAATAATATCTGCCCATACCCCAGCAGTGCTGCGAGGTTTCCCTGCTTTGAGGTCGGTCCTGAACGAGTTACTCGGAGATATTGAGGCTGTAAGAAAAGATGCAGAAAGCATCTCCTCGACAGCAAAGTCAAAGGAACCTTTTAAGGCAGGTGAACGGGGAACTGCGCTTAAAATTACGGCTCTGCGCTTTCCACCCGTGTAAATATTTGCGATAGCTCAAATATTTTCCGCATCTCATCTGGGTGAAATCCTAGCCTCAAAGCTGTGGAGCTTCTTAGTGTTAAAGAAGAGATCTGAAAATATCCCAGTGGTCCGAGCATTCACACGGGCAGTAGGATCTTGCTCTGCCTGCTTAATCTAAACAGAGTTTAACCCGAAACCTCTCTCACACCAGGGATGTGCCTGGACAGCAGATCAATGTTTTTTGTGTTGCTTTTTTATTCTTCCACTCCATCTAACTTTTCTTCTAAGCGTTTTGCTCTAGCTGGGTACCACTTTCAGGAGACGTTTTTGTTTTACTGCAAAGCTGCTTGGTCAACTTCCTGAGCAAACACAACCTACAACGAAAAATGCATTTTCCATTAACACATAAAGGTTCTATTTATATATATATATATAAAATGCTGCAATAAATACTAGTTGTGATCCATAAATATGAATCTTTTGTTTTTTTCTCTCGTGCTATGTGGTGTCCCTGCTCTCTAGTCTAATCCTAGCCTGCCACCTAGCTACAGCACTTGGACTTGCTTCAGCCTCACCGAATTGATCTCCCAACACTGGCCTTGGCCTGAGGGTGAGAGAAATTGGTTTGTCTGGGTCTTTTTTTCAGATGACCAGGCTTGGCTTTCCTGAATAAAACAGGTGTCATCCCTGCATAGCCAGGAAGCCGCCAGGGCAATTTTGCAACTGCTTCAGTCGCGAATCTGCCTCTCCACGCAGCCCATCTCACCCCCTTCTTCTTGTCCTGGTTATATGGGCAAAGGCACCGGCAGAAGCTCCCAGAAGTGAAATAGGGTTAAGGACAGTAGGAATTACCCAAACGTGCTACAGGCGGACGGAGGGGATTAACTTTCCCTGGCCCTTCGGTGCCACTCGCCCCACAATAGGCAAAGGACCTGCACGGTTCCTGAAACAGGGCAACCCTGGATGTAGAATCCTGTAAATCATTAGGGTTTGAAGGGACCTCTGAGATCATCTGGTCCAGCCATCACCCTACAACCAACTGTCACCACTAAACCATGTCCCTAAACACCACGTCCAACCTCTCCTTGAACATCCTTAGGGACGGTGACCCCACCACCTCCCTGGGCAACCCGTCCCTGTACCTATCGACACTTTCTGACAGAAAATCTCCTCATTTCCATCCCTGAACCTCCCCTGGCACAACTTGAGGCCATTCCCTCTGGTCCTATCACTAGTTATGGGTGAGAAGAGGCCGACCCCAGCTCCCCACCCTCTTCACGGAGTTGTAGAGCAATGTAGAGCAATGAGGTCTCTGAGGTCTTTGGGAAGAGCACTAAAACTTCCCCTTCTCCAGATTAAACACCCCCAGCTCCTCACAGGACTTGTGCTCCATGACCCTTCACCACCTTCTCTGGACATGTCCCAGGCCATTATGTCCTTCTTGTACCGAGGGGTGCAAATATGTACAAATATATACAAATATAGACAATTTTACTTGGCCATTTGGGGAATTTTGAACCTTCCACTGTCCCTTTACCCTTTTAACCTCCTCCCCACCGTTACGCCAGCACGATCTCTTTAGGATCTGCAGGACTGACGGACATTTTCACTGCAAAACCCTAATTTTGAACCCTCACAAATGGGACAGGGGAGGGGCGGGCTGGGCGTTGGGGCGAGGCTCCCTGTGGAGCTCAAACAGCGTTTGGACCCCACTCTCAGCCACTCTCTCTGTTTATCGGGTGCTGCTCGGCTCTGTCGCGACAGTCGATGTCACGACAGAGCTGAGGCACCCCCGCGTTTTCTCGCGAGAGCGGCCCCGGCGCTCTCCCCGCCTCCCGCCCGGCGCCGCCCTTCCTCTTCCCCGCCGCCTCCCTGAGGTGAGGGCTCATCATCCGCCGCCATCCGCCACCATCCGGCATCATCCGGCCCCGAACAGCTCGGGGAGGCCATGAGGGGCCTCGGAGGAGGCTCGGGCTCGCTGCTGCCATCGTTGTTTGTGGCGCTGGTGCCGCAGATGGCGGAGCGCGGAGGTGCCGGGGCTGTGAGGGGGGAGCGGGCCCTGAGGCAGCGGGGAGGGAACGAGGGGGGAGACACATGCTTTCTTAGGACATATTTAGATTTAATTGTGGAAAATTATATGTCTGAGGGGCCTTTTCAGCTAGCCGTCGGCTCTGAGGAAAGAGCTGAGCCTTCTCCATGTCTTTATTAGAAGCTTAATGTGATTTTTTTTCCCTTTTCTTCGCAGCTGAGCCCCCAGGATGGTCCGCTACTCGCTGGATCCGGAGAACCCCACGAAATGTGAGTTGTTCTCCAACCTCTATTTCCATATTCCTCCCTGAAATCGTTGTTTTTTTAATAAATTGGTCTCTTCTCTCCGCAGCATGCAAGTCCCGGGGCTCCAACCTGCGGGTGCACTTCAAGGTACGTGGCCGGTGCGCGGCGGGGAAACCCAAGCTCGATTTTGGAAGCAGGTGGCCTTTATTTTCCCATTTTATTAGTTAATTACTGAAGCGTGGTGGTGTAGGTTACGGCCTGCGTGTGCTCAGGCTGCTTGTTATGACCTTTATCCGCAGGAACAAAAATAAAAGGGGCTGTTCTTAGATTGCGGCCTAATAGAGAAGGAAACAGGTAATTGGGGGGAAGGTAGCAGGAGGAATTGGGCTAGAAATAGTGATTTGTTGTATTTGTCTCTATTGGGAAGGATTTCCCTGCTCATCCTGTCATTTTAGTGGCCGAGAAGTATGGCAGCAAGCGTTTGGCATGAGTGGTGATACAAGTTCATACGTTGCTCTGGAAAAGTCTTAGCAGGGAATATAAGAATAATTTGGGTTAATCACAAAAATAAAGCTGAGAATATGCTTTTCTGAGTGTTACATAGTGTAGGTGAAAAGAGCTTTCACTTATTTTGGTTTGTTCTTCTATTGTAATTGTATATTAAATGCAGAAATCAAAGAGTAAATTCATTAAGCACCGATGCCTTATCCTTGATTTTTCTTCTGATGCTTTTCACTCTCTCTTTTTTTTAATCCCCTTACATAGATGATAAATTTTGTGGCTTGTTTGTATAGCTTGTGTTCTCATTGCTTCCTGTGAGGTGCCATATTGGATGTGTTAACAGGAATTCATCATTCAGGCTTCCGCTTTTTTGGATTAGAGGCCAAAGAGGGAGCTGTGATAAGGATAAATCCTGAATTTTAAATTTCTTGGGTGGAAAGCTCGGGGTATAAAAACAGTATAAAGGCATCACAGAGCTGTGAAGTTGGTAATGGGGGTCATACTAAGAATTGTAGGTAGCAAAAATAAATGTTAATTATTATTCTTTTTTTGGTGTCTTCTTTTGAAGTGAGTTTGTGTTAATAAAGAATCTGATGGTGTCTTTCCTTGGACAAAGGAAAAGAAGGGTGAAAATCCAGGAGAAAGGGGCGAGTGCTTTTACTCCCATTAGGAACATGAGAAGTGTTAAGAGGAGCTTTCAGTGTGCTTTTATTTTTCTTGTCAGAACACTCGTGAGACTGCCCAGGCCATCAAGGGCATGCACATCCGCAAGGCCACCAAGTACCTGAAGGACGTCACCCTGAAGAAGCAGTGCGTTCCCTTCCGTCGCTACAACGGAGGCGTTGGTAGATGCGCCCAGGTGAGGGCTGGGATGAAGACGTGGGGAGGGTTTTGGGTTCATTTCCTTACAGAAAGAACAAAAAGCGATGTTCATATGGCATGGATGAGCCAAGAGTTGCTCTGAGCTCTGATACAGCAAGCATCACACCTATTTGGGGTATCAAATACCAGATTATGTTTAATTCTGTTGGTTTGCTCTTGTGCGAGGTGTAGAATCGTGCCCTTTGATTGCTGTGATGACTTTCTTAGGACACCTTTGGATTCAACGTGAAAAGAAATTCTTATTCTGAGCAATCGAAGTAAAAGGACGCGTAACAACAAGCTAAAAAGAATAAAAGGGTGAATTACATCGTGCTGGGACTAAAATACTTCTTTTTTTTCTTACAGGCCAAGCAGTGGGGCTGGACGCAGGGCCGCTGGCCCAAGAAAAGCGCGGAGTTCTTGCTGCACATGCTGAAAAACGCGGAGAGCAACGCTGAGCTCAAGGTGGGTGGGGTGGATGTTACTAAACGCACGCCGTCCCCGCGGCTCTGTGCGTTTGTGCCCTCCTAAAATCCCCCAAAAGCACCATCCGCGGGCTCCTGGTCCGTTTGTACCTTTTGTAGTGTACTCAGTGCTTTCTTTAGAGATCATGATGGCGGTGATGACTATCTTAGGACACCTTTGGAATGACCGTGAAATAATCTTTTTTTTTTTTCTGAGCCATCAGCACGATTTAAGTTAATTACGACACAGAGGGGGAGAGTTTGGTGCTTCTCTGCCTTGCGGCGTCACGGTTCTGCTGCGGAATTAATTTGTGGAGCGAATTAAGGCGCAATAAGGCCGAATCCTTTTGGTTTTATCCCTTTTCCGCAGGGGCTGGACGTGGATTCGCTGGTGATCGAGCACATCCAGGTGAACAAGGCCCCCAAAATGCGCCGGCGCACCTACCGAGCCCACGGGCGGATCAACCCCTACATGAGCTCCCCCTGCCACATCGAGATGATCCTCACCGAGAAGGAGCAGATCGTCCCCAAGCCCGAAGAAGAAGTGGCTCAGAAGAAAAAGGTAAAAAGCGGAGTGCTTTTAAGAGGTTTTTGGTTTTTTTTTTGGTGTTAAAAATCCCGAATTTGGGTAAGGGGGCGTTTTGGGGACGGGAAGGTTGCCGTGATGACTTCTCTTAGGACACCTTTGGAGTACCCATGAAAAAAACCACACTGATTCTGAGCAACCTCAGCATAATTAGGCGGCGGTGATTAATTAGGGGGGGTGATTAATTAATTAATTAACCAATTAACGCCCCCCTGTGCTCGTTGCCCCCGCAGATCTCGCAGAAGAAGCTGAAGAAGCAGAAGCTGATGGCCCGGGAGTAGCCCTCCCCCCGCCCTCAATAAAGCTCTGTTCGCACCCGCTCTGCCTCCGTCCTCTCCGCGCTGATGACGTCATCGCCGTGACGTCACGTCTGCGTGACGTCACGCCCCGCCGTGACGTCACGCCCCCGAGCCTGGGGGGGGTGGGGCACGTGACCCGCGCGCGGCGCTTCCTATTGGTCGGGGTGGGCGGGGCGCGCCCGCCGGAAGTGCGGGGGCCGCTTCCGGTGCGGCGGCAGTCGGGAGGGAGGCGCGGCGCGGTGAGGACGGGGGGGAGCTGCGGTCTCAGGTGACGGGGGGAGGGGGTGTTTTTGGGGAGCCACCGCGCCGCCGTTCGTCTCCAGGGTTTGGGGAGAGGGGTGGGAGGCAAACGGCACCGGGAGACGGGGCTCGGCCGTGTAACGGCGGGTGGGGGACGGCCTGGTGCCGGGGAACGCCGCGGGGATGGGCTGCGTGAGGTAGCCGGGCTGGGCCGGCTCGGCCTTAAGGGGCTGAGCGAAGCCGTTTGTGTGCCCGGGCTCTCTTGTGTTTACGTAAGGATGAGCGGGAACAAAAAGAGCGAACGTGCTTGTATTTGCAGTGTCACGCTTGTTCTCTGCGCTGGGTTAAGGAGAAACAAAAGCCTTTAGCACAAAGGAGCAAAGCCTACTATTAACCCTTCACCATTTGCTGTCGCCCTGTTTGTTTTTCCTGAAAATAAACCCTGCCAACCACACAACAGCATCATGGAATCACAGGGGAAGGTTGGGGGGGGTGTGGAACGTTTTAATACGTTAGCCACTGGAACTAAAACAACCGAACTTGGTTCTGTAGCTGGTAGAAGTTGAACTTATTTTTCAGCCTGGACTCTTTGATACCCAGTGACTGCACAGATTCTCAGTCTATTCTCAGAGAGGCTGCCTCTGTTGATTTCCCCACGTACATTCTTTAGCTAGTGGCTGAGTCCTCAGCATCACACGGAGGATTTAATGTCTAGGAAGTTCTAGAAGAGAGAGCATAAATCTTTTCAAAGGGTTTTAATAGATTACCTCATTCCTATTATGTTTTTTTTTTTTTTTCTGTTTTTGGAGACTCAGCTCCTGTAAAACTGCCTTTGAAGTGGCAAAAACTACACTTGGAAGCAGTCTCCTGGAATTGACGTTACCAGGGAGTGGGGCTACACTTGTCTAGGGCAGTTTGGGAAGAGCAAAGCAAGGATCCCAAACGAGGATTGGCCCTTCAGATCACTGCTTATGTTTTTTTAGTTTGGTTTAAGCAAAAACTTTTTGGATGTGTCTTTCAAACTTGCAGCTGGAGGGGTGATGAATTAATAGCGAACTTTGTTCTTTTTTTTGTTAAGATGTCAGGAATCTCGGCATTATTGTTCCCAAGGACTTTTTAATATGGGAACGTACAGCTGTTCTCAAGGAATAAGGACAGTGTTTTTGAAACTTTAAAGTTCTATTGTTAAAGAACCTTTTCTGTTTAAACATTAACTAAAATCCTTTCTTGAGACTTTGTTTTCTTACCTCATTGCATACAGGAAGTGTAATCTGAGGTTGTTTTTCTAAATTTGAGGTGGTTTTTCCTAGCAGCTTTGTCCCAGAACAAGAGGAAACCATGGTGTGCATTCCCTGTATCGTCATTCCCGTTCTTCTCTGGGTCTACAAGAAGTTCCTGGAGCCTTACATCTATCCTGTCATCGCACCTTTCATTAAGCGCGTGTGGCCCAAGAAAGCCGTGCAGGAAACGACAGCCACAAAACGAGGGCAAGGAGGCAGTGCTGGAAACCCCCGAGCACCTTCAGCCAGCGAAAGGGATAAGGAGGATGAGTCTGGAGTTCACAGAGTAAGATTAATGCGTTTAAGCCCCAAATCATCACATGTAAAATCATCAGATGTAAATCTGGGGGCGGATTTCTTTATAGGTTTTCACTGGCCTTGCTTCTGAAAATCATTTTCATCACCAAATGTCACTATTCCTGTCTCTTTTTTAACATCTCCTTTTAACTGTGCTCTCTTTTATTTGCAGTTTGAAAGCAACGGGGTTGCGAATGGAATTGCTGCAAAGAGAGCCACAGAACTTCCTGACAAGAAAACAGATTAAAGGAATTCATTCCGAAGGATTTCATTCCCTGGTATCCAATATGAACTGGTGATTGATATTTCTCTCACTTGGAGGCACTTCTTTGCACATTTCAGCTGAATAAAACCCCTTATCACGTACAGCAGAAGGTCTCTTTTGCCACTAAAATGGCAGCTAGCAGATTTCTTATTTAAAACGTTTGAAAACCGTGTTAAATTATTCTTCATTTCCTTCCCTTGGAACCACTTTGCATCTATAACCTATTGGGCATGACTAGAGATTTAGGTTAAATAGTTTTATGGATTAAGCTAGCTTTGGAAGATAAACGTGTTGCTTCTTAGTTTCACTGACTGCGAGCGCAATACTTCATTCTTCCACTTCGAAACTAAGCTGTTCTTGACCTCGCTAGAGAACTATTAATTGCATTGTGGCAGCATAAACATTACGGTCAACTTCTGAGGAATACAGACTGCTGTGTGAAATTTGCAGATGAGCTAAAAGAGTTACGCTATATGCAAAATTTCCTTAGCAAAAAGTCTTGATTTGATACTTTCAGTCTTTTTTTTCTTTTTTCCTTTAAACGTTGTGCCTTTCTTTCCTGAAAAGGATCAGCAGGTGCATGATGCAAGAGAGTTGTTGCGTTATATTCTGTTGCAGTGGTTTCAAACGATGCAGGTCTGTGTTTAGAAAAAAAAAAAAAAAAAAGGGACTAAAATCTTTTACCGTGCTTGTGTAATTTGAATGATAATAAAGCAGGACTTTATTGAAAATTTAGCTGCTTCGTACAGTTGTTCTTAGGAAAAGCTGTAGACAGTCCCCAGCCTGAAGGAGTTTAGAAAACTACACACTTCACGATAAACAAAGTGAACTGAGCAAATCCTATGCCTCCTCCTGGGAAGATGTGTTCCGGTGCTGAATTGCATCCCAAAATGATGCCTCTGTGCTTTGTAGGAGCAGAACTAATAATTCCTGCTTTGTCCTTCTCTGCCAAACCAAAGGACTCTCTAAATGATTCCAAACTAATAAACCAACAAAAACCAAAAATATTTCAGTAGTTTGGGGTTGCTATTTAGGATTTATCACTTTCCCAGAAGACCTGTGGGCATACCTTTTTTTAATATATAAATGTTTCATGGATAGTATGTAGAGGGTGGTATCTAGAGGGTGTAATGATAGCAAGAAGAGCTGGAAAATATTTTCGGACTCATTCAATGAGTCCGAAAATATTCAATCATTCAACTCATTCAATCCTATTACACATTAAAGGGCATCGAAGTGGTAAGAGGCAACTCGCTGTCCTCAAACTGACACCGGGGTCCGGGTTCATTCTTGAACCATGTTTTCTTCTACCGAAGACTTATTTGCCTGATAGGCCTGTCAGATGCCTCTGGTGAGGAATGTTGCTTCTTACCACTGCCTGTTTTTTTGTGAAATCGTGGGGATCAGTCTGCGGTGTTCACAGCCGGGTAATGAGTCAAATTAGAGAAAATTCCTTGTCCGATGTCACCTGATGCTGCTTTTTCTCCCTTAATAAACCAGCCTATAAGGAAGTGAATTTCATATTACTCCAAAATCAGCTTTCACAACACCCTTGGAACTTAAGCCTCCATCTGATCGGTGTTTCACAGACAGATCTTTCTCCTAGACTGGTATCCCTTTGTGATATTAAAAGCTGGTTTTGTTATTCTGAGCATGCTCACGTGGTAAAATCTTGCAATAAAAGACAATACTAACTGTGCACGTTTTGCACTAAGGAGCTCCATCTTGCTCCTTCATGCTCGTGTCTTTTTCCAACTGAGATAATTTGAGGTGAAACATCTCATTTGAAGACACCAGAAGCTTACTGCATGCTTGGGGCAAAAAAAAGAAAACAAGTGGAAATACACAGTAAATCAGAGTGCAGTGGAAACTAGGCTTCTAGTTGTGTGCTTAGTACTATTTAAACACGTACAAAAAGGCCTGTCAAAAAGCAAAGCAGGCAGATAATGCAAATCTGTCTTGTTTGTTAGAATCACACCGCTTGTGCTTTCTGGCACGTTTTAGTACATCCAATAGCTGCAGTTAAACACAGGTGAGGAATACACAGTATAAAATTTGCCTGAATGAGGCATTCACTAGAAGTCTGGACAGGAAATCTGTGTTGCAAATCTGTTTCTATGCTCTTCCAGGAACAGGTCAATAATCCTATCGGAGTGTAAATAGTTTAGCACAAAAAGAATGTGAGAAACGGGTGAAAGAAACAAACTGCCTGCTTTTACATCCTGAAGCTGGGCAAAGGTGCAGGAGATCATCTGCAGAAAGCTACATATAAGAAAAGCAAGCAGAGAAAAAAGAAGGAAGTTCTGAAATGAGAGTACAAATACCAAGAAAAATTGAGAAAAGTTCTTCATGTTACTCAGTAGACGCAAGATTTACAGATGGATTCAGGCACCTTATGGCAGCAGGTGGATGGCTACCAGAATTTAGTAAAGCAAGGTAACAGCTTCATTTCCACTGAAGACTTTTAGAAAATAGCAAACTAGGCATCTTTAGGCACCAAACCACTTGTGCAGATCTCGCTCTAAGATCTCCAGTGCTAAAGCAGTCTGGGCGGATTCAAATCCTGTTGGGGATGGATCAGGAAATCCATTTGCTTGAGAATACCTGAAGAAAATGATAAATTCAAATCAGCCATTAATTTTTTTTCCTCTATGGGCAGGTCTAGGTGTGACGTGGTGCTTTCCGTGTGGTTCACGGAGAAACCTGGATGCTGAGGACTTAAATAAAATTAATTTGGGGGCTGGACTGGATGAACGCAGAGCTCCCTCCCAAACTCCGCCGTTCTGTGAAGCGCACCTCTATATTCCAAATATGTTCGGAAAACGTGAACTAAAGTTGGAAAAGCTTTATTTTGCGAATTATTCAGCGTCCTAAGGGCCTGAACGTACATTTGTAGGAAGTTCTGTGAGGTAAAATGGGGCGCGAGCGGCCATGGCTGTGGTACAGAGGGATCTTTATGCTTATTTGCCAGGTGAACTCCACCCAAGGAGCAGCAGGAATTACTGGGGGCAGCAGGAATTACTGGCGGGCAGCGCTGTTGCACCACTTTATATTTTATTGTGTATAAAAACCCCACAGGCCCCGCCGCTGCAGCTCCCCGCCGAAAACTACATTTCCCAGCGTGCCCCGCGCCGCGCCCCTCTCCCCCCTCCCATCGGCGGCCCGCGCGCATGCGCACTGGGGAGGCGGTGGCGACGTGGAAGGCCGGGAGCGGCGGCGGTGCGTGCGCGCATGCGCGAGGGGGGGCGCGACCGTTAGGGGCCGTGAGGGGACCCTGAGGGGACCCTGAGGGGGCGGCGGGGGCCGCGCTCGTTCCCTTCGCGTGCTCGGTTTCGCCCCCCGGCGCCGCTGTTTTTGCTGCTTTTTTTTTTTTTTTTTGTCTCCGGGTGCGTTCTGTGCTGGCTTCCTGAGCCCCGAATCTCCCCAGGTGTGTTGAGGTGCGGGGCGGAGCGGGCTGCCGGGCACCCAAATCCGCCTCCTGCCGTCGCCGGCGCTGAGGGTAAGGTGCTGGGTTCCCCTGGTGGCGGTGTGAGCTGGCTCTGTTGGCACAGCGCTGTTAATTCCTCCAGCCAACGCTTCTGGAAGGCAGGGGAGCAGAGAAACCCCTGCTTATTGGGCTCGTTGCCTGGTTGTAGGGCACCGTGTTATGTAATCCCCGATTTTACCCCTTTTTCAAGCAAAAAAGCGGCCAGGTTGCTCCAGCTGGGGTGAGTGGTGTCGCTGCTCGGCTCGCAGGGTGCTGAGGAAGGCCCTGTTCCCTTTTCCACCCCCTGCTGCTGCCTCAGGGGAAGCCCCTGGCCAGGTCCTGCTCTGGGGTTTTAACACCACAGCACCTCGTGGGATCAGTTCAGCAGGAAAAAAAAATAGAGATATAGCAAATAAATGCTGAACTTAGGTGGCTTTGTGATTTTATCAGATGGCCAGGAAGATCCCAGGGTGGTTTTAATGCGCCGATGGCTGACAGTTGTGCTCGCAGGTTTGTTAAGCCTCCTGCATGTAAGAATCCTCCTCCTTTTGTGTGAGGAAGGTATCAAGAGTCAGAGATCCTGCTCGGTGGCTGATGAGCTGCTGTCAAAGAGGGTGGATAAAGGTGGTAATGATATTTCTTCAACGTGGGCTCTCCAGGGTGGAAAGCCTATTGTACCTGCTAGTAATTATACAGCTTGGCCACACAGCTTCATTCGCAGTAGATCCAGGAGAGGGGATATAAATCGTGTAGGGCAGTATAAAATTATGTATGCGTGCAAATCACATTTGGCTTTCTCTACTACGTGTGCCTTTTGTGCTGGAGGTAGATTTCTAGTTGTGGGAAACATTTCAAGCAGAAAGCTGTTGTAAAAATGCACATAATGCCCAATTATGGGAGAGCATAGATGCCAAAATAACTGTGTAGCCTGTGAGATAAATCAGGATTAAAAAATTGCAGTCCTTTTTAATGGTGTCTAAGCATCTTTCTGAGGCTTAAAATGTCATGTTTCTTACTGCCCTCATGCCTTCCCTCTGTGGAGGGATGTGCTACAAAACCTGACGCTGTCGTTCTACCCTCAGGTTTGTAGGCGTGATGAAGTAATTATTTAATAAAAAGTTACAGCTGGAATTATGTAGGAGAAACAGAAAAGTTGCTGGTTGCTTTTCCAGCAAAGCAAGCAGTGGACAACTCAGATAAATTGCTCGTAAAGACTTTAAGATGTGGTTTTCTTTCCTTGCAGCTGAGCATTCCACTTCATAACGGTGGTGTCCAAAAATGTACCTGTCCCGAGGTGCTGGGACAGGTATAGATCCTAAAATCTAGTTCAGATCCTAAAATCTCCCCGCCATTGGTTGTAAGCGCCTGGTAGATGAGGGAAGGTGAAATCATGGTAATGGGTCGATTGCAATCTGCGAATGGCATCAGTGAAATATTTCAATACATTACTTCAACTGATCAACTTTCAGGCTGTTCGCTGAGAAACGAGGTTGTCCTGAAGATGGAAAAAAATAACCACTAAGGGTGAATTGGCAGATTTTGGAGGTTAACCTTGATGCTTTCGGAGGACATCTGGAAATGTTAGGCTCAGATCCTGCATGTGAATATTCAACTGTGAGGAATAAACAAGGCTTAGACTGTTTACTATCCATGGGTGCAATCTCTGCTCATATGTTTTGTAGATAAACGCTGCATGTGATGTTTAATCCACAAAGATTTGACTGTAGGTATAAATATTCCTGTAACATGAGGGAGCAGAGAAAATCTGAAGATGTGTGGGTAGTAGAATTCAAATATTGGAGCTAAATAATGCCTACTGTTCCTAAGTCTTCTGGGAAGCTCTGTCTTAGGATTTTATGGGACGTTTTAACATTTCACAGGTGAAATGGGGTTTGAAATGCTGGGTTCTTGGATGCAAACTGGGAATTAGACGTTGTGTCAGCTTCCTTGGTACTCGAATATGCCGTGTGACATCTCAGTGTTCTTGTCTTTACAGTGATTCTGGCTACTTTGGCTGAAAGGAAAACAATGTCCATTTGGATTAGTTGAGAAAGCAGCAAATGGTAAAGGTAAGCCAAGTGTTTATTATATAGAATTGACTTTTTTTTTTAGTTCTTCAAACATGATAGCATCAGTTCTTCATTTATTTTCCTGAGATTGTATTCAAGACACAGCCAAAAGGCTAGATTGCCCCAAAGCTGTCTGTACAACCGTTTCTTATTCTTATATATTAAAATGAGCACTTTATAATGTATGTATATTTGTTTATATTTTGCTATAAAGAGATATATTGATAGCTGTATCTTTATCTGTGTACGCAGAGTATTTTTCAGGCTGTCTGCAGATTCAAGGGCAGCGTGGGAAGGGGGAACTGCTTTGCTCTAAGCCAGCTTTACGGACTGGATTAGTAAAATGTCAAAGTTGTGCGACCAGTTGGGGACTTAACATTGGAATTATAGGTCCTGTACTAAAACTGTTCAAACAGAAGGTGTAGAGGGCGTGACAAGCTTTTCTCCAAGCCCAACAGTGCACGTATTGCTCCTCCGTTTGTTCTTGGAAGCTGCTGCGTGTCGAAGCTCAAATTTTTGTGCATGCGAAAGGACAAAGGAAGATTTGGCATGCGCCAAGCTGTGAAGAGACATCGTGTGTCTTGCTCAACTGCTTTTAACTTAAAAAGGAAAATGATATTCTTGTAACCACTGTTAATAATTAACATTCAGGTCCTGTATAAGGTCAGTAGGCATAAGATTTATGAGTACCCCGATCTGTTTGGGATTAGGGTGGGTCCCGATGCGCAAAGCCACCTCTTGCATTCGGTCTGAAGCATCTGCTTCTCGTGGTGGAGCCGAGTTCCGTCACTGAACAGATGTTGGATGTACTACAGCATGACACAGACCAGGTTATGATCCTTTGGGGGTGTTCCCAGCTTGTTTAGGATCAAAAGTTGTTACTGGTAGTGGCAACAATACCATATTGAGCTAAATGACTTGCTAATAAATTGTTTCTATATTTTTTGAGCGAACAGATGAATCGCTTTTCAAGAGAAATATAACTTTTTTTTTTTTTCTCAACCATCATTTATTTAGTGTATTCGTGTTGGATCTTAAAGCCAGTGAGGGCTGTTACGAAAATCAGGCGTGGGGAAAGTCACGGGTAAGTGAGGATTAGGGAAATTTTCAAACAACTGTGGTAATTCGTGCTCCAGTTCCTGACCAACCATCGTTCTGTTTGGAGAAGTAAGCCAGGATATAGGGCCCCAGGGGAGTCCCCAGGGCACTCTAGCCAGCAGCTCGCTGCCTTACTTGAAGAGCTATGGCTTTGGTCACAGGTAGCTGGGGAATAGGAATCTGAATCTGCAAATGGACAATAAATATTTTGTTAAAACTTGCTTTACAAGGACTGTTTGTTTGGCGGGATTTATGTTAGCAGAATCTAATCACTTGGGACTCTGCAGAAAATCTGGAGAGTATGCCAACTTTTTTTTTTTTTAACAAGAACTAGTTTAGAACTCGTGCCACCTGAACCTCAATTCTTCTACCTTTAAATGATGATCCAGTATCCTCGTAGTATGCAATTTTGTCTCTCTTCTGCTTTATTCTCTAGCTTTTTATTGGCTTTATTTCAAAGGCAGTACACACTGAGTCTTGTGAGGCAGTACACACTGAGTCTTGTGTTTTTGTTTTATTTCCTTGAAGTGGCAACATTTCTTTTCAGGTAAGATGCGTTTGTTCTGTTCTAGGAGTAAACATCTAGAGTTTTGGAAATCTTTTTAAGCTCAGTGCCATCTTACAATCCCCCAGTGCTTCTCTGCAGAATTCCCTGGCAGGATCTTACACTAGACCACTTAAATTTTTCTTCCTGCAGGTGATCCCCATGACCAAAGGGCTTCTGCAGGTGCTCCAGGTAGTGTCTCCAGAACTTTTTTTTTTGCAAAATGTGACCTCTGTCAGGTTATTAGGTTATTGTACCTCTCTCCCTTTTGGTCAGGCTTAAAGGGAGCCTTTTAAAGGAGACCTCTTTATTTCTTAATAGTCTCCCTTATTCAATCCTGGCTGTACTGGCATCCTGCTTCTGAAATACTTGGGTACTCCACACAGAACAAGTAGAACACAGCTAATAACGAAAAGGACATTTGGAGTGCATCTCTGTCAACTTTGCAGCATATCATCTAACAAACAGTTGTGTTTCTGAGTTACTTTCCAGCTTTTTTTTCTCCTTGACTGCAACCTACTACAGTTATTTCACAAAGTTCAGGAGGTTCGATGCAGTTGGTAGCACCTTTCCTCGGTTGCTTTGGGATATCTGTGCAGTAATGATAACGTTTGTGCTTAGTGTGGAGGAGGTAGGGATCTTCAAGGTGCTAACTTTATTTTTTAGATGAAGATGATGTAGACCTAAGTTTGTTGAAAGAAAATACTTTTAATGCCTTCCTACGTGCCTCTGTTTTCTACTTTTCAGTAACTCTTTAAGGCAGTGAACCAAAGCCTTACGGATTGCTGGTTTAAGATCTGGATATTCCTTATTTGTACCAAAGGTTGTAAATATTTCTTTTAATTTTTTTTAAGAAATGAAGATTTAGAAGGTGATTAGCCAAGTAAAGAAGATGGGAGCGAAATAGCAGCAGCATCAGCGAGCTTCCAGAAAACGAATACCTAAAGAAGTTGTCAGGAGCAGAGCCCATCTCCGAGAATGACCCCTTCTGGAATCAACTGCTGTCTTTTAGCTTTACCACTCCAACAAACAGGTAAGATGGTGCTTGTGGAAGAACTAAACCTTGTAATATATTTATCGAAGTGCTAAGTCTGAAAACAAATGAGTATTTTTTATATATATTCCTATTTTAAGTAGCAAGAGAATAAATGTCTGTATAAAATACTTTCTGATCTTTTTTTGTTCTTGTGAGTTCCTTTTGTCCTCATAGCTATATTCGCTATTTATTCCCCCTGATAGACAGGAAAAAAATAAATCAAAAGTGCACTCTGTAGTGCTAGGGAGGATTTTTTGTTTGTTTTGGGGTGGCTTTTTCTGAGCGAACCTCCGGTGTTTCTGCAGCACCAGAAGAATATTTCCTCTGAACTTACAGTGAATTGTACATCCCCTGTGGCTTAATTGTAGGTTAGCTGTTATGTTCCTTAGTCTCTTTTTTTTTTTTTCCTCCTCTTTTACGATTTAAAGGAAGTTTGGCAGTTTTGTACATCTTACCACTCTAGCAAATGATGTGGCAATAAACGGAACGTGCTCTCCATAGCACGTGTCCAGAAATGTGTGTGTTCAGACTCATTTTAACCCAAGTCCATTGCCCTGCATAAGGCTTATCAGTTTTACAAGAACAATCTGGAATTCTTAATCTCTTTTTACAATTTACAGAGTGACCTGATACTTCTCTGTCAGGTAAACGTCTTACTTAAACCCTTTATTATTAGCAGTATTCCCTTGTGAAGTGCTTAGCTTTTGAATAAATATTCTTAAATGTCTAAACACACTTATAACAGGTGTAAATAGACCAGTACCTGTTACTGCTGAAATATGGATCAGTTATCATCTTAATCAATTGAAAATATATTTGAGAACTGTTCTGGCCGATGTTATTCACATCTTTCAGTTATTTCTTAAAGCAGAGCTCCTGTCAATGTGAATGAAAATCAAAGATTTTTTTAAAGAAGGGGTAAAACTGGTGCAGAATTAGATTACGCTGAGCTCTTGTGTATTTCATATAAATGACTGACTGAGTAAAGGATGAAACAAAATTTCTAGTGAGATAGTTGACGTGTTTTATGACTTCAGGGAAAATGGTCAAGGTAAGCAACCGAGTGGCATTTACTAACCTCTGTTTTTGTAATGATTGCGGAGAGGGAAGGATTTTGGCTTCTGCATCATGGGAATAGTCAGAAGTTAGCAAGAAAACCTCAAAGTGTTGTAAAGCTTGTAAAGGACAGTACGTATTTGGCAGTGGGTGAGGGAACATTGCTGTCTCTAAGTTCTCTGAGGAAGCAAGAATTGTTTAGAGCCCACCTGTGACAAGCTGGACAGTATTCTAAGAGCTCATGTATTGCTGCATTGGGGCTTTTAGGGGGAAGTAAAGAAGTAAAGAACTTCCTACCAAGGTAAAAAAGTCTTTCGTAGCTTGATTTATAATTTTTTTTTGTGACTATTTCATGGTGTCAGATCTGGTGCAAGATGAGAGTGTTTAAAAAAGAAGAAAGAAAAAATATTAAAAAAAACAAAAAAACACACAAACTTGATCCAAAAGCAGGTTGAAAGTTTAATTAGCTGAACACCAGATGGTGCTCTTGCCTGGCAGCTGGAAGAGATGTATTTTTAGAGACATCTTTTGTCCAGCTTAATTGGAAGGAAGCTGAAATTTCCCATGAAGTTGCACCTACCTGCGAGAACTGTTTGACAAATGATGTCAGACAACGTTGGCTGCACAGCACCCTCAACCGTTGTCTAAATCGGATAACCTTGCCTGCAGGAACAGAACAATAGAGGTCAGTGTTCATTTTAGAGATTGAAAGCTTGTGGAAGATCAAGTGAACCCTGTTTTGTTTTAATGAGGATGGAGTGTAGGTCGTACTTTTGACAGGAGCAAGGTGCTAGTTTTGGACTGTTGGGGAGAGGAGCCAATTTTCACCTGTCGAGACAGAATTTAAAGTTTTCTGCTCTTCACGTTCTATTTTCTCATTAGTCTGTAGCAAAATTAGTGTGTTTATGGTAGGTGAGGCAATGCCTTAGCCACCAATCTACCAACACTTGAAGGAGAATGTCTGGAATCTCTTAGGCAGTTCTCCTTCCTCTCTGTTCCAAATGAGTCTGACTACCTGCTGATCACAGCTGCTAAAGGAAAATCTTCTGGGCTGACATCCTCAATTGGATCTTTTTCATTATTTGTTTAATCCCCAGACTCAAAAGCTCAAGACCTGGGCTTGAGAGTTGATGATGTTGCCTTTTTTCCCTTTCAGTTTAGTTGATTTCTTCCTCCATTTATCCATTCTTTTTCATTTTCCTACTTCTTTCTTTTGCTTTCTCTCCCCACCCCTACGTGATGGCTTAGTAAATGAGTGTGCTCGAGAAAAACATATAAAAAAAGAGGTTTACACACACAATGTCTTCACTGGGTTTATTTTTTTTGGCTTAGTTAACTTCTGGATCTATTTTTCTGATGAACACAAGGTGGTTCACAGGTGCAGTTTGCCAAATACTGGTGCTGGTGACTCCAAAGTTGCTGCGTTGGCAATCCTGATGCAAGATAACACTTACCCACGCAGTAGCCCTTCAGCATTTATGTGGATCCTGCCCCTGCGCTGCCCCTTCCAGTATTTAGAAGGATCTTCTGTGAGTTGAATCAGGAATTTGTCACGATTATTGAGCAGGTAAAATACCTGCTGCAAAAAATCCTGTAATTCTGTAAAATTCAACGTTCTACTTAGCAGTGTTGTGAGTTACAACACTTTTATGATGGAAAACTTAAAACGGAGTGAACTAACTCAGAGCTTGCTGAAAATCATGTGCTTAATATTTACTGTCCCGCTTTGTTCCTTCCCTGGAGTTTTTAATGAGTGGCTGCTTAAAGAATAGTGTGCATGAGCCTTTAATGGAAAGACATAAAAACGAGCGACTTTTTATGTTGCCTTAATATGGTATGTTTTGAAATTGGTGCCATCAATTATGTGCAGCTTTTTATTCTTTGACGTCTTTCCTCTGAATAGTCCATTAAAGTCAGCATTCCCACAGTATGAATTTACTGAATGGGATGATTTTTCTATTTTTTTTTTTGTATTGAGTGACAAGGAGAAAACTGTCAGGAAATCTGCCCCCTGCTTTTTTTTTTTCTTCCTTTTTCGGAGGGGTTGGCTGACAGCTCCAATTCGGATCTGGTAGGTGTCACTGTCTGTCTAGGTGTGTTTATAATTACAGTTTGTGCGCAGAGCACTTCGACTGGCAAAGCTGAGATGTTCTAAAACAGTAGCCTCTGCTGCTTAAAAGCCTCTTGCATCGTGATGCCTTTAAAATGAAAGCAGAAAAAACCATATTCTTCAAAGATAAGTTCTGGGAAGTAACTTTCACTCTCTTTTATTAGTTGCAGTTTTGCTCAAGTTTGTGGGGACTGAGTGTTGGTAAATATCAAGTCAGGCAACTGAAACAAATTCAAGCACTCCATTAACTCCACTAATTATTTCTTATTTTTTTCTTCTTCTCTTTTGGAGTTAATGTGTTTTTTACAATATATGCCAGAACAGCTGTCACAGAATCTGGCTTTCTGGTAGGATGGAGGCAGAAATATAAATATGTTGTCAATTAAAACTGATTTTTCTTTTTTTTTGAGCAGTAGGCTGTCTAATTTACCATTCTTCCCCACCTTTACAAAAACAACAACCTGCTGATGAACTTCCTGTTTTCTTAGTAAGCGTAAGTACCAACAAAACAGAAAACTTGACTTGAGATTGGTGATTAAACAAAAGAAGAGTGATTTTAGCAGGACAGAGGAGAATACATGCTGTTTAAATACCCTTTCAATATTGTTTTACTTGGTCCATAATTGCTGCCTAAATGTATGATAACTCATAATTTTTGTTTCATATTTTCAATACACTCTTCTGAAATACAAAGGGGCAATCCTTGCACTTGTTTTCATTCCTTTATGTGCATCAAATCCCCAAATGGCATTTATATGAATCATTTAGGTTGCAAAATAACCTTCAAGATCTTTCAATTCAACCATCAACCTGACCTGCTGGGTTCCATCACTAAACCAGCGTCCCTGAGGGGGCTGCAGGTGGGGTGCCTGCACAACAATCCTCAGTGGTAACATGAAGCAGAGCAAGAGTTCACTTAGCTTGCTTGTTTATTGCTAGAAAGTTTTCTTAGCTTGCTTGTTTATTCCTAGAAAGTTTTCTTAACAGAAGCTTGTTGCTAATAGTTCTCATAGACCAGGCGATGTTCTACTCTTCCAGCCCAAATCAGTCTCTTCTATAATCGTGTCCTAGAGAATACTGTGCCTCAGAAGCTTAATTTCAGTTCTGGAAAAAGTGTAATTTTATTTTCTCAGGTCTTGGAAGATCGAGGCAGTCCCTGTTCCTCAGGTGAGGGCTTTCAGAGAGAATTGCATCTTCTGTTTGGGATCAGCGCAGTGGAAGAGCTCCTCTCCCTCCCTCCATTAGTGCTTGCTCTTGCTGTTGTTGCTGAAAAGCAGTCTGAACACTGCCGGTGCCTCTCTTGTGGATTAATGAAGGGAGGGATGTCTTAGTGTTAGCTTTCCAGTTTTATATTCATTCATTAAGCAAATGTCATCTCCGCAGGATTTCTTTTGTGCCACCTCAGGAATCTTGGCTCTGTCATTTTCCACCGAAGTGTTAATATAACGTTATCTTCTGTGTTCACAGCACACGAAAAACCACGCAGACAGCTTTTTCCAGGCCTCTCACTTTTCTTTCCTGCCGGAGTTAATGAAAACTGCTTCTAAGCTAGTGCTAAGCTTTGCCCCAGGTACCTGGAAATGGGCTTGTATTTTTTTTTGTGCCCTTCCCACAGCCGATATGCTCTCTCCCTGAATTTATCCTTGCAGGCCTAACAATTAGCAATAGTATTAATTCTCTTGGGTGTAAGGACATTGTGTTGTGTGCATACATATTTGGGGCGGCGTTCTGTAGTTGCCTCTCCCTAGGTGTTTTTAATACTCAAACTGAAGCTTTGCAGATGTTGCCTGGTGTTCAGGGTGGCAGGATTCAGGCCTGTACTCTTGTTCTGTGAATGAGGGGAAGAGGGGTGGTTTATAAGCATTAAACTTCATCTTGGTTTTGTTAGGAGAAAGAATCGCTCCGTTGTTTGACTCTGAAGTTCTGAATTTCTCGCTTGGTTTGCCCCCGTTCTTGATCCCGGCAGCTGTGCGATTTGTTCCAGGGTTGTGTGTTTTTGAATAACTTGGAGGGGGGGAAAAAGCAACGCTCGGAAGAATGCTGTATTTTAAAACCTAAATGCTTAGAAATTAGGGGAAAATGAAATGTAATTAAAAGATTAGGGCATACGTCTACAGTTTAAATCAAAAAAGCAATTACAGTAATCAGGCTGTATGAAAGAAGTCCCTAGCATCTCTGGATAATGGGAGTTGGATCGTTTCTTGTTGGATTAAGATTATTCAGGACCTAAGAAGCCTGTAGGAGGTTGGTGTTCAATTTAATGTTCATCTGGCTTTTCAGCACTAGGGAGGGAATACGTCCTGATGACAAGTGGCCAGCTGAACAAAGTAGAAGTCAAAACAGAAAAATCCTTTTCATCCAGACCTAGCAAACAGCACTGTCAGAAATCTTAAAATTAAAAAGAAATGAATTTGTTTCTTTCTTGAAGTATTTCCTATTGAAAAGCTTAGAAATATTTCTTTCAGTTCCTGTTCCTACCCATGTCTTTACCTCTTCTAGCCCTTGATTCTGGGTACAGGTTACTCATCAGAACTGAAACTGATGCTTAGGAAGCAACAGCACCTTTGGCACTCTGATTATGGCAGTATTAATTTTCTTGCAATGTTTTTATATGAGAAAAATGCTTGTGTGGAGGCCACAACCTTGAGTTGAATTAAACCTCCTAAATTTTATCTTAGCCTCTTTGAATTGAGGGTGAGTGGGAGAGGAGAGTCAGCCCAAGAACTCCTGGAGAACAAGCGTCTCCCCCTGACTATTTTTTTTAGGGATTTATTCTTTTTAACACCTTCTTTTACTGGAAAAAGTGAAATATTCTGTTGGAGGCCTGGAAGTAGTGTACAGAATGAAGAAGCACAGTTTGTAACAGGTGTAGGTAAGATACGCTTCGAAGTGCATGAGAACTTTTCCCCCCTGAAAGATGATTTCATTCTGACATTTCACTGTTTACCTACCAGATTCAGTTTTACCTTTGTGGTAGCTGCTTTTCTTGAGGCATTGGTTGAACATCCAAAGTTTCATCTTCTGGGCCTCGTGTAATAATTTTCTGATGAAATCCATCACTGTTTCATTGTTTCAGAAAAGCGTGTTGGTTTTCTTAGCTGTTTTGAAATGTGAGCTCAGAAACTTAACTGTATTTGAGTGAATTTCTCAAGCAAAGTGGCGTAGGAGATCCAGAGAAGTGTTTCATCTTTGAGGATTGATTACTTCATACTGGTAGGTTTGTAAAGATAGAAGTATATAAATATTTCTACGTGTTTGACACAGCTGGTGTTCAGTTTCAGTGGCTGTTGGCAGGTTCTGTGTTGGTGTTTTATTGCCCTTTTAAGATGATGTTTTTCCATTGAGGCGTACAAGCAGGCGATTTAGTGAATTTATGAAAAATTTGGTATATCCGACGTGCTTCTTGCAGTAATCTAATAACATTGGCTGACAGAAAGGGGTCCTTGGCATGAGGTTGAATGTCAGGGTGAGGATTCTGAATTTACACTTTTTAATAAAATGTTACTTCACAGGCTAACTTTTGTTTTAAAAACAAAGCATTTTTTTCTGCAGGCTGCAGTTCCATGCCGATTTTCAGTAGCATCAAACCAAGCATGGCAACATCGAAGCCAGAAAGGTGGAAATAGAAACAAGAGATGGAGTGACATCATCACACTGGTGGACAATTCACTTGCAAATATTAATTTCCTCTTTTAATAGCTTCTCTGCTTCTGCAGCTGCAAGATTTGCTTCACGTTGTACTGCTCAATACCTGTGTAAATCAGCTAAAGGATGGCTAAAACGAAGTGCTCCATAGCAATGCGTAATTATTTTGTAAAGAATTTGCAGTTTAAGTGTGGGAACTCCAATTATTAATATAACCACCCTTTTTTTTTTTCCCCTTAGTGCGGAATTAAAGCTCTTGGAAGAAGCCACCATCTCAGTCTGCAAGTCTTTAGGTGAGAAATCGTGATATCTTTTTGCCATGTGGTTGGTCAGTAAAATTAAGAAACACCATGCGTACATCCATGTCTTTGGTATAATTAACTCTATCTGTATGCACTAGGAAGATGAAAATAGTGTAAAGAGTGTTTTATATATCCCAAATTTTTAGAAACTTGGTCTGTTAACTATTTTTTCTAGAACTTAAAATGACTAAAACAATGAAATAACTCCATCCCTACTCTCTCTTTCTTTCCCTCTGCCCTCTGAGGCAATCGGGGGGTGAAAGGAAGGGATAATACAAATAACATCAACGATGGTAAAAGAAAGTAAAAGCTAGTTGTGAAAAACCTGCACAGTTTCCCTGATAGGAAACTGCTGTGCTGTATGCAAGCCTTGGTAAGGAAGTGGTATGGGGCTTCACATTTGGAATATTTTAAATTGAGGCTGAAAAGTGCAAAAAGAATGATCTTGGAGTAGCAGGGCATGTACTGGGGAATCTTAAAAGTAAAATAACAGCTGCATGGGAAAACATGCTGCATTTGATGTGGAAATATTTAAGGCATTAAAGTTTGTTTTCACTCTGAACTAAAATGTCTCAACTTATTAAAGGTACCTAATTATCATGTCTATTCAATTCCTTATCTAGTTGAGAAGAATCCTCGAACAGGAAACCTTGGGTCATTGATAAAAGTCTTTCTTTCTAGAACCAAAGAATTAAAAATATCAGCAGAATGTCAGAAGTAAGTACCCAGAAAAAAAGCTGTGTGCCATTTCATGTTGTTTACCTTCCTTTTTTTTTTGCTAGCTGCTTGCTCTAGCTAGTTAACACATTTACAGACTGAAAGTTAAGACATTGTTTGAAATAAATAAAAGCGTTTCATACTTTATCAAGGATAGATCGTGAAGTATAATAGATTGTTGGGGGAAAAATAGATGTTTGTGTACAGCAGAGATGTGACTTTAGGCTAACTTCTGCCTTCCCTATTGTGAAGTCCTGAGGGGTTTTTGTCGTAATTTTCTCTGGGTGGACCCCACAGTAGTAAACATGCAGCACACATTCTGTGTTACCAGCTGGATAGTTCAGAACTCCAACCCCTTGGAACACAAATCAAATTTAAGAGAATTGACTAGCCTGTTGATGCATGAGATTTCCTTCCTATATGATAGGTGTAAGGGTTAAGAGCGTATATTATTCAAAGTAAATGTTAATTTAATTCTTAAGTGCTTGATTTAGAGTATTTAAAAATCACCTGACTGTCTACCTAAATCTTGATTAATCAAGTTTCTCGGGAATACTTTCCAACTGGATTGGGTTTGAGCATTAAAAAACAAAACAAACAAACAAAAAACCCACACACAAAAAAAACCACTTCTGTATAAAGACACATTTCAAAAATGTTCTTTTTATTGTCTTCTGCTCTAGGAATCCCCTTTATTACTCTGTCATGTATCGTGTGAGTTTTGATGCACGCTGGCATGTTACATGTTACTGATTCCCATTTGTTTCTGCTTCCTTTCTAGTCACCTCTTTATCTGGCAGGCTCACAATGCCTTATTTATCATCTGCTGCTTGCTCAAAGTGTTCATCAGTAGAATGTCAGAAGAGGAGCTGCAACTTCATTTTACTTACGAGGAAAAAACACCGGGCTCATATGGTATGTGTATGGCATTGCTAATAAAACAAATATTCCACAAGAAAGTAATGAGTGCTGATGTTGTAGTAAGAATCCAAAACTTTGTTTGAAAACCAGAAGTAATAATATTGCTACATCGTACACCACCTTTCACTATTCAGGACAACCTGCGAGATTGAAAGTACATAGACAGTATTAAAACTGGCTTCTTTCTTTGGAGTCTGAAGTAATTAAGTGTTTAACAGAAATATTCCCAGACTTCATTTGGCTTTTTTCTTTTTAATAGTTATTCAAAACAGGCATTGTAGATCTAGAATTGTAGACTTAGTTATGGCAATTTTGATCCAACTAAAAATGTGGCAATGGTCCTCTTCAGAACATCCTCTGGCTTTTGCCTCTTTATTTTGTGAGCTGTGCTATTGCCAGGGAGTAGGGGAGTCTGCAGAGCACTGCAGTTCTGTTAGTAACAGTGACAGAGCTCGAATGGAGGAAAGGGATGAGGTTTTTGGCCTCTGAACGGGTGGGGAGAACAAATGAGAGTTGTAGTAAGTGTCCTACCACTACTATAAGATGAAGGGCCATGTAAGAAAGATTATCAGTGACACAATGAAAAATTGGTCATACTATTTATAAGCAGTAATGATTGGGGTTGTAACAGCTCTTTGATTGGAAGTGATCCTTTGTGAAGGCAAAAGCTAAAATGTGGCTGATGGGCAATAGTTCTTCCAAAAGTACAGGAAAAGTGAATTTAAGCAGAATGATTAAAAAGAAAAAGTGCTTCTCTAGGAAAAAAAAATGTTCTGCATAAAACAAGGAGACGGATGGGGGGAACGGCTGTATTATTTAAACAATTTCCCTGCTACCAGCTGGTTAAACAAACAAAAGAAATTAAATAAAAAAAAGCTCACTTCTTGCTTTAGTGGTGTGGTGTAGCACGGTAAAAGAGCTGCAAAAGCTGCGATGTTTCGTTAGCTCGAACCTCAGCAATCTTTATTCTTTACTCTGGGAGTTCCTAAGAGCATAGGATGACAAGTGGCTGTTATCACTGGGGTAGCTCCGTGTTTATAGGATCTTTGTTAGCACTTGACTGTAATTCTCTGTGACATTTATTAGTGATAATTTCGTGCATATTGATGGCAGGCGTACTTGGCAATTATCTTTGAGCTGAATGGGAGCTGGATGTTCCTGATTAGGAAGGTAATTGTGTGTGGTCTGCTGTTAGAGCAGGGGATTGAAGGCAGGAAATGAGTTCCTCATCAGCTTTCCCCGCTCAACTATGGGCTGAGGCCAGCTTCTTGTGCCTCGGGTTTCCACTTGGGGACCGTTTTCGGGACCTTTTTTGAGGTATTGAGGTTCAGAGCATGTTATGTTTATGTAGCCATCCGTTTTTGTTGTGAATAAATCCTTCATGTATAAATAAATCCTTTAAAAAAAAATATATAGTGTGTATTTATCAATACCTTCACTATATGAAATGTATTAATATACAGTATATTAATTATAATATATAATTATCTATAATAATTATATATCCATATATTATTGTATAATATATGAATATATAATGTATGAATTCACTATATGAAAAGCATCATTTGCAGAGTGTAATGAAATGTTCTTGTGTTAGGGCTTATTAAATTAAGCGGAATAAAATGATTTTTGTTTTTATTTTCATAATTAAGCATAGCTTTCTAGAGTATAGAGTATTCTTTACATTCTATAGAGTATTCTTTCTAGAGTATTCTTTAAAAACAAGAAAAACAGGATTTGTTCTGAAGTTTATACAGATTTATTAATACTTCGGGTGCATTCTTCAGTCTCTGCCTTCTGAGAAAGGTAAATTTCATCATAAAACCATGTGGTGGTCTTTTTTTTTTTCTCTTCAAACTATTAGCATCATTTTATTTTCCTTTTAGCCTGGGAATTGTAGTACCACTGATTTTTAAATGACATCCTAGTAGCATTCTTTGAGTGTAAATAGAGCACCTGTTAGCTCAGAGAGCCTAAGTGCAGCGTCAGCACGTTGATCTCCTCGCTCTGCAGTCAGTGTCAGTCCCTGCTGTGTAATGTTTGGTATTTCAGGCAGAAATGTAAATGACAGTAATGATCTGTGGAAAACATCCTTGTCACTGGCTGCTGAGAAATGTTTTGTCATGTATGACACATCCACTATTTAGGTAGCATTTTATAACTGTCTTATCTGGGAGAATCGCCTCCCAGACTTTGCAGTTCATTGCTTTCACTCTTTCTGAATGTCTTGATCCCCTTCCAGAATAATAGATCATTAATAGAAATTTGCTCCTTTTGGCAGTTTTCAGATGGTTCCTTAGGCCGGGAATTTACAGCCTTTACCACTTCATCCGTAACTGGGAATTTGCGTTTAACTTCGGAAGGTATTGCACAACTTTTAGTTGTAGGAAAGTGCTTATAGACTTAAATCACATCTTAATTTCAGCTAAAACTTCTTGATATTAATAAATCCTAAATTGGAGCGGGCTAAATTGGACTGGAGTAAGTCATACTAGCGTAGACCATTCATCTTTTGCTGTTTCAGGATTTAAATACGGCTGGTGAAGAATGCATAACTGGCCTTTTTTAAAACCGTGTCTCTTTGCAGTTGCTTCTTCACCCTGATAATTTAGAAGATGTGCTTGTTGTTGCTCTGTGCAAGCGTGCTCTAATCTTGTCCGGACAGATTCACCCTTTGCTTCTTTTCCCCCCGAGGCTTTACATGGGTCTTTTGATCCAAGTATGTGATCTATTAACGCGAAGGAGCATTGTGTGTGTTGTCTTTATCCTGCTATTGAAAGCCGCTGTTTATGAAAACACTGTGTTCTGTGTTTATAGCCCTCTCTCACGTTATAGATTTGGCACGCCTCCGTGTCATTGTCTCGGAAAGACGAGAATTCAACAAGAATGCCTGCGCCCCGATGGGGGGAAAGGATACATTAATTATTGGAGCTGAATGACATTGATTACAGCAATTAAGTTTGTTGGGGGGGGAGGAAAAAGTAATTTGAGAACAGCAGGAGAGGCGAACATCTTCCATTCTACGTGATTGTGCCAACCTAGTAGTTTCTTCCTTTATTTTGAGTATAAAGTGTGGGGGAAAGCCCTCTAATACTTAGCTAGATAACTTTTCAGAACTTGTTCTGTAAGCATTTTTTTTAGATTCATAAAACGTTGGAGAAGCGTCACCTTCAAGTTGCTGTAGGATCCGTTCTCTGGGCTTCATTATTTGCCTGTGCTTTCTGTCTAAGGTTAAATGCTCCTAGCAGTTCTCATTTTTTTAAATTTTTATTTCTTTTTACTAACAGGAGCTGCATTGTATTACTCATGGGGGATCCTATATAAAGGAAACCATGTTTCCATGATAAAAAACCTGATTTCCTTTAGAACGTGCAGTTCACTAGGTGACGATTTTTAATGCGATCTTAATAAACCGATTGTGGAAAGAAATAATTTGTGCTTTATTGTGGATATTCCCCCCGGCGTGCTTCTTAAAATTAAGTGTTGGAATTGAGAACAACCTGGGTTAAACGGAGTGACACTGCCATAACCCGGCTATAGCGCTGTGTTTATTGCACGACCCGTTTATCTGAAAATACAATATCAACAAGCATTTGTGTAATCATTTTGCTGTAATGCCAGTTTGGCAGCACAGAAGGAAAAACTGTGCTCTCAGGCATTCAGCACTATAAAACCCTTCACTTTCGTGTCATGTGTATCGTCTTATTTTATTCTGAAAGCATTAAAAAACTCCTCCTGAGCCAAGGGATGCATCTTCTCTTACTTCTTATTATATGCCATCGTCAAATGGCTTAATGAACTTTTTTCCTCTGGCAAGGAACTCTTTTGTTCCACTTGCATTGAAAAACTGCAGGGCTAATTTAAAACACTGCCAGTTTTGTTGCTTCCAATAGTTGTAGCTTTAAAATAATTTTTGATCATCCCGTGAATTTTAGTTGCATTGTAAATCAGCCGAGAATAATTTTGCACTTTTAAAATGCACTCTGGAAATTCAAGGATCTTTACTTGTCATTGAAAATTTCTCTTCCGTAAGTAAATCTGTGTTGTTGCAAAATATTTTGTGGACTTAATTGTTTAAGAGTAGCAATAATGGGTGCTATAGGCTGGATTCATTTGGAAGTCCACCATTTAGAATATTGTTCAGCATATTTTAGATGAATGAAGCTATTTTTTTTTAATCTGTCTCTGCTTATTCTTCACTTGGGGAAAAAAATGGTGGGGAAATACGAGGAGTGCAGGGAATTTTGAGAGGAGACGAACTGTGGGCTGGTTAAAGTCCCTAGTGATCAATCTGTCGAACTGTTAGTAAAAACACCATTTAATAAGAGCTTAGGTAAGTAGTGAAGTAAAGCTTGATGTGTTCAATATTAGCACACATCCGATGATACCAGTATCTAATTTAATGTATCCAAATGTTATTATTATTTTGTTTTATATATAAAAGCCCTAATATCGCTGTACTCTCTGGTGACAATCCCAAGTGCGTTCCATTTCAAGCAAAAATGCTGTCGTCTTAAATAGAATTCCCCTTCTGGTGTTTGTCCCTAAATTAAAATGTTGATCATCTGGATCTGTGCTTAAATCTATGCTTTCTTCTGGTGTTTGAAAATCCAGAAAACCTTTGGTATGCTTCTTTTTCAGGAACCGAGTGTGAAGACCTCATAGAAGAGTTGCTGTGTTGCCTCATCCAGCTCATTGTTGAAATTCCCCTCTTGTAAGTTGCCTTTTTTTTCTTTTTTTTTCTTTTTCCAGCCCCTTTCTGTTTATTAAACAGAGCATTTGAGAGAACATAAAACTCAGAGTTTTGGATTTCCTGAGCAAAGTTGATCTGTTGACACTGCTTTTTCAATGCATCTGCTTTATCTGATTCCACATCTCATTGCAGTGTGAGCCATAGGTTGAGCAGCAGTAAGTGGGATAATAAAACTTAGGAAAATGCATATTATTGTCTTGTTCACCAGCATAAAATATTTACCATGTTGTAATGCCTTAATTAACACCTTTTGCCTGCATTATGGAAGGGGAAGTAAGGAAAAGTAGATACGTGAAAAGATTAGAGATTACCTTTTACTTTCTTTTCTCTTAATCATGTTTACTCTGTAAATTATGTCCCCGCTTTTTATCAGAGGGGTAGTTCCTTTCCTCCCTAGCTGGAATAAATCAAGCAAGTTTTAAATCAAGCAAATTTTAAACCAAGCCTGTGAATTTTGGGAAAGAATAGATTGTCTGGGTGGCCTCCATGAAATATTCTGATCTGTAATGATTTCCATAGCGGGGTTTAGGGCCACTTGCTAGAGGATAGGCAGCTTTGGCGGCTTACAGCGATGCTCCTAACAGAGCGTGTGCCTGTAAAACTGCTATTAAAGATGACTTTGTTGTGACAGATCATTCAAATCTCCACGCTGAGCCTGTCTTTCAAATTGAATTCAGAACAGGAAAGTTTTTGTTAGGAGCATTCGATATTAACAGAGGATTGTCACCATTAGTGTGTCCCTTGGGTTCTATAGATGCAGTTTCAGGAAGGAGTACAGCTGGCAGTAGCTGTCTAGGTAAATCCAGGTTGAAAGTTTTTTGTTTTTTTTTCCTCTCCTTCACTTAAATGCTGAGATTATTTTTCAGCTATGGAAGACCATCCCCATATCCAAAATGGAAGAGCAGAGGTAGCTGTGTAACAGTCCTGCTAGCTTTGCTTTTGGACTCTGAATCATTGTGGTCTGATATCTGAGAGTCACTAGAAGGATCCGGAATAACCCTTTTGAGAAGCAGGCTCCGCTGCGTTGTACAAAATGTCAGTGGGGAGAGGTTTCACATATTAACATTTAATTTTGAGAAATTTTATAGGAGCTGCAGCGTTATTGCATTTCAGGAATCAGACTTGTGCACTCCATTATAACGCTCACGTTCCGGTACGTTGATGTTTGATTTATGGCTCCCTGGGGTCCGTTCTGGATACTCTGCTTCTTCTTTGGTCTTGTTAACACCCAGGAGTCTACATTAATGACCCAAACTGCACAGTCAGCAAAAAGATACAACCCGAGCGTTTAATTGTATGAGTTTTACGTAGAAGCTATCGCGTTTTGTTGCACAACGGAGCTCCCAGGGCTTGAAATTAGAAAGGTTTCTTTCAGCAGCTTGTTAAGGGCTGCTGTACATGACTGCACATCTGGTTGTTATCAGTACATTTTCACTTCATTAAAAACTGTAAATGCATGTGGAGGAAAAATGAAATGCTGTGATCTGGTTACATCACCGTTATGTAGCACCCTGTAGTGCCAGGAGAAGTGAGTTGATGTTTGTCTTGCATTCCATTATTTTTTTAATAGCTAAAATTGTTTTAGGCTGCGATCTTAGTGGCTTCCACGTTTAAATGTTAACCATGTTTGACTCGTTTAAGGGTGCTCCCCACGCTTCCTGGCAGCTTAAAAGTCAAATTTAACAAGAAAAATGGAGCGATGGCTGATTATAAAGCTCCATGGAATGATCACTGGGTACAAACAATGCTGTTGAAAGATAATGAGAAATGTTTAGTTCTACTTTCTGAAAAAAAAAAAACATTCAAGGAACTTTTATCACAATTGTAGTAGCTCCAGTGGTTGAAGAGCTATTTGAGCGTTTTTGGCAGCTCTGTCTGAGCATCAAAGGGAAACTTCAACCTAAGTTTCAACAGATGGAAGCCAGCAAAAGGATCCAAACTGAGAGGTCGGTGTTACTTTGCACTGGAGATCCTCAAGGTTTTAGGCTCTTGTACTCCGTGTAGGAGAGATCTGAGCATGAAGGCAGCTTTGCTTGCTGCTGTACCTCGTGGTGCAGCAGAGCAAAATGTTCATCATCCTCGGAGAAGTTTTGTGTTGTGTTTTTTTTGGTGAGACCAGGCCTGGGATGTTTCCTTTTTGCCTCTGGAGTGAGTAATGAGCAAGTTTGGCTGTGTGTGTGCTGTTCGATGTGACCGTGACGCACGATCTGCTGTGGGACTGCTTGCTCAACAGCATGGCAGAGTAGGAACACCTTTAGTCAACTGCTTTTTTGTTCAGTAAATCAGTCTTTCAAGTTTTTTTAAATGATTATTAAAGAATTTTCATCACCCTTAGATCCTTTCTTCTGGTGGCAGACGCGTGGCCTCTTATGTGTTTAAAAGTCTTATGCAGAAGAATCTTTATTTGTCACATTCTTTTTTTCTTCTAATTTTATTCCAGCTCCGTTTTTAGTTTAGACTTAGATGAGCACTTCTCTCTGACCTCCTTTTTCACTGCGAATTGCTAACTCACATTCACCTTGCAACAGGCTTTTTAATCCCAGGCTGCAGCAGCAGAGGTCAGTGTCGTTTATCGTGTGCTTTGCTGTGTAATCAAGCTCTTGATAACGTGCTTTCTCTGTGTGGTTTTCAGCCCTGTTTTTTTACAAAAGATACTGGACACATCTTGAAAAACACCCGCTTTCTAGTACTTCGTTTGTTCTCTGGTCTGCGTAGCGAAGACACCAAGGGATTGAAGTCAACTGTGTGTCCTTTTGGTGCTTTAAGAGCTGCTCTTTGCTTTCCTCGAGCGTAATTGAGCTGTAATTAATGTCCCATAGTATCAGCTGCAACACTGCACTCTTGCCATCAGCGGGTGTAAAGTTAGGAGGGATTCCAAGAGGAAAGACTGCTCATTTTGAGTTGCGCTTGTATCCTGAGACTGATAACCAGACGCTCTCCTTGCTTTTCAGTTTTCAGAACCGATCCTGTTCTCTGCGGTGACTCCTCTTTCACCTTTCTGCTGGTCCCTCAGGAAGCAGGGAAATGAAACCTGGTTCCTGGATGATTTGAGAGGTTTTTTGTACGAATCAGCCCTTTTGGCAACTCTCCGAAATTAGAAAACGAGTTACCTTTTAACCTTTTAATGCTGTGAGTAGACAGCTCTGGCTGGGTGAAAGTTCAGGAAAATATTGAAACAGGGAGGGGGGTTTGGTATGGTGGTGCAAGCTGAAATTCAGAGGTTTTGTTTCTGACTGTTCAGCCTGTTTGCTCTGTAGGTGTGAACTAATTTATAAGCTCTCAGCCTCTGTTTTCGAAGGTGTTGAAATAGTTGCATTTCACTGAGGTGTTAATTAACGTGTTTACAGAAGGACGTGTCTTCGGAGCAGTAAATGAAGTTCCTAGCAGAGATTTTCTTCGATCTTAATCTTGGGTCCTCTTTCACAGACCTCTCTCCGAGGCAGGGAACGAAGCTGAATGATGCGGTGAGCACAGAAAGCAGTTGTGAAGTTCTTGGTAGATAATACCCATCCACTTCTTCCTTTTGAATAGAAAAAAAGCAAATTCCAGGAGGCTTGGGAGCTGTCCACTTGTCTGTGGGTGCAGGCAAGTAATGGCAAGTGCTCAAATTGTTGCAGCATAGAGAACTACTGCTCAAACAAGTCGCCTTAACTGGCTGCTTGTGTGCCCTTTTCCTGTTTTATTTTTGTTCGAGATTAGGGTTTTGGCCACAGAACTCCTTAAAACATTCGGAACTTGCAAACGCAGCCTCAGCATTGTGTCACGTTTGAAATAACTCTGCGAGAGCTGCAAAAGGGCAAGGTGAAATCATCGTGCAGCTCGAGCTGACAAAACCTTTTGAGGGAACGATATACAGCTGGATAGCCTAGGTGTGTAGCTGCTGACTTCTTAGAGTTTTTGTCATTTGATTTAATGAATCGTTGAAACTCCAAACGTCATGCAGTTCTTCTCGTTTTCTGAAATAGATAAATGATTCCTACGTGTGATTGAGACGTGAGTTCATTATTTCTAGTTTCCTCCTTATCTGCAAGCAGGCAACTCGAAGAGGAAGTCCATTATGAGAGTGATAGCTTCGAATAAAAAAAAAAAAATCAACGCTCCCCCATTCTATAGTCTCTCAATATAAATAAACAGCGTTTCCTTTGAAGTTAAAAGAGGTTCCTGGTAGTTCTTGTGACCCTTTTGAGATGTTTTGAGTTTCAGAGAACTGTACACTTGACCCTTGGTGGAGAAAATTTTGCGCTGAAGCTTTATCTATGTGCTGCTAAGTTAAGGGTGTCTGTAGCTTAGGGGGTCACCACAGATACTGGGACTCCAGTTTGAGTGAAAATCCCCAGTTAAATGCCCCTTAATTGGGGGTTGAATAGAAAGAAAATAAGGAACTTGAGTTATCTGAATTTATTAACTGTTTTCATTCAGTTATAAGGTTGTTGAAAGCAGATTATTAAAAAATAATAAAACCACAATACAATATGGTAACTTGTTTATTTTCATACGATTCAGCTTAAAGAAATGAAGAATTTTGTGATGTCTCTTCAAATTCGCACTTCAATTGTATGATTTGTCAGAAAATAAGCAAAGAAATACCTGGAACCGAGAGCCAGCGTGCTGTAGGCTCTGTAAAATTTGTTTCCTCCCAACAAAAAGTGACCCAGGTATTTTGGATGGTGCAGTATGTCACCCAGTCAGCCTTTTCATTCATCAAGTCATGCTGAACTCAGCTTTGAAGACATCCTAGTATTCTCTCAGCCTTGGTAATAAGTTTTATGGCATTTTGTATACCTAAAAAATATTTCTCCCACGCTTTTGGGTTTCTTTTGATAGGAGCAAATTTAGGAAGTGTTTTTTTCCTGGGGGCTGACGTTGTAATAATCAGCAGCTCTTCCCTGCTTTGCTTGGGACAGGCGTGGGTAGCTGAGCCTAAAGCATCACAGTTTGGGTGAGGGACTGGGAACTCGGTCTTGCTCCTGGCGCAGATGAACGTGCAGTGGAACCAGATCACAGCGTAACCTCTGGCCCGATGTAATTATCAGCATTTCCACTGGCCAACTTCCTCCGTAGTGGGCAAAAAGTCAGGTACCTCACAAAACCTAATTAAAACGTACCTCATGATTTGAAGGAAGAGTGTCATTTAAGCAGTAAGTCGCTTCCTGATGTGAAATGTTAGGGATTCAAAGACTCAAAGCACACCAGAGAAAATAGGAACAGTGAGTTTGTGTAACCTTCACTTTCCAAAACATTTTTATATCACAAGCAGCGCGGCTCGCGTTGGACTGCAATCCAGGAAATTGTGCTTCCCATTTGCTCTTGCCGTTGAACAAATAACTAACATTCACTTTCCTCAAACTCTGACCTAGAGCTTCTCCAGAAGAGTTTATTTTAAGCTATTTTCACACCACGATGTAGGTATGAAGCGGCTCATCCTTGTGTTTTACAGTAACGCATGTTAGTTACAGTGTAATATTCACATTTGTACAATATTAAAGTACCTGAAAGTGCTAAAAACAGAACTGATTTCATTTAATGAAGCCTGTTCTTCTTGATCAAGACCACTCCAATTCTAATCCTGAGATGAGTGAAGACTTCTGTTTCAGCCACTCCTTTCTGCTAACTTACTGCGCTGTTTCTAAGTCGTCGTTATTTGAAAGAGTAATTAGTGTTGTTTACACATGGTTTTTAACTGTTAAAAACTGTTAAGTGCACTGCATTTGTGTGTTACATCCCTTTCTTAGGGATCCGTTCTTCCTGGCAGGTGGGATGGTGTTTGGCTAGCTGACCATTTCCCAGACTTACAATGACAATTTTAACAGGACAAAGGACATATTTTTGAGATCTATTTAGTATTTTTAGTGTGAAGTGTACTCTGAAAATCACGGGTGGAATGTTCTGGGCAACGCTGCGATGTTTTCACGTTGTCTTCTGGCATATCAAAAAAAAATGCTTGCAGCAATAAAAATTAATGCATTATCTGTGTGAAGTGATGTGGCTTTTTCCTGGTGAGTTTAATTTGTTGGTTAGCTGTTCCCAGTTGAGACTTGCTATAAAACTCATAACCTCAAGTGAAGCTATTAAGTGTTCTTGTAACTCAGTAAACAAAGCCTGTAGATTAATCTTTCCAAATTTTCCCTTTTTCCTGCAGAGATATTACCTACAGCATTTCCTTGGAAGCTGTGACAACGCTCGTCGTCTTCCTCTCCTGCCAGTTATTTCACAAGGAAATTCTGCGAGAAAGTCTCATCCACAAATACCTGATGCATGGTCGATGGTATGTCGTGTTCTGTGCGCGTCTGGACCAAATAGCAGGAAAAAAAAGCTTCTGATGGCTTGTTTAGACTGTTCGGACTTGAAAACAAAAGACAGTGGAATATATTTTGATAGCAATTTGTTCTCCTCAGAAAAAGACAGAACACAAAACCATCATTAAAGGCTTTTGGAAGGCCTCAGGTTTAAATCTTATAGTTCTGACTTCAGGAAAGCTGTTTTGGAAGCAATCTTTTTTGAGAGGGATTTTATTTACTCCCTTAAACAGCTTTTAATTCTCAGGATGGTTTTTGGGTCAGCTGCAGGCCTTTTCCTGTAATATTCTGGTCTAGAGAACCTGAACCTAATGATCCTTCATGTGATACAGATAAATACCTTCTTGGAAGATGGCAAATAACATGCAAAGTTGAGTTTTAAGCTACAAAGTGAGTAATATCACTTGTTCTGGCGAGTAGGTCTTGTTTAAACACTTCATCGTGGTGATCTTTATCCATTTTGGTCAGGCTACCATTTGTCCTCTTTTACCTTAAAATCAAATGAGCACCTTTAAACGCAGACAGATTTATAGGAAGTGTTGATGTCGTTTGGCACATGGAAAGTGTAGGTGCTGAGGATCTAGGGCAACGTGAAGAGCTCAAAGGCTACTGGGTGAGGGGAGTTGGAGATCATCATAACACAGCCCTGCTCTGTTCACCTCCCAATTAAATGGGAATAGGAACCAACTGTCTGTTTCTTCAGGAATATTTTTTTAAAATACTGAAGACTTATTTAAATCCAACCAATTTCATGTTCATTTTTCAGAATCACTGGGATGAGGATCTGTGTTTCGTTCATCCTTGCAAATTCACCCCAGCCACGCAAAGCCACATATTGGGGGGGTGCAGGAATTCTGTTGTTACCTATTCTATAAAACCAAAGCATGGAAGGAAAACTAAATGAATATAGTGTGTTTTTTTCCCTTGCATTGATATTTTTACAGTTGTCTTGGGGGTAGTAGAATAGAATAGTGAAATTGATTTAAAAGTAGTGTTAAAAAAAAAATATTTCTGCAACCATGCTCCTGAAGGTGCTCCTACAGTGTCCTGCTGAAGTCAGTGCATGGTCAAAACCCAAGAGTGCTATGCACCTTGCCTGCTTTTCATGATGTAGTTGATTAGACTTGACTCCCAGGTGAGATAATGAGCATCTGTTATTCCTCAAATAATCAACAGGACTTCTAAAAAGAGTTGAGATCAAAGCACATCCTACTTCCAGTGGTCAAAAGCGCATTGTCAAGCCAAATTTTGTTACTTGCAAGTCGACCTGAGCTGCCTGTTCTTTTTCCTTGCAGTCTCCCGTATACCAGCAGACTTGTGAAAACTCTGCTCTACAATTTTATTAGACAAGAAAGAAGCCCTCCTCCGGGGACCCACGTCTTTCAGCAGCAAACAGATGGAGGAGGACTGCTGTACGGAATTGCATCCGGGGTGGCAAGTGAGTCTTTCAGCTTCTCTAAACCATTCGTCAGATCTTAGGAAGCGGTGCCCCATTTGACAAAGCACGTTTCACGTTATTTAAAACGTTGGAATAAATATTCCTTAAAGGCTCTGTTGTTCAAGAGCTATACGCACTTTCAGAGAATGTGCATATGTTATTCTTTGCTGTTACTGTATGGATATAGCATCCTGTTCTTGAGCTCTTGATCAGGACTTGATCAAGGTCTCTTGAGCAGGAAATTTTGGACTAGATGGCCTGAAGAGGCTCCTTCCAGACTCAAGGCTTCTGTGATAAAAGAGAGTAGACTAGAGATCAATTTTTGTAACATATTATGGTGTACGCCTTTCCTGGTAGGTTGACTAATGTTTTTCCTGAATATTGTGAATAGTTTGTGATCTTCTGTGGTTGCTCTGTTTGTTACAGATCTCTCTGAGATCTGAATTCTTCAGATCTTCTGTCTGAAGAATACAAAAGACTTAATGACATATCGTTAAGAAAAAGGGTTTCAATATTTTTTACACTATATACTGCATTTTGATTGGTGGTTGCTCTCTTCCCCATACCAGATGCGTGCTTTTTTTAGCTGGGTATCGCATGTAAAAATTCTCCCTAAAGTATTTTATTTATAATAAAAACAAAATACAATATCTTACGAACAGTAATAGTATCTACCACTTTCCCTTATTTGATAAATCTAAGTAATACTTTGCAAGTCAGTTGTTGTTATAACATATCCTATTTATTTGGATCTTGTGTGAAATCCAGCCACTGGAAGCATCCCTAGGGAATATTAAAGTTCGTGCTGCGTGTGGCCTGCCAAAAAATACTTCTGCAGGCAGTGACAGTGCGTGTGGATCTCCTCCTGGAGGCAGTAAAAGAGCATGTCTCTGTGATGTAGTGCCGTGTATCCTAAACACATTCCTGCTTCTGTGTAAGGTGAGGTTACGTGGAGCCCGGTGCATTCGCAGGAACACACTCACCTTCTTTCTGGCTTCTAGTTTAAATGCTTGGGGCAGACCACTGCAGTATTTGGGTTATGCCCGGAAGGGAAATGTGTCAGAAAACAGTTGTTTGGTTTGCTGTTTATTTAGACAGAGAAGAGAAAGCAATTAAATTGTTCCTTACAACGTGGTTTTTTTCATTTTGGAAGTCCCGGCAGGTACGTGCTTTTCCTTCTTGTCAGTTGCTGGAGAAAATTGCTTTCAAAATGTTTTCCAAAGCAGATTTCATTCTGCGGTTTGTGCTTCAGCTTGTGACTGTAGAGTGGTTTTCACGGCGGATTTCGTTGCTACCTGCACCACATGTTTTCATTCATCTTGTTTCTAGTCGTGCCTGAGTATATTTCTGCCTTAGTGCGAAGAGCTTTTTTCCCTCTTCACTTGCTTAACCTGTGAAGTCCATCCCAACTGTCACCGCCTTCCCTTCCCTCACAGCTCGTCTGATAACATATCCCCACATGACTTTTTACTTCTTTCACATCGACTTTGCATTTCTTAATGCAAATTCTCAAGGTTTCTGCCTACGTATGTTCTTGTCTCTTCCTACATTTCCACCCCCCTTTGCTCCTTCTTGAACCATTCTCTTAACAACTCCCTTGGCACACTCCCACACTTATTTTTGTTGCTTCTTTCAGGAGTAGTTGCAGTGCCATCGTTTCTCCTGGTGAATTAAGTATCTTCATATGAAGCTTTAGGTAAAAGAGCTTTGTAAAGAGCTTTCTAATAACCCATCCAGGAAAGGGGAAAAAATAAATGCCATCTCCTGTTGGAAAATTGGAATAGTCCTTCTGTTTGTGTGCACATGGTTAGTTAATATTCTTTGCCTGCATAAAATGCTGGACTGTAGATGAAACTTAAACACACTAAGATGGGTAGAGTAAATGGCATATTTTTATCCATATTTATTTTAATATCCATATTTATTTTTATCCATGTTTTTATTTTATTGGAATTAAGCCCTTTGTCATCTTTCTTAAAGCTTCAGGTACACGTGCAATAGAGATTTTGAAAACAGCAACACAAATTGATATATATAAAAAAAAAGTGAGATTTGAGCAGATGTGGAAAAACTTCCAGAAGTGATTTCTGTATCATTTTATTTTGGTATAGTTTTGTAGGCTTTTATGATTTTACAGGATACGTACTGAAAGAAGGAAAGAATTGAAAACTTGCTTTTATGTCTTTTAAATACTACATAATTCTTAAAGTAAGTCTAATGAAATAATCCATCGTTTATTTAGGATGAAAAGAGGCAGGAGCCTGGTTTTTACAACCTTGACTTTTCATATGAAATTTTGAGGCCTAAGTTAATCACTGTACTTGTTAATTTGGAGTTGTATAACTTGATACCACAGTTACCTACCTTCTTTTGTATTTTTTTGTGCATATTTTGTAGTCTCTTGCACAGCAGCAGTAGGTCTGCAGGCTTTTATAAGCGCTGTATTTCAAGCCCCCCCCTTCCTTTCCTTCCTCGTGATCCTGCAGGAGTGATAACTACACACAACACGAGCAGAAGTTTACCCTTTCCCACGGTTAACCTTGTCCTGCTTCTCATCGTTTGCAGCCTGTTTCTTTTCCTCTCATGAACCTCCTTAACCCAGAAACCGTGCAGCCAACATCCTCACACCGATTTCTTCTCCTTCGTTTGACCTCTGACTGCATGCAAGTTGCCTGTGTGCTGCAAGTTCCTTTCTCTGCCTTGTATATAAAGCACCTTGATGAGAATTGTGTTGCCAATTATGCCATCATCCCATACACAGCTGCAGGTTTGGAGTGAGGGGGGGATGATATTTTAGTTTTTTAACCTCATGAAGGACGTTTTTCAATGCAGCATCTTTGGCATTGAGTCAACTGTGTTTTGAATCCTAGTAGTCTATGACAGGAAGATGTTAGTGCTACTCAGGACTATCAAAAAATAAATGTAAATGGTTTCATTTGGAATAGTTGATCCAGTTTACGTTTTGCTGTTAAAAAGATAACTCCACCTTAACGCATCTTGAAGTACTTAGGAGTTACTGCAGTGGTAGCTTCTGGTTGGCTTAGTGTGTGTTCAGGTAATTTTAATTGTGATGTGTACCAAGGTTTCTTTTTCTGTTGGCATTCTCATTAACAGGAGCACTTGCATGGTTATCTTTATAAGAAAACTGCTTGTTCCCATCTAGTGTTTAATGTCAATGAAAATGTAGATCTAAGACTTCTGTCCCACTTCTGTTCATCTTCCTTCTTGCTTACAGTCCATACCAGCAGCATCCTCTTGTCACTGTAATCATGGCTTTTTGATTCAGCCTGTAGTGAAGATTTAGATAGGGTCCCAATCTTCAGATTTCTCTTAGTTTCTGTGAAGATGTGTCTGAACTGCAGCAGAACATGTGCCTGCATCTCAAGTATGTGTTCTTTGAAATTAAGAAGTTGGGTGTTAATACTAATGCAGCTGGGGGAGGTTCAGTCTGCAAGAGCTGCCCAGGAAGCCAGATTTTAGGGCAGCTTCATCCTGACCAATATCTGTGCTGTGGTGAGGAGATCTGAAGTAAGGCCAAACTTTGCAGATAAAATTCATCTTCTGTGTTAATTGTAGTAGCACAGAAAAACATTGCCTCAGGCATAAATCTGTTCTGAGATGTCTTCTGCAGGGATTTCTTCACTGTCAAGCTCTAGCATAGCTCCTTTGACACACACTGGTGTGTTTTTGGTGTGTTTTTGTTTCTTTTTAGTTTATCTTTGTGGTTTAGAATGATGTGAGTATACGACAGTTATACAGCAGTAGCACTTCTGGTAGCATGGCTAGGCCCCAGGTCCAGCAAACGTTTGGGGCTTACAATCACAAGGATCTGCAACCAGAAGAATCGTAATATAATTATTTATGAAGTTGTTGCTCTGTCTTGTAAACCTCACCAAGATGTTTTTGGTAGTAACCACTAGTTAGAAACAGCTGGGCAGGTAGCATAGACTTTATTATGAGACCCCCACACACTCTCTTTCTGTAAACGTTGATGGCAACGATAGCAAAGCATTTCTTTTAAGGAAGAGCAATTTACACTGTACTGTCCTGGGCCTGGTTGTTCACGGAAATCTTCCACTGACCCCAGTGAGACCAGTTCCACTTCTGCAGGGAGCAAACGGTAGGATGGTTTCCTTCATTTCCTCTTGGGAGACGCTGCTGGGGACCCTTACAGCAGTGACAACATATTTTGCAGCTAAACATCCTCAAAGCTTCTGTTTTTATTCTTTAAGTCCTCTCGATATCCTCTGTGATACCTACCTGATGCTGTTTTGTGGTGCGCCGAGGGCACTGCCCATGGTGCTGCCTCTTTTCTCTTGTGAATCCCTCTTTTTCTCGCCGTGAATCCTTTTTGTCTCACCCTACATGTAGGTTGTAAGCTGTTGAGGAAAGAGACCATCCTTCAGCATGTACAGTACGTAGCATAACGAGGTTGTGGTTCGTGACTGGAGCTTCTGATTTCTGTGGTAATACGGATCATAATTGCAACCATATGTCCCAGCTTGTTTACTGAGAGTTCTGCAGCGAGTTTCATGAGGTGTGTTGGTGATTTATCTGCCTGACATTTATTCTGATATGCCAAAACCTTGAACAGCTTCAAATAACCCATTATAAAATAGAAGTTGTTTTTTTTTTAAGCCCAGCACTAATAAACAAATAAAGAAATCAAAACCCAAGTCCCCTATTGGCTCAAAAAAATATTTTTCTTTATTTTTTTAGCAGAAATTGCTTGTTAAAAGAAAAAAAAATATATATATCTTGCAAACATTAAGGCAAGTGTGAAAGAATTTTATATTGCTGAAAAAAATTGAGGCTTTGCAAACTTTTTCTAGCTCTAAGGGAATTACAGAAATTGAAACTGAGAACTGCAGAATTAATCATTACAAAACGTCACCTAAAATTTTGTTTTTTCGAAAAGAAAAACACTGTTACGCTTACAAGCTTGATCTTTCCTGAAATCCTCTACGTTTCAACTCAGGGATGGCGAGGAAGCTGTTTTG